CCCCCTTCTTCGATTACAATCGATGCCTAGTACTGCACTCGTTCCGAGTCTAGGGCAACACGAGTGTGCTGTAGGGTTAAGCAAGGGCTGACAAGTCTCGTAGGAGAAGGATGAACCTTACGCGGTCAAGTCATCGACGGATCAAGATCAAGAGCTCCTGGAGCAACCTGAGGACCCATCCGACCGTTCACGGTTGGACAGGGAACTCAAGGAAGCGTACAAAGAATTCGATGACATTTTCGCCAGCCTGAGCTACAGCCCTGGTGAGGATAAGAATGGCAAGTCTAAGCCTTTAAAGGGCATCCTTAAGGGCGGCAACAGTTCGGGCGCCTCGTCGGGACGCAAACATGTTCACTTCGAGTCTCCCGACCCTATGGAACAGCCTCCATCCCAGCCAAGCGGCCCTGTCAATGGCGAGCGCCGCGGTCGTCTGGGCGGGGTTAGCAGCGAGAGCATGGTTCGGCGCTTCGTCTCGCCTCCTAGGAGTAACCAGGGTAAAGACCAGCAAAAGGATAGCAACTCCAAGCCTCTGAAGAGCATCCTCAAGAACGGCAACCCCAAGCCTCTCAAGAGCATCCTCAAGAACGGGAACAGCCCGGGCGGCTCGTCGGGACGCAAAACTGTGGGCTTCGGGTCTCCCGCCCCCATGCGACAGCCTCCGTCCCAGCCAAGCGGTCCTGTTAACGGCGGGCGCCGCGGTCGTCTGGGCGGGGTCAGCAGCGAGGGCATGGTTCGGCGCCCAGTCTCCGTCCCGCATCCCAAGAGTAAGCCCGTCTCATCTCCCAAGAGTAACCCGGGTCCAGAGCCGCACAGGAACGGCCGCCCCAAGCCCCTGAAGAGCATCCTCAAGGACGGGAACCGTTCGGAGGGCTCGTCAGCGGGCAAGGGTGTTCACTGGGGGACTCCCTTGACGAAGGCGCAGCGTGTGAAGCGGCCTGGGCCGCCGCGTGAGCCATGGCATTACGCCGTGTGAGCCAGTAGTGCGCTGGTCTTGCGTGCGAACGAAGGAGCACACTGCCCTGTCTAGCCGAATTGACCATGTGCGCCAGGCGGGATCATAATGCGAGACTTGGGACCTGCGGCTTGATTGGTATAGATTCTGTCGAGGAACGGTTTGGGTATTGCTTTCGGGTCGTGGGGTCTTCCAAGCTCATGGGCTTGGGGTTCTTTCCTAGTCGCGGGGTGCCTTGTGTGTATTTGCATTTACTAGTGATAGAGTGATAGAGTGAATGTGCAAATTAACTTTGCGTTGCTTTTTATCTCGTGAGACACATTGGCGTCTCAAATCGGAGTGGTATGACTGTAACTATGGCTTTGTAGATTGTCCAGGCATCGCTTCTTCGTACTGGATGCGATGGCAGACGGGCACTAGAAGCTGCATGTTTACACAATATGCTCGTTGCGTTGACATGTACGTATTGCGGCAAGGTATCATTTAGCTTCGGCACATGATGGGGGCTTGGCGTGCGTGGCCCTTGCAACATGAAAGACGCAATGTGAGGACGGATGCTGTGGCCGAACCGCACGGACGGGAGCCTCCCTAGCCCTTTCTCTCGGTGCTGGCACCATGTAAGTTAGAAACGCCTCTTCTTCTTCGCTGGGCCAGCAGCGGCCTTGCGCTCCAGTTCTCGCTTGAGCTCCTCGCGGCGGCGGTCGGCCCGCTCTTGTGATGTCTCCCGGCGCTGTTCTTGCGGCTCTTGCTGCTTACTCGTCGAGTCTCTACCGCGGATGCCGTCGTCCTGGGCCGAGGTCCCTCCGCCAATCCTACCGAGACCGCCAGTCTTCTTTGGTGTCGGAGTCTTGGCTGCTTTCTTCTCGTCTGTAGTTGGCGGTGGAGTCTGCACCCTTTCTGTAGCATGAGCTTTCGGTGCTCCTCCGCCAATCTTGCCGAGGCGACCCTTCCTGGCTCCACTGGCCGCCGCTGGCCGTGGGGGGCTTGGAGGATGTGGCTGTTCAGCATCGTCATCTTCCGCTTCCGATGCAGTCTCCGAGTCATCGGTCGCGGGGCGGATATCCTGAGGCACATCTTCCACGGCCGGCTCGGGCTGAGGAGAGTGTGACGGCTTCTTCTGAGCCTTGCCGCCGATGGCGCCCAGTCGCGACGGAGGTTTCTTGCCCTCAGAGTGCTGCGACGATCTCGTCCCCGTAGCAGGGGGCTTGCTCTCGGGGACGGCGGCGGTGTCCTTTTCATCGTCACTCTCGGTGGACGCGTCGTCATCAACCTGGGCAGTAGAAGCCGCTTTGGTGTTGCCGCTTGTGCGAAGACGGGGAGGCGTGGCTTGGACCTGAAAGTCGTCATCGTCGTCGCCTCCGGCTGCGTTGGAGGAGTGGCGTGAGGGAGACCGCGTGGTAGTAGGTGGCGGTGGCAGCGACGGCGCACCACTTCCTTGCTGTCGATGTGCAAGCTGCGACGTTCCCTTGAAGTGATGCCACCAGCTGTCCAGTTCTGGAGACTTGTCAACGTCCATGGTGGACTTGTACTGAAGACCAGATCCGTCGAACACACTTTCCACTAGCTCCGTAGCGTTGCCCGGCCCGTCCGCATCATCGTCCAGAGCTGCCTTCCACCGGGGTTCGTTGAAAGGAGCCAAGCCTTTGACCTTGTCCTCCGCGGCGGCCCTGGTGACTTTTTTGCGCCCCGACAGGGCCGTGAACACATGCTCTAGCCCCGTGCCCATGGCGTCCAGCTTGTCCAACAGCCTGTTGAGCACGGCGTCCTTTTGGGCGAGGGCCTGGATCAGGGACTCCACCTCGCGCTTCCTGGAGTAGTGGGCTTGTACCAGGGGTAGCACGAGATCTGTGGCAAGGCTGGAGCATGGTGACTTTTGGAGATGGACGGGCCACTTGAGCGGTTTGAAGCCAGGCAGATCACATGTGAGCTTGAGTGTGAGGGTATCACTGGTCGGGTCATCTTTGGCCGGTGAGAGGCTGAGGCTGGTGTTCTCATGGCCCGGCTGGGACGCGTCCAAGGCGGACTGGAGGCTGGCGAGGAACTTGGCCATGTTCTCGGGCGTGTCGCTCGGGTCGATGCTAGTGTTTTCGCTCCACCCGCGCATGCAAATGTCCTTTCGCTCCAGGGTCTCGGTCCACAAGTTTGCCATGTCGGTGAGGCGGATGGTGTATGAGGCCGGCCCCATCTCGGCCGAGACGAGCAGGACGGGGAGAGAGGCCGACTGCAGCGGCAGCGGCCTCCACGTCACGCTGCCGGCGGCCATGACGAGTGGCTACAGAACGAAGGCTACGCAGGCGGGGTTGAGCGACGACGAGGATAAGGCTCGCTGCAGTTCGACAAGTGCCGTATGACTTGGGAGCGGGGCCTGTCAAGAGGGTTGGCGTGGCCCGGTGTGAGTGTGTGGTGTCGTGACTTGTGAGGGCGTGTATCCCGTTGAACTGTCTGGCGGAAGCAATAACTGACGATGTCTGCAGAGCGTGGTGTCACTGCAGCCCGTCTGAGTCTGGCCGACCAGCCATGCCTCCCTTGAAGGTCAGACGGCGACGGCGATGAGCAACGCAGCACAACGGGGGGGAGTGGCCCGTATCGCCTGATGCAGAGAGGCCGCCAAAAGGGCCGTTGCAGCCGCGGGGGCCCTAAGTCAAGCGAGGGTTTGCGCCACGCGTTGGTCGATGCTGGGCGTGCCGGTAATTGATAGTAATTGGTGGTGCGGTGGCGGGTTGTATCGCCGCTGGGACGCAGCGAGAGGGCAGGATAGGCGGAGAGGTGAAGCTGTGAAGTTGTGAACTGGAATAAGTGAGGCGCGGTCAACTGAGGCAGGCAGGCAGACAACCAAGGCAGCAGCTTCAAAAGGGTGACGGGAAGCTCTTTCATTGGCTGGAGCAAGCCGGCCGCTGCAGGTGCGCCTACAACGGCGCCGTCACAGCGCCACCCAATCGGCAGCAGCCGAGCCTCAAGCTCATAAACCGCCAGCGCTTGTGCAGGCATGTTTAGGTGGGCTCATCATGAAAGGCTTCATTGAGATGTCATCTCGCAATTTGAGTGATGAGATGCTTGCACGTCTCGGGCTCGGGTTCGCGCGTGCCCGCCCTGTGTTTTTGTTGTTGTGCTGCGTCTGCGAACTGAAGGCGGCGTTGAAAGGCGTTTGTGCGCCGCAGACGCATGCCGGACCAGCGCGCGGAAGCTGTTATACTGGCAGCCGAGTTTTGATGATGTGGAAAGGTGGATGGAAACGAGAATAAGCGTCCGCGGGTGGAAGGGAAACGGCAAAGCAACCTCCCAGCTCTCAGCGTTTTTACCAACTCAAGTTTAGAACCTAAGCGTCTGGTGTCTCAATTCCGCCAGCGAAATGCCAGACGGGCGATCGGGCGCCGCTCTCAGTGGCGTTCAACTCCCGATCTCCGCGACCCTCATGACGCACGGCACATCGGCCATCCGCCCGCCAATGTCATCATCGACGCGACCAGCGGCTCGCCCGCTCAAAAGAAACGCGTGCCCCGAGTGTCGCGAAATTCCGTACGTAGTGCTCAGAACGTGAATGTGACATTGCTTAATCACTTGGCCTGCAATTGCTCTCTTCGCCCACGAGCACCAAGTGAATCGAGCTGTATCTCAGTCTATGCGCCTGCTGTTGAGATTCCGCTCAAGCTTGCCTGCGCTCCCATCTCAAGGAATCGCATCCAGATCGCTCACTGCAACGCCCTTCCCCAGCCGATTGACACCTTTCTCCGCATCACCGTTCGTCACCATGCCCCCCAAAAAGGCCGCGAAGCGAAAGTCGGCCTCTCCGCCCGAGGCAAACGGCGCCGGCAGCAGCAACAACAAACGCACCAAGACAAGCAAGGACCTGCGCCAGCCGCACCCCTTCGCTGACGAGGCCGAGAAGCACGGCATCGTGCTGCGCAAGTACTACCCGCCCGAGATGAGCAACGCCCGCGCGCGCGCCTACAACGCCGACGAGATCCCGCGCCCCATCGAGGACCTCGTCGCCGCCCTCGAGGAGACGGCTGGCGCGCGCAAGGACCTGCCCGTCAAGGACGCCGTCGTGCACTGGTTCAAGATGGACCTGCGCTGCGCGGACAACAGGGCTCTCGCGCTGGCGGGCGAAAAGGCAAAAGAGGCGGGCGTGCCGCTCATTTGTCTGTACGTCGTCAGCCCGCAGGACTACGAGGCGCATCTGAGGTCGCCCGTCAGGGTCGACTTTATGCTGCGCACGCTGCAGGTGCTGCAGGAGGACCTCGCCAAGCTGGACATTCCGCTGTATGTCGAGACGGTGGAGAGGAGGAAGAAGGTCCCGGATCGCATCCTCGAGCTCATGGAGGAATGGGGTGCGAGCCATCTCTTCGCCAACATGGAGTACGAGGTCGACGAGCTGCGCCGGGAGGCTCACATGGTGCACGACCTGTCTGAGAATGGCAAGGCTTTTGAGGTCGTGCACGACAGCTGTGTCGTCCCGCCCGGCCAGCTTCACAGCGGCTCAGGGAACCAGTATGCCGTCTACTCGCCCTGGTTTCGATCGTGGGTTGCTCACATCCACGACAATCTCGACCTGTTGGAGCTCTACGATCCGCCGAGCAAGAACCCGGATAGCGCGCGGAAAAAGTTCAAGAAGCTTTTCGACTTCAAGGTGCCGGATGCACCCAAGAACAAGCAGCTGAGCCAGGAGGAGAAGAAGCGATTTCGCGCGCTGTGGCCGTGTGGAGAGCACGCTGCCACCGACAGGCTCGCCAAGTTTTGCGAGGAAAAGATTGGCAAGTACAAGGAGAAGAGAAACATTCCGGCCGATGATGGGACCTCGAGTCTGTCGGTGCACCTGTCGAGCGGCACAATCAGCGCGAGGACGTGTGTCCGGACGGCGCGGGACAGGAACAAGACCAAGAAACTAGATGGAGGAATCGAGGGTATCCAGACGTGGATCAGCGAGGTTGCTTGGCGTGACTTTTACAAGCACGTCCTGGTCCATTGGCCATTTGTCTGGTAAGACGACGCAAATAAGCACGTTGGAATTTCGCTACAGAGACGCTGACAAGACATAGTATGAACAAGCCGTTCAAGCCAGAGTATTCCAACATCTCGTGGTCCTACGAGGAGGACCACTTCCAGCGATGGTGCGAGGGGCGAACGGGGTTCCCCATTGTCGACGCTGCCATGCGCCAGCTCAACCACGTGGGCTACATGCACAACCGCTGCCGCATGATTGTCGCGTCGTTCCTGTCCAAGGACCTGCTGATCGATTGGCGGAAAGGCGAGCGATACTTCATGGAGCACCTCGTCGACGGCGACTTTGCCAGCAATAACGGCGGCTGGGGTTTCAGTGCTAGCGTCGGCGTCGACCCGCAGCCGTACTTCCGCATCTTCAACCCGCTGCTGCAGAGTGAAAAGTTCGACCCGTCCGGCAAGTACATTCGAAAGTGGGTTCCAGAACTGAAGGACCTGGACGACAAAGAGATTCACGATCCGTACGGGCGTGGCGCCGGGGACAAGGCCAAGAAGAAGGGATACCCGGAGCCGATTGTTGAGCATAAGCAAGTTCGCGATCGGGCGCTGAGTGCGTACAAGGAAGGCATCGAGAGTGGCATGTGATGTTCGCTGGCTTCGGTCGGGAAAAGCTTCGTTGCCACTAGCTGTGTTAGTAGTGTCAAATACGTGCTGAAAATGTGAGAACGCTGAGCATGTTTGACCCGTATCTGTACCACGGCGAGAAGCTCTACCGCCACGGCTTTTTGAAGGCCACTCAATCTGCGGCAGGGGGACCATCAAAGTGGCCCAGACTCCCAGGTCACAAGTAGCCCCCGCGAGGGCTAGTCCTGGGAGCCTTTGCTAGCCGGCGCACGGCACGTCACGTCTTCGCTCGTCACTTCGGGATTGGGTCGTAAAGATATTGGGAACGGTTCAGCTTGTCTCGAATCGAGCCCAAACGCCTCGAATTGGATGTTGCTAGATGCAGCCAACTCTAGATCCACGCATGCCTTTTTTTCCATGCCCGAGCCAAACCCTGGACGCCGGTCAGAATCGAAGTCGCCGTTGTCATCTCTCCGCGGATGTTTGTTGTCCGCGGCGGGCTGGATTATGATGTACCTCTTCCACACTACCCCCTTCGTATCCGCACAACAAATTTATCGCTGGGCGCTCCAGACGCTCTTCACCAGGCCGTCGCGCTGGGCGAGGCGGTTCAGGGCATCGTCGCTCTCGCCCATGGCGCGGATGAAGCCGCACAGAGCGTAGACCTGGTTCTCGCCGGTGATGGCACGGCCGTTCTCGTCAACCTTGGCGATGGAAATCTGAACGGAGCCGTGGTCCTTGGCCTTGATGATGCGGTTGGTAGCGCTGCACTTGCGCGGGACGTAGCTGTGAAGGAGCGGAATATCAGCAATTCGGTTCGGTCGAAGGAAAAAGTATTCGTATAGGCCGCTTACAGGTCGACGATCTCGCCACGGTCGTTCTCCATCTTGACGGTGTTGGAGGAGTGATTTGAGGTGAGTTGAAGTGGTTGTCGAACGTGGGTTGCGGTCGTCGAAAACGCTTGGTGGGATGGCTGCAAAACCGACCGCGAAATTTGACCCGGCTAGACAATTTCGTGGGGCGGGGAGGGCTTTTGTGCGTCAGGTGATCAATCAGGTGACCACGCGAGCCGGTCGTGGGGGTGCCTCTCAAGACCGCGCTATGACCGACACGCTCCACTCTGGCTCCATCGCCAACATCGCGACGCCACCCCTCGATGCCGAGACAGAGTGTTTACCGTTCCTCGCCCATGCACCGCCGCATTGAACCGTCCCGCGACAAGAAGCCACACTGCGGTCTATCGGTGGCCTGAGATGCGCTCTGCGCACTCAGAGATTAGGGGTTCGCGCCATGGCGTCCCCCGATGTGTTCCTATCATCCCCTGCTCGTGAGCGAAGACGCCTTTACGATACAATGTCCTCGTCGCCAGGCCTGCCTTCCATACAGGAGCTGGCTTCGCAGAAGCCGAGACGCCCGCCTCTACGCAGTGGCAGCAAAGCTGCCCCCATCCCGGACGATGCGCCGACGACTTTCACCAGCGCCGGCAGCCTGTGGAAGTCTTTGCAGCAGGCAGATGCAGCGGCCAAGTCGACCCCTGCGGCAAGGGCCCCTACGCCGGAAGAGGTTGAAGACGTCGACACAGCTGTCGCAACCCGAAAGGCGTCAAAGGCAGCGCCAAAGCCCAGGAAACCCCGGCGACAGAAAGAGCCAAAGCCAATTGTGGTTGTTAGTGAGGCGGCTCAATCTAGGGGGCCTGAGTCACCAAGCAAGGACCAACCATGGAGAAAATACAAATCTCCGTCGAAGGAACGAGCCAGCTCGCCGATTATTGAGCTGCCGAAGCCGGGCAGTGACACAGCACCATGTCAAGACGCGGGCAGTAAGACTAGCCCCTTCTTTGTTGGTCACGAAAGTCCCGAGGCCGTCAAGCCAGCGCCAGTCGTCGAAGTGGAGGATAAACTCCCCGAGGTCATGCAGGGTCAAGAGGGGATCGGAGCGGTAGGGCCAAACGACGATGTGCAAAGTGGTGCGAAGACCAAGACGAAGGCCAAGACGAAATCGAAGGCGAAGGCGAAATCGAAAACGAAGGCGAAAGCTGTCTGCCGGAAAGCCGATGACGAACCTTTGCAGCTTGAGCAAGCAATGGGTCGCCGCTTGGACTGGACGCCACCAGCCAAGAAGACCCAAATTATTTTGGATTCCGATTCCCCTTCTACAGAACGGGCCGATCATAATCCACCACAGTCTGGTGAAGCCTCGAAAGACCAGTCTTTTGGCAGTTTGCTTGCGACGTTCAAATGCGAGGAAATGGCACAGCAATCGGTAAACTCAACATCGGAGGAGGAATCGACCTTTCTCAAGAAACGGAAGCTGCTCGAATTCGTCTCGGCGCCAGCACAGGCCGCTTCTGAGCCTGAGTTGGCGATCGTATCGCCGGTCAAGCAGAAAGCTCCCAAGAAAAAGCCACGAACGATCACGGCGCTGGCAACTGCTGCGTATCGGCCACTTACTCAACCCGAGCCGCCGTCCGCCGTGGAAGCTAAAGCCCACAGCGAGCCGCCCAAGCCCAATGATACGAAGGGCAAGGCAGCGGCAAAGCCGCGCAAGCGAGCGCCAAAGCCTTCCAAGAAAAAGGCCCCGCCTCCGAAGCCCATCCTTCTGTCGCCAGGGACAGCCTTGAAACAGGTTGCCGGCCAGGACTTTGTGTTCGGAACATCAAGTCAGCTAGCAAGGGAGCAATCGCCGTCGCTGCTGCGCGACCTGCAGATTGCCATGAAGAGCTCCAACCAGCTGGATCACGCAGATTTTGTTACGCCGTTGAACAGCGACGCCATCGAGCCGGCAGAGAAACGGCTGTCCCTCTGGGAGGCGGCTGCACGGGACGCAGACGGCGATCTTTTTGACGTTGAGGTTCTGAATCTTGTCAATGGCTCTCAACGATTGCCAGGCGTTGCTAGGGAAGAAGATCCTTTTGGATATATCAAGGGCGACGAAGAGCCCGTCGAGTTGCCTCCACTACCGGCAGCGCCTACCGACAATAAGACCATGGACGATGACTCGTTCCTCACACTATCGGACATATTGCCGGCCCCTGCCAAGAAACCCGCTGAGATTGTGGACATTGCCCAACAATCGTCGAGCAGTCAATCTGAAGCAAAGGTGACCAGCAAACGAGGGCAGCCAACGCGCCACCAAGAGGGCAGCATCGCCCAAGCTATCCGTGAACCAACTTCCACGACGACGAGTGCTGGAGAGCCAGAGCAAGCTCTGTCATACGATCATCTTAGCGATGCACAGCTTGCTAAGCAGGTTGCGCAATATGGATTCAAACCGATCAAGAAGCGAGGAGCAATGATAGCCCTTTTGCAGCAATGTTGGCGTCCGGGGGCACAAGGGCAGCCAGCTGGAACGAGGCTGGCCTCGACAACCTCGAAGAGCTCATCCGGACGGCCTACAACGCCAACGGCAGGCGGCAGTGCCTCTGCCGTGGCGACCCCGGAGAAGCGCCCTCGCGGTCGTCCCCGAAAGACCAGCGTCACGGAGCAGCCGTTGCATGAGCCACCGCCTTCGGCTCAGCCACACGCAACGCCAAAGAGAGGCCGAGGCCGACCCAGAAAGGATTCTGTCAGCGGGCCTCCGGGTGTCTCCGTCGCAAAGGCGAAAGCGGGTCCTTCAACGCCGAAGCGGCCGTTGAGGAAGCCGGTGATCGAGATCCCCGACTCGGAAGGCGACGCGGGTGCTGATTCATCAGACACGCCGTGGTCATCGCCTGACGCTACGTTTTCGCCTCCGCAACCGGTCGACCTCACCATGTCCGTTGGCGAAGACACAGAATTAACACTTACGATCTCACCGACGGACCAGCAAACGGAGCTGTTCATGTTCGTGACAAAAGCGGTGACGACGGCACCGAGGACGACCGACCCGGCGAACCCTTCGTGGCATGAGAAGATTCTGCTCTACGATCCCATCGTCATCGAGGACCTGACGTCATGGCTGAACTGCGGACAGCTGACGAGGGTGGGATATGACGGCGAGGTGAGCAGCGGCGAGATCAAGGCGTGGTGCGAGTCGAAGAGCATTTGCTGTCTGTGGAAGGTGAACCTGCGAGGCAAAGAGAGGAAGCGATATTAGGATAGCATTTTGGCATTGATAGCGAGCGACGGCGTTTCAAAGGGGCTGGATGGATGTATTTTTGATGGTCGGTTCATGCGCAGCTATACGCGATGCGCTCGTTCATAGGATGTCAACTTGGTTAGCTGCAGACACCAAAACAGAACTACACACGACGCAATCTATCATTTGACACTCGTGTAGCACTCAAGACCAGGCATCGTCACTTCATCGCAATGTGTCATGAGCCAGTCGCGGCACCGTTGCACATCGTCTTCCTCGCCTTGGAGCACCGCGCTGGGGCCCGTGCGCTTCCAGAACGGCCGCTCAAACCACTCAGGCCAGAAGCCGCCAAACTCCCAGTCAATGATGGCATTAATCCTCAGCGTGTCGGGGTCCACAATCACGTTGTGCTGTCCGAGGTCGTTGTGGCAAAACACGTACTCGCCCTTGCTGTCTCCCCGCGGCCTCCAGCAACTGTTCGCCTTCCATCGACGGCTGGTGACGCGCTGCGGGGCGCACATGAGGGACTCGCCCGGCACGCCGGGCATATCTGAGCGCAGACGGCGCAAGGTCACGACGTGCCCCTCCAGCTCCCGCATGACGACCTCTTTATCCTCTTGCCGCTCCAGTTCCTTCATGCTCACGCCCTCGACGTACTCGCTCTGGAAGTAGAACGCCCCGTCGTCCTCGAACGTGCACTGCGCGCGGGGCAACGGGATGTCTGTGTTCTGCCGCAGAAAGTCTAGTATCGCGGCGTCTGTCTTCCAGCGCTGGGGATACGTCGTGGGGGGGCTGGCGATGATGGCGGCTCCGTGGGGAGGGGACTGCCATTCGTGTGGGCGGAGGGTGCGCTTCATGAACCAGTTGCCTACGTGGAAGTATTTCTTGTCGGCGAGGATGACGGTGCAGCCGGGCTCGCGGCGGGAGTTGAGCTCCTGGTTTGTCACCATTGTTTTTCCTTGATGAAGAGACTGGCAGCTCGCCGCCGTCTGTCGTGTGCATGTGCGTACCTAGTCGTGCCCCGCGAGCTGGGGGTCAATTCACGTCGTCGGGCGGCGCTTAGGCCCGTGTTATTCGCGAGCGCCCCGTTGATGTACGCACAAGGTTTGCTGTCGCCGCTGGACCCCCGCGTCCGCCCCCCCAGCTCGGCAAAAACAGCCCTGCGGCGGCACCTGCATTGCAGGAGCGCCCCCAGTGAGCGAGCGTCCGAAGGCACAGGCCACAGGGACGGCAGGGCGGGCCCCGGGGAACCCCCATTAGCGCGCCCCCCCTCCACGGGACCTCGGCTCAATGGCCCACGCCGCCGCTCCAAATCTATCCACGGTCAAACGACGTCCGGCTCTCAGATATACCCCGAGAGCTGAGGCGCCGCCGCGGGAGGGGGACGCTTTCCGTTGCCATGTCCTTTGCACTTCCTCACACGCTGAGGCAGTCTTTGAACACTCCTTGCCTGGGATCGAGTCTCGGTGGACGACTGTTCTGTGGTCTTGCTGCAAACACTGCGCGCGTCTCATCACCACCACCACCGACCTCCTTCTCACCTTGTTGGCGAGGCGTGTTTGCTACAGCACCCAACATCGCCATGGCTCCTCCCCAACCGCAGCGGCGCGCTGCCTCTTCGTCCTCGTCTTCCTCCAGCGGCAGCAAAGACGGGGCGCCCAAGGCGCGCCTCGAGCCGCGGCCCAGCTCCTCTGTCGTCCTCCTGTCACCCACCAATGAGGTCCTGCTGCTGCACCGCGTACAGTCCTCGTCGACGTTCGCGTCGGCGCACGTCTTCCCCGGCGGCAACCTCGACGACTTCCATGACGGCGATGTTCCCGCCGTTGGCGACCCGGCGCGCCACCGCGATGGCCCCGCGTACAGGCTCGGCGCTGTGAGGGAGTGCTTCGAGGAGACGGGCATCCTGCTGGCCAAGAAGGACGGCGCGCTCATCGAGCTGCCCCCTGCGCAGCGCGACGAGATGCGCAAAAAGGTCCACGCCAATGAGGTCAACTTTGTCGAGTGGGTGAGGTCGCTTGGCGGAGAGCCCGACACGGGTGAGTCTCGTCCCGCTTCCCCCCTTCCCTCTCGTTAGCATCTCGTCGTTTTTCATGACTAGGACTGAAGCATGGGTGTTGACACGGTGAAATCGCAGCCGGCCTCGTGCCCTTTACGAGATGGATCACGCCCGTCGGCGGCCCGCCCAAGCGCTTCACCACGCAAATGTACGTCTACATGCTGCCGATATCGCGCACCAAGGTCCCCTCCGAGATGTTCATCCCCACGGCCGACGGCGGGGTCGAGCACACGGCCGCGCAGTTCGCCCCCGCGACAACCTGGCTGGAGCGCGCGCGCCAAGGCTCCATCATCGTCTTCCCGCCGCAGTACTTCCTGCTGCACATGCTGAGCCGCTTCCTCACGGGGGGCACGGCGTCGCTCGAGGAGGGGCCCCTACACTTCACCGCGCAGCGCAAGAAGCTGCGCGCTTTCCTGCGGCGCGTGCCCACGGCGGACACGGAGAAGGGGCGCGCGCACCCGACGGCCGCCATCGCCTGGGCTGACAAGGTCATGTGCCCGTACCACTTCAAGATCACGACGCCGGACGGGCGTGTTGTGCTGGGGTTGGATAAGCCTGGGCCGGAGCTGGAGGGCGAGGAGGATAGGGGCGGGGACTGGGAGAGAGTCATGCTGGTCAAGTTTGGGACTGGCGGCGCGAGGGAGGTGGAGGTGAGGCTGAGGGAGGATGTGCTCAAGGCTGCGGCGGAAGAGGAGGAGGGCCAGCAGCGCTCGAGGCTGTAAATATGATGATGGATGACCTTCAGGCTGGTGAGGCTTATCCCGGATCGCGATGTCTGGCTGGCTCGCGATGATGTGCCGGCACCCGTATATAGCATTTGACACTCGACATAGCAAGACCAAGATATCCGCCGACTGCTACTGGAAATGTAGCGGCATAGAGCGCAGATCATACACGCATCTCATTCTTTCGGGCAGTGGTGTTCGTAACGCACTCACGCTGCTCACGAGGCAACGAAACGCAGGTCTGTTCAACAACGCACCCGCGCAACACAGGCCTCCCCTTTCTCAACAGCACGTTTCTGCGATAACTTGCACTCCTATTCCTCTTCCAACGAGTAAGCAGTCTATTGAAAGTCTTCTCTGCACCATACGCAGGCCTGCGACTTCTTCTTCTTCCACCTCTCGAGTCCCTCACGTTTCCTGATCTCCTCGCACACCACTGCGCGAGAGCCTGCATCTCCTGCTTGCGCACCAGCCAGTCTTCAACAATCTTCACCAGCAAGCGCATCGCAATTGTTCCCGTTGAAGAGTCTGCCCTCCGCGCCTAACCTGGCTTATTGTTCCAGCGCTGCGCCTACTCGCCTATTCATACCTGCGCTTCACAATCGTTCTCGCACCGCGCTAGCCCACCACATCCCGCACTATACCAAACGCGCACGCAACTCCCTATTATTGCACCGCTCGCGCATTGTCTCGCCCTCTATTATCCATCAACAATAAAAACTGCGCTCTATTCATCAGGGCCAAAGACGATTGCGCAACTCACTCGCCAGCAGGCCCCCAGAATCACTATATATTGAGGCCATGTCCGCCCCCTCCGCCGAGCCGTCTTCCCTCCCTCCTCCACCGACTCACTATCCGCCTTGTCCGCATCAGAAAGACAGCGAGAGAGATCTTTACGCACGACTTCGTCAAGTATATCAAGAGCACAGCCCCACCTGGGACGACGAGTCTCGCTCAGCCTGGTTCACATCCGTCATTGACAAAGCTACGCTTGGCGACACAACTACCAGAAAGGTCTCTGCACATAACATTGCGCGCTGCGTCACTGCCGAGACGGTCACTTGGGCACATTTCTGCGCGTTGAGCACCATCTTCGAGAATCGGTTCCAGAACAGCAAGAAGTTCGTCAAACTTGTTCTTGCAAGGTATCCCAGCGCGGACCTCGACGGCCTCTCGTTCAAAGAGAGCTACAAACTACCCAACGCGGAAAGCACGCTCGTCAAGGACACAGACGGCGAAGCGTCGTCGTCCGATTCACAGGACGACAAGTCAGACCAACTACTTCAATCTCGCCCACCTTCTTCTCCATCTCCCCACACACCTCCAACAATGCCCGTCCAGACTCGTTCTGCGTCGGCCAAGCCGCTTTCGTCTGTGGCTCCCCCACCTGCTCAGGTCACTGGACCCAAGGAGAACATGCCTGCGCCGCCTGAGGATTCCCCCGGCGCCAGAAGAATCAAGCGAGAGCCCTCTGAGGAGGAGCAGCAGCTGCAGCAGCCTGCTGCCATTGACACCACCACTGCCGCGCCTGCCCAAGAGCCCAAGAAGCGCAAGCGTCTGCCCGGTTCCGCACCAAAGCGCCCTGCCGTCGCCGAAGAAGAGACTGCCCCGGCCCCAAAGCGCCAGAAGAAGACGGCCAAATCCACCAAGTCTGCTGCTTCCACCTCCAAAGCCGACAAGAAAACAGACGAAAAGGGCGCCAAGAAGACCGAAGGAAAGGGCAAGGCAAAGCCCGCCGCCAACAGCATCGACAACAACCAGACTGTCGCAACCCCTTGCGCCGCCTCCACCATGCCTGCCAACGCCGCAGATGAGCCCACCGGCCCCAAGAAGCGCGGCCGCAAGCCCGGCACCACCAATAAGCCTCGCGCCGACATCGCCGCCCTCGTGGCCCGCGTCGACGCCCTCGAGGCTCAGATGAAGGAGCTCCAGGCGAAGAACGAGAAGCTCGAGGCCTTCAAGGCAAATATGCGCGCGTACCGCCGCAAGCAGTCGGAGCAGATCTTGCGTCTGCGCCGGTGGGTGACCGCCGCGCAGGGGCAGGGCGTGCCCGTGCCGGCGGAGGTGTGGGACGCGCTCCTGCGGGCCCGCGCGGAGAGCAAGAAGGCCGTCAAGGCCGAGAAGTGAGGGAGGGGACGGAACGGGGGAAGGAAGGAAACGGGGGGAACGGGGGGAACGGAGGGAACGGGGGAGACGGGGGGGATCTGGGGAAGCGCGGGAATGGGGGCGACGGACGGAACGGGGGGAATGTGGGATAGGAAGGGAAGGAAGGGGAGGAACGGGCACGGCGGACAGCCGCTGTGCGTAGACAGTTCAACGACAGAGACGATTTGCGGTTTATTTGAAAGCCTTGTTCTATGACGTGAAGTGATGTTATTTGGCCTTGCCAGCGTCGTCGCGGACACAGTGTCATCGTACACACTGAAGCTGTATGAGTTGCGATGTCTTGAAGGGTACGTCGTCGGTCGACTAGTGGGCTGTGACACTATAAAAGCCGACCCCCAGCCTTATTCCACAGCTCGGCATGGACCGTAGTGAGGGGGGTGCCCGTTTCCATGCTTGCAGGGTGTGAAGTCTCGGTCACCGAACGCGTTATCGTGCTTTATGTCGTACTCGTTGGTCAACGAGGTCAAGATCATTCGGGACTGAGCACGTAAATTACCCACGGGAGGACCATCACTACAAACGTCTGGGTAGTTGCTCAAACAAATACTTTGCTACGATTCTTGACCTGAGAAAGGCATGTTTCCACAGGAGCAGAAACAGATTCGACGAATGGCGACCGCCGCTGTTTCAGGCGAGGCCGATGACGAGAGTGCGGTGAGAAGCACAGTTACCGGCTCTAGGGTACTTCGCCCCTACGTGCCTATTGCCCGACACAAGTTACACGACACGTACTCTTTGAGGAGGCCATGCGTCCCCTGAGGACGGACGATGAGAAAGCAGAATGGGAAGGATGGGCCGAGGTAGAGTCGGAGCCGGCAAGTTTGGAGGGGTTCCAAATATTCAGGCCAAGGAACCCTTCACTTGCGAGAGCGGGGATCTAAGCCGCCCGCCGTGACTGGACTGGAACTTCAAAACTCTTGCCTTTTTGGTTTCACCTGACTTTCTGCCCTGATTATCGCTGTGTAGACAGCCCTTGCTTGGCCTGGTGTTTCTGTTTAAATATGCGCCACGTCTAGCGACGACAGGGACGACGACGAAGTTTAACAAGGTCTGGTTCGCCAACCAGCCAGGTGAGTATGCACAGCATGTCAACCTCCTCCAGCTGCGCTTGGGTGCAGTCCAAAAAGGCACGTGGGGGCGGGTATAATGTACCCTAGACTCGGTGAACGGTGCGTGCCCGGTGGCCACCATTGACAATGGAGTTTGTGTGGGAAGCACGTCATTTCACGGTCTCGACAGGCTCCCGCGTCGGGGAACCGTGGCTGGGCTACCTCCGTTGTAGTACAAGTTGTTCACACATCTCGTACTGTACCCATAACAGCGCTCATCGTTCACTCATGGCATAATGGGATGCGGCACCTGATTTCGGCTGGCGGCGACAACATCAGCGTACTTTATGCAGCGCGCGACTCCCAGGCCGTGGGCCACTGCCGCAAGTGACGTAAAAGTCGTCCCCCAACGGCTCACCTCCAATGGGGAAACCATCCAGCCTCAGTAGCCGGCAATTCACCGACTCCGGCAACCTGCTCCTCAACGCCCACGTTAAATTCTCTCGCCATCCGCGCCACCACAGCCGCAGGTACCAGGGGCTATTTAGTTCATCACCGGCAAAAACCAGCTCAAGCACGACGGGCCAGCCCACAAAAGCGCCAATTATTCAAGCTTAACCCAATCTTTCTTCTCTTCCTGCGACCGTGCCCCGCGGGGCGGCGCGCACCTGCAGGGATCAGATCATGAGGGTAATGATGCAGCAGTGCGGTGCGGTGCGGCTTCCCGCCGTTGCGCAGATATGCGCAAGTTTTCTCGAATCGCGAGTGGGGGGGTCGCCCCGCGTCCTTGGTCCCGTTTCCCACCCCCAGCAGCAGCGCGGCCCCGTCGCGGTTTTTTGGGTCTTGTGCTCGCTTCGTTCCGAGACACGCTGCCCAGAGATCATGGCCGGCCGACGGGCTGGGCAGATCGTCCTCGGCGTGGCAGTGAGGATGGAACCCGGTGGTGTGCCCGTCGTAATGCTTGTGCGAACGGCCGTCTGGGCTGTGTAAGGAAGGAGGAGGAGGAGGAGGTCAATCGCCCGGAGCCGGACTGCGGGGGAGGAGACCCTCGGAGCTGGGATGGACGGACGGACGGACCCCACCCCCGAGAAGTTCTGGAGCGAGCGCGCGCCCGGCGCCTGGATCGCCGACTGACTTGGACACGCCAAAGGCCCATCCATGGGCCATGGGCCATGGGTCGGTCGCACCAACCAGCCGCGGGCGCGCGCCTCCTCCTCCTCCTCCCAGCCGCCGCTGATGGGACGAACGAACAGAAACCAGGGAAACGCGGGCCCGGGAGAGAAAAAGTCCCTCTTTGTTTCTCAGCCGTCCCGTTCAGAAACGCAATAGTCTGCCCTGTCCCTGTCCCCTGTGAGCACGCCTATCATCTCGTCGGCGGCCCCCCTCCCCACGCCAACGACGCTGGCTCGCTGCTCGTTTACTTGCCTGATTTATATAATTGTCGGAGCTGCTGCTGCTGGTGCATCCTTTCTCTCCTCTTCCCGCGCTGCGCTGTCTCATACCCCCCGTCTGCCTACCTCCCTACGATCCCACCTACCTACCTACCTACCTATCCGCAACAGCAGCATATAGACAGCCATGCTCTCCACCGCCCTCCTCGCCCTGGCGGCCGCCCAAGGCGCCGTCGCCCACTTCGGCCTCACTTACCCGTCCTGGCGCGCCGATACGCTCGCCCACGAGGACACCTCCAACTACAGCCAGTGGACATATCCCTGTGAGTCTTCACTTCCCTTATCCCCTCCCCCAATTGCTCTTGATCTTCGCCTCACCCTCGAAAGAGAGGGTCGGAGTTACTACTGGCATGTCAATCATGCTGACCACTGCATGTGCAAAAAGGCGCCGGCGTCCCCTACGGCAAGGGCAACACCACCGACTGGCCCCTCGACGGCGGCTCCCTCAAGCTCGAGCTCCACCACCCCTGGACCTACGTCTTCGTCAACCTCGCCGTCGGCGAAAACTCGACAAACTTCAACGTCTCTCTCACCCCGCAGTTCTGGAACACCACCGGCAAGGGCACCCTCTGCGTCCCCAAGGTGCCCCTCCCCGTCAACGTCACCGACGGCACAAAGGGCAGCATCCAGGTCGTCACCCTCGGCGAGAGCGGCAGCGCCCTGTACAACTGCGCAGACATTCGCTTCTCCAAGGACGCCAAGCAGCTCGACGGCTGCTCCGCGGGCAACATCACCGTCGCGGCCATCAAGGAGCAGAAGAACAGCACCGCCAACGGCACGGACGGCGCCAACAACTCGACTGCTGGCGGTGGCAAGGGCTCCGGTGCCGGTTCCGTCGGCGTCAATGCCATCGCTGTGGGCAGCGTTGCCGGCCTGGCGTCCTTGTTTGCCATCGGGCTGGGCTTCTAGACATTCACGTAGCGATGCGTTTCATGACTTGCCGGAGTAGACTGGAGTTTGGAGCGTGCCATACACTCTCTGCGCGCGGGTCCGAGGGAAAATATAAGCTTCTATTAATCACAGCCATGAATGCAAATGCTCCCGTCTGGCACGTCATGCAGTGCCATGTAATGCAATGCGCTGTACATCTATGATATATGTCGTTGAGAAAGGGTATGAGCCGAGCCATTATCGTCATCCGTCCTCTGCGCATGTCAGTTCAAGTCCTCATTTGGTGGCTGCGACTGTAGAGTCTCACCCGCTCCTTAGCACCCCCTTCAATATGCGCCTCGTGTTCCGTCCGTAAATGTCAAATGTTCCCAAGCGTTTATCTCGGCAAGTAGGAGATTGGTAAGTCGAGTAGTGTCGGCTTCACATGAAGCAATCCAAAATATAGCATCTCCTCATCGCACATCCGTGAACTGGTCTGCGGTCATCTCCTGCAGCACCTTGGCCATGCTGATGCGTTGGATGGGGTTCGGTGTCAGCATGTCCTTGATCAAGCGCTCCAGCCGATCGCGCATGCTCAACCTCTCGCGCGCCTCAAAAATCTCCGTCAGCCAGTCGCGCATCTGGGCAACGGCGGGTTGTCCGTTCCCGTGCTGCTTGTATGGCAGGCCCGGGTTGTTGATGCCGCCAATCTGCCAATACAGTGGCTTTGGGTGATGCCGCCTTGCTCGGCTGTCTGGAAACGGGATCTTGCGCATCACATAGAGCATCGTGATGCCCAGTGCCCAGACATCCGATGGAGGGCCACGGAGCTTCTTGCCGATGAACTCGGGTGGGACATAGTATGGTGTGCCGCCTGTTGTTGGGGAGTTGGCAGCGAGCGTCGACAGGCCAAAGTCGCACAGCACAGCGCCTCGCTCGGGAGAGTACAGAATATTGGCGGGTTTGATGTCGTTATGAACCAGCCTCCGTCCGTGCACGTAGTTGAGGGCGCCGGCAACGTCGCGCAGGATGCGCACCGCGTCGTCGCGGCCACCGACGAACTCGTCCGACCTGTTCCTCCACCGGCTCGACGATGCCAGATCCGGTGCCGGCACGTGCTCCATGTATAGGGACAGGAACCGCGCGTCACCTCCGTAGTAGCGCACGATGGAGTCGTGCTTCAGGTCCTCCTGGCTCTGGCACTCGCGCAGCCACATGTCGGCTTGACGAATGACGTTCCGCTCATGAGCGAGATTCTTATCGTTCGCGTTGGCGGTGCGCGTCTTGAGGACCTTGACCGTGACAATATTGTCCGGGACATGCGAGTGCGTGGCCTTGTACACGGCAGACAGGGCCGTCGACGCGATGGGGTCCCTCTTGGTGAGCTGGTACGCGTCGACTTCACACACTCCAGGGACGAGAATGGTGTCTCCCTGCTCGGCATCCAATAACGCGTGGGCAGTGGCGGCCGACAGCTCCTTGGTCTCGCGACCCTTTGGCAGCGGGAACACGAGCGGCTCGGCGGACGGGCTGAGGAACATGATGACACCGTCGTCGGCCTTGTCGGCATCGGAGATGCGACGCTTAACCCTCTTGCCGTCCTCGTCGGGCGTAAGAGACCGCTTACCGCTGGTGTTGCTCTGACTAAAGCTTGCGCCTTGCGACGCCGAGTCTTCTAGCAGTGTCGGTTGGGGCTGGTAGAGCGTAACGGGGCGCTTCTCCAGAACCCTAAAGTCCAAGACGGCAATGTCTCTGGCCTTCATCCTCCAGGTCCCTGGCCTGAGGCTCCTGGCGAGACCTGGGTTGACGACATGGCTCTCATTGGAGGGCGGGCTGGCCAGCGGCGTCTGGGATATCCTTGACAGCGTAATGGGGACGTCGGATTTGTTGAGGAAGACGACCTTGTCACTGGCCGGATCATAGTATAGCTCGCACCACAGCGGCGGGCGCGAAGACTCGTCCTGAGACTCGCCGGGGATCCTGACGGAAAACTTGATATCTTTGGAGGTCTGAGTCACAGCCAGAACCTTGTGCTCGGGCTGCTCAGACGACGCGACCTCGGCGCGGAGGGCGAGCCACTGGCAGTTGTCGCTCCCGGGACTGACGGAGCGGGTGTTGGGCAGGCGGGTAAGAGGTCGCACGAGGATGCGGATGCCCTGGCGGTGGTGGCAGTCCTCGACCTGCAAGACGTCGAGCGGGACGACCTCGCTGTCGGGGAGGCTGCCTGGCTCCTCGACGCGGATGCGGTTGTATCGGGCATCAATCTCTGATTGCGAAAAAGGCTCCGTCCTCTCCTCCGAGACCCCTTCCGAGGGCTCGGGCCTGGGTTCGGCCATAAGAAGGGGAAGAAGGCTCAGCAGTCGGTGATGCCTAACAAGCTGAGCGGCAGGGCTGGGTTCGTGGTTGGCGATGAGTACAAGCGCGACGGAGTTCAGGTAGGTGGCGGTGGATGGTTGGTGGGGGGGACGGGAACTGGAGAAGGGGTCCCGTCTCCAGTGCGTGCGTGCGTGCTTGGCTGGTGGGTGGTGGCCTCTTGGTCTGGGGAAGAACTGGGAAGGTACGAACACGTCGTAGTAATACGGAGCAGTGTTAGGCGCAGTGTAGGTAAGGCGCAGCGTTAGGCGGCGGGCGGCGGTGTTGTGCGCGCGCGACCAAAAGATGACGAGGCGGCTCTGCCAGGCAGCGCCGCGGGGTACGGACAGGGCAAGTACTGTCGGTGCTTGATAATGTATTCTGACCGTGTTCACTCACACAAGACAGATGTGGACAAAGGCAAGCGAAAGAGGGAGCAAAACGACAAGGGGCCAACGTCAACGATGCGCCGGGCGCACGCCATAAATGCAGGAACACGCACAGAAATGGAACAGAGTCGTCATAGTCATATGGGCAGGACGGGTGCGCAGGCGTCCTGAACTGCTGATGGCGGGTTGAAAGAGTGACGAGAGGTAGCGGCGTCTCAGCCTCAAGTGTTGAGCACGAGTCATCAGTCATCGGTGGCCTCCTGCACGCTGGTGGACGGGGACAAGGCACAGCAACCCGGGGGACCGCTGCTGGTGCCAGTGCGGGTGCCTGATGGCGGGCGACAGGCGACGGGCCGCCTGGCAGCGAGAAACGCTGCACGGGACTGTTAGCCGCCAGTGTCCCAGCGGATGGGCTGTGCTAACAGGCGGAACCCATTGTGGCTGATGGGGGGGCGGGAGATGGGAGGAATTACCCGTCGCGGGGAGGCGCACACAACCTCGAAGCCCACCGTGGCTGGGCTCTCACTCCTCCCTGGCTGCTGTGCCTGATCCGCCCCGCCCGTCTTCCCGGCAGCGGCTGTCGCCGCCACACCCCAGCGCTGGGCTTGACTGCGCCTCGCCCGGCCTCGCACACAGCCCGTCAGCTGGGCTCCCATCTCCCTCTCCGATCGGAGAGATGAGATTCAGGTGAGTGAGAGAGGATGGTGAGCGGGCAAACTCCAGCGACGCGCCTACTGAGTGACCCGCGACGGGCATGCCGCTTCTTTGTACTTTCTGTATCGCGAGCTCGTCCCATGTGACGGCACGTCATGGCACGCCGTGGCAAACAAGCCGAGCTTGCGGTCGCGTGTGCGCCGCCTGATCGCGATGAGTGACCGCTCTCTCACCAGGCGCGACGTTGTGGTGCGTGAAGCCGTCGTGGCCTCGACCGGGTCGACAGGTGACCGCCAGTCGTCTAACAGCCCACTCGGGAGGGACAGTGTGCACCACTGGTGGCAACTGTCCGTGTTTTTCGAGACGTCGCTAATGCAGCCGGGGTAGGCTTGCATTCAGCCCCCGCCCGCTAGCAAACGATTGGCCCGCGATGCTTATGCAGGTTGCGTGATTGGTCCACGCAAATGGCGGAGCTGCAGTTTCACGACATGGCGCCCAATGAAATGGCCCGTCATCTTCTGCCTGAGGCCGCAACGCGCAACCCCTTGGACACCCGATTGTGGACCGTGTTATGTTGCTAGTACGCTGTCCCCCGGCGGCGCTGCCCGTCTGTTTTCGTCACCAGAGCAGGCTCGCTGTCCCCGTCTGTCCCGTCCATCTCGCCATTTTGCACGATACACACTCTCTACCGCCGTCAATCCCGCTGCCCGCTTCGCCAGCAACCGTCGAGATGCCTCTCTTCACCAGTATCAAGCAGTAGATATGCTCTTGTGTGCAGCCTACACCAAGCGTTGAATCGCAAGATTGACGGGCGTGTGCCCTCGAACTGCGGCTTGACGCCCCCCTCGACTCTCGCAACATGGACGACATTGACTGGGCGTGGCCCTTCTGGAAGTTCGGCATGAAGAAGGACGACCTCTATACGACACTCCACGACCGCTATAACACCTTTACCTCCACTATTCAAGACCCCGAAGCCTTTCACCACGACGTCTTCGAGATCTCGCACGATGCCGACACTGCTGAGCAGTTTCACGGGCTCCTGGCGGCCCGCCGGCAGCAGCGCCTCCGTGAGCTCAACGAGTCTCTGGAGGCGCTCGCCGTCGAGATCATCGCCAACCCGAAGCTGATCGGCACCGAGCAGTGGCAGCACGCCCTGCAGCTCTTCCGCACCCGCTCCTACGACTCTATTGTCAGGTACTTTGCCAGCTACCTGCCCGAAGACCACCTCGACCATCTGTCGACGTCGTCCTACTCTTCCTTCTCCGAGGCCGACAGCGTGCACACTGTCAGCACCAAGGCGAGCAGTACCGAGGATGCTCCTTGTTCCCCGTTCGCCCACGGCGAGTTCTTCCCAGACGGTCCCGTCATGACCGTCGAGCCGTGTATTATCGACCATGATGCCTGCCCGGCAGGTCCGCTGTCACCTCCGGAGTCGGAGGCCATGCACTCCGAGGCGATTTCGTCGCCCCCTGATTCCATCACCTACTCCACGAACCCTCCATCCCGCTCCATGTCGTTTTCAGGCTCGGAGTCGGGGCTCTGCCCTGAACTCCTTCGACGCCGATTCGAGCACCGCGGTGATGACGAGACGTCCCAATCCGATAGCTGCGACACGACTGTCACGTCGGTCTGCGACTCCGCCGAGACCCGGTCTTCGTGCGATTGCGCCGACGATGCATGCGAGGACGAGGACGAGTTCCCTACTGCTCAGTTTCCCGACGACCACTTTGACTGCCTCGACACCCCAACCCTGAATGCCGCCAATGATACCCTAGAATCCGATACCCCGACGCCAAGGCAGGAATGTGTTGCATCCTCATACTTGGAGTACAAGTCTGTGGCCGCCAGACGATTACCCTCACCACATCGACGGTCGCCATCACCGAAATCGCACCTGACACACCGAGACGCCGGGAAACTGGCGCGGGAGGTACGACGAAGTCCGGAGGAGGCGTTGAGCAAGATACAGAAGCCTTTGCAAGAAGCACTGCGGAAGAGACCCAAGGGCAGGAGACGGGTTGACTAGCACCGAGGCAAGCGGCTGTATATATGTGAACCTAACTGTACATATCTGTATCTTATGACACTAACGACCAGAATATCTTTTTACCGATGCCTGATGTCATGATGAAGCGACAGTAGCGTTTCTTGACCATTCGTCGGTGACCCGCTGACGGCCAGTTACGACGTCGCCGGGCTTGTTTTTCTGGGGCCCGGGAGGTGAGTGCAGTTTCTATTTTGCCCCTTTGCGCAGGCGTGACTGGCGCTGGTGGCCGCCATCACGAAGGCAAACCCGGTCAGCCGACCAGTCGGCTTGACCCGAACTCGGATCCGCTCCTGCGGTCACGGGCGCGCGCACCACCACGCGAATGTCATTTTTAGTATTACCCCTTTCGCCTCGTGAAAGTCGTCGCGGCTGCCCAAGGTGAGTTGCGTACTGCGATGACGTAGGTGAGTAGTATGCCAGCAACACGGCAAGGTCGGGCTTCGAGTGAAGCTGTCAACTTTGATTTGTTGTCCCGCGCACGCATGGCTTCGAGGTAAGTAGGTCGTGTCATGTATTTACTGTATGATACTGGCGCGCCATTGATACCGTTTGATGACTTCTTTGGAGTTGGCAGGACTGGTGATTTCTTGTTGGGAGAATTACATAGCTCTACTGTATATCGTAATTGCAAAGCATCCAGTTTCAACTGTATCTGCTCATTTGTGCTCCTGGAAAGGACCTTGTGTGACCGTCCTGGCCGTTTGCTGCCTTGCGGTGAAGCCCAGCGCAAGGCAGCAGACGTCTCGTAACCGCCCGGCGTGCTCTTACTGCAGACGGCCGCATAAATATCTGCACACTTTGGTAATGTCCGCACGTTGTACATTTTGAGACGTGCTATGCGGCACTGATCATTGCAGTAGAATCCTGCCCCACTGGAGGGGGATATCCGAGTTGCAGGTCGTCACCAAACGCCGCGGTAGGTGGGACGTGCTCGCCAGTCTCTTGAAGAGAGCCCCGCACTACAGTCCATGTCGGCTGTGAGATCAAACCTCTGAGAACGATGCGTTGCGGTATTTACGATCGGTACGACATGAGGAACATGAAAGGAAAGGCGATAGGGCTGTTTCTTTTAGTCATGCCCATGTACCGGTGCCTGACAATGGCGCTGTCCCGTGCGGTCTGACTATGATGGCGGTGCAACCAGAGTCATGCCCATGCATGAACAGGAGCACAGGGCTGGCTCTCCGCCGGAGGTCCCGTCGGATTGCCAGATCGGGACATCAGCAACAACACGCAGCGTATGAGTGAACTCGACGTAGAATACCGTCGCGGGCCGCACCGCGACTGCTCAACAACATGCGAGGTTCAAGTCCTGTTCAGGGTGATGAGTGCACCATTGCCGTGAGAGGACTAGAAAGTTTTAGCCGTGACTTGGTTCTCCGACTCATGCTTGCAAGGCTTTCAGAGACATCACTCACGGTTATGGCTGGGAGACGGCAAGGGATTACCGTGCATGTACTGCCAATTGATGTGTGTTGGCGGCGAGAAGACGCCACGCATGATCACGGCCAGGGGCGACAGTCAATTATTGTCACGGGATTGTGATTGATCGCATCAAGCCTCTTGATCTTGTGAAGTCCATGACTTATGCCAAGTTGTGCCGGGTTGCCGGCCGGTGTTTAGCTGGCTCATATCTGGCTGCAATTGAGTCCTTGCGTCCATGTCTGCTAGACGCAAGGTGCGGTTCTGAGCGAGTGCGGCTGATATTCATCACATTGGACTATCAGACGTCAACTTCGAAGACGGTAAGAGGCACGGTGTTCGGACCTTGACAAGGTCCTGTTGAGTAATATTGACGTTCTTCGCCCACGAAGTGAACGACTAGGCTACTTGACCAGCGGACACTCACCGAGTCACACGAAGGCAATTCGACCGGCATTGCGAGGATCAACCAGCTGAGCATCTCTGTTGACTGACGTTCTGGCATGTCTGGGATCGATTCATGCTTTTCTGATGAGTCGTTTCCGTCCGGCGTCGTGCCAAGAGCACACAGAGAGAGTTCGTGACGGGGGCAAGCAACTGTCTGGCGAATGCCTGCCTGGTCACTAGATACGATTGCAGCTAACTCGAGAGAGTGCTTGAAGCCGGAGCGAACTTCACGTAGATCCGTTTGCTCGTCCCTATGGCCAGACAGATTGGCTTGCAGAAGAGGGTGGTTCTGGACACGGAGTGTGCAGCCTGACGACCAGACGCCTCGTCCAGATTGTGTAGAAAACATATCTTCAGTGATGCCGAGGACCATCCCACGAGGCTGTCGTTGCCTGGTCTCACTGCTTTCGAAGTCAGGAATACTGCGCCGAGGGGTGTAAGGGCACGCTCCGACTCGTGGCCAATATCCCCCTTTGTCCATCTGCAGACATTGTGTCTGCGAGAATAATGTAAGTTATCGGCATACTTCTCTAGATTTATACCATTGCGGCATTTCTACGTGCTGCTGTGATAGGTGACAGGATCAACAACACCGTCAACATTCAGCTGTCGTGACCGATGTGCCGAGAAAAGAACCTCCTGAATCACTCATACTCGACTGTCATTGCTCGTGTCCCTATCCATTGCACTGCAGACAGCCTAATGAGGAAAGACGTCCAGTCAATGTCAGCTCATGAGACATCATGTAGCGTTCTCAGCAGAGACGGTGAAGTCAGGTAACCTACATTGCGATGAACACCATGTCAGAACATGTACACTGCTCACGTCTCAGAAGTCTATATATGATCCCTTGTGACGCGCTTCAAACGAAACGTCTTTGCCCCCCAACTCCCACAGCACATCGCAGTAGATTGCAGCAAGTCATCAATCGATCTCCGAAGTTCAATTTCTACGCATCATCATTTCGTACTCACGACATCACGCCGACAAGATGCCTAACCCACCCAACCGCCACATGCACAGAGTTGGAGGCGGCGATGGTCGAGGGAACACCGACATCAACTCGGCATACTGGAAAGCCTTCGTGATGGCGCTCCAGACGAGGATTGGAGGAGCCGGCAATGACAGGCTCTTTTACGCGGCTGCCGAGACAAACCGAAGCATTCCGGCCTCCGAGTACATTCCGATGGCCACCACTAACGAGTTCCTCTACAATGAGGCGGATGCGTTGATTCCGCTTGATGAGCCCGTGTACAACCCAGGCAACGGAGGATATTGCGCAGCTCTGTTGCAGTACAAACACCCACCATAGCTTACCGCAGGAGGGACTTAGTGCCAGTGCTGACAACCCCCGTCTTGTCTAGGTACTTGAACTTATACAGGGTTACCGTGGGTAAATTGCTCTTCAACTTGAACACGGATTGCTTACCTGACGTTGCAGCTCACTGACACGCACGACCATGACAAGGCAGACAAACTGAGGAAGGAGATGACCGACGCGATAGCCGAGCTCAGGGTCGCCAAAAGCGCCGCTTTGAAAGCATACAATGAGGATGTGAAGAATGGCATCACAGCAAAAGGCCAGGGCTTTCCCAAATGGTGTGAGCAGAACGATCCCAGCATCAAGGCATTGGAAGAGACCATGCGCACGAAGAGTGCCCTGTTCGATGCGTGTCAGAACGGCGATGGCGTCGCATCGAACTTGAATACTTTCCGCAACAGGGTTAACGACGCGGCCCTGGGCGCAGGCCAAAATCCGGGGTTAGTACGAGAGGATCGCAAACCCCAACACTGCCAGCCGACGCTGCCATTGCTAACTCAAATGAAGTATTTGCATGCAATGCTGCCCCGAACCGATTGGCGACATCGCAGCCAAGATCCACACGCCGCCTGGCCAGCCGAAGCCTCCGATCGCCCAGGAGCCTGACGTGAGTGCGTCGTACTGGCGAGCTGCATACGTACTCGACCCAACATACAGGGGCACCATGGACCGCTGGTCCTCAAACTTTGAAAAGTCTTCGGCCCACAACTCTATCAATCTGGACATCCAAAGCGCCATGAACAAGAGTTGGAAGGACCTTGGCTACGAGCAGGTGGCAGCTGGGTTCGACGCCAGCTGTGCTGGTTTCATTCGCGTCGGAGCTAGCGGCATGGAGACTTCCAAGTACGAATCAGCTGGCATTGAGCATCATCAGACCGGGGTTTCTATGTCGATGTTTTGGAAGGAGATGCAGCTCTTTAACGTGAAGCGCGGGACCTGGTAAGAGTCATCGCATTACCACGGGTCAAACGCTGATACTACGCCAGGGATGTCCCCAATGTTCGCCAAACGTTTGCACTCCCAGCTGGCCATGCGGGAACCGGGCTTGGTAAACGCGCCGTACCAACTCAGTTCCTTTGCGCTTCTGGGTTTGGCCTCAAGTGCGTCCTTCAGGGCGAGGCCAAGAAGGCGTTCAATGAAGCTTGGGAACGCCAGGTTGCCTCCAAGGGCGCAGCCAGCGTGCGAATTTGCTGCTTTGGTTTTGACGCGTGCGCCAAGTACGACAAAAAAGACGAGCAAGAGTCGTCGACTTGGGAATACGATGCAGCGAGTGGCACGATCACAATCAACCCAACCCCGACTTTCGGTAACGCGGTGCTGCTGGGCATCTGCTGCAGCGTGGTCGAGCTTTAGGTGAAGGAGGACGAAATTACTCGACCGGTCTTCTTTCAACAAGAGATCGGGGTTTGCAGCAGGCTGAATGGAACTTGGAACCGTCCGGTGCGGCACACCAGACAAAGAGACGACGACCAGGGTCTACTTTGGCCATGGAGGGGGACTTGGTGGGATTTGCATCTCACATTCGCTTTGATTTTTAAGTCATTCTTTCCCCTTCTGAGGGACAACAGCAACACTCCTTTGAATATACGAAGATGCATCTCACATTGACGCGGGGCAATGATCGGGAGGTGTTTCGCAATCGCCAATGCATCGTATGTCTACATGCAATTTCGCTGACCACTCTAATCCCCACAAGTCTTCGCTGATGACAACGAGCATCATGGCCGCATTGATGTGCATCATGAGCTGAGTTGCTCCATGGGGTTCCGCACGTGCAGTGTATGAAACGGGTTGAAGTTGAGGGAAATGAAGTAGGTTTGGATAACGGCCATAATTGAACGTGATATGCATGACCCGACGGGAGACAAAAGCCAGTTCTACGGCATGCTGATAGATGCATCTGCGCCTGGCCCTCTCTTGAGTATTCCATGATGGCAAATGAAGTTTGACGGCATAATCTGATCGTCAGAGGCTGCGAACATCACGCGCCGAGGATTCCGAAACATTGTTTGCTGATTTTCGCGGAGATCAATGGGGCACAACCCTTTTCAGTCTCGTGTTGGCGTGAACATATGCATGTTTGCCAGGCTGTCGTTCGCCGGGTTCTCGTCCTCCCGTCCAGATCCCGCCGTCTCGGGGCAGCCTTGCGAAGGCTGTCTGCAAAACTCAGCTGACCCGCACTCGTCAATGGAGGACGTTCTGAAACATAACTACAAGGCCGGAGGCAGTTGGCCCGGTATTTGGGAAGCCACACACGCTCAGTCCCTTGTGCACAAGCGCTAACCTACTTCCGAGGCGACAGAGCGATCTCTGAGGGCTGCAGGCCGATTCGGGGTTTCCGCCAAGACGGAGGCCAGCCGGCGGACACGGAAGGCTGTTATTTCCAGCGTGTCGAGACAAAGCGTGCCAAGATGCAGGCGGTCAAAGTGGCTGTGCGCCGCACCAAGGACGGCCTAATACTGGCGACGTGCAGGGGCCCGGTGCCATCAGGAGCTTGCCAAGCCACTGGGCAGAGAATCTTGAAAACGGGTAGATCATGTTCCGGCGACTCCCTGCTCCCGTCGGCGGGGTGGAAACTGAGCTTTGTGATCGTTAATGTACGAAGAAACAAGAACGTGAGCCCGGGCGTCGCTCGGCTCGCCTACAGACATGGAAGGACACTGGAGGCTTCTTCGACGCCCGCAAGCGCAAGCGCAGGCCCGCCATTCCGTCGCTGCGGCAATGGTGCACAAGAGCTTCAGACGTCAGCCCCGTTCTCCGTCATGCGGTGGCTCCTCAAAAAGCATTGTCAGTCGAGTCAGTGAGCGACACTTGACGGGCGCACCCCATGTCCAGAGGAACCGCAGCCTTGGCCTGGTGGTCCGCCTTGGTGACGGGCCCCCTTCCCCAAGTGTTAAGCGGTAGCGACGACGGGACTTAGACCCTCTTTGGTGACAGATGGGGGGCTTGGCTGGCGTTGCAGGTTGTTGTGTCAGGTTCCAGGGGGCAGGGGTTCGTGTCAACGGCGCTCCCGCACGGGCAGCGGGGGCCTACCAAATCGGGCAACGACGCCACTTAGACGGGGGAGTTTGCGAAGTTGCGAGACAGCGAACGGCGGGACTTGGACCGTCACGGAGCTCATTCTGCGGCACGACTCCGTGCTCCCTCACCGACATGCTGAAGATGCGGCGGGCGGGCTGCTGGAGAAATCGCCAAGGCCCTCGCTTCGTTCCGAGAAGCAAATCCGCATCGGCATGCAGCACGCGCCACAAAGCACGAGGTATGCTGAACAAGACATGGACCCGCTCCTTGCGTCGGCCGCATCCGAACCCTCGAGCCCGACGTCCCCACGCGCGGCAGCGCTCACTCACTCAACCGCGTACCGTGACGTCGGGGCCCTTGAAACTCACCTGGCACATTCGTGACGCTGGAAGCTCGTGTGCTCGCCCAAACTTCACGAGGTGCTTCGTTTCGACTGATCTTTTGCCCCCTCGCGCGTCCAATGGCGGCCGCCCCCTCGCGGCTCACGATCGCTTCACCTCACCCCGGACAGCAGGGCCATCCGGGGCCCTGGCGCGAAAGAGATGGGCCTCCTCAAACGGGCTTGTGAGCTCAGCGCTGGTCATGAGCGCAGGACAGGAGCCTTCGAGAGGCAGGAGCCGTTGAGAGCGAGGCGCTCGGCAGCTGGGACCCTGGCCTGTTTCGATGCGCGCCCGGCGCTGCTGATCATCGACGGCGGATCATGGCCGACGATGGATGGGAGAGGGCGAGGGGCCGGCGGATGCGAGTATAAAGCAGGCGGGTGATCGCCAGTCGTTGGCATTCGATTCATCACCAGCAGCCTCACTCAGCAGTCTACTCCCCAGAGCCCACTCTCCCCCCTTTCCTAACATCTTCACTTCAACGGACTCTTTGCAGTTCTTCCTGCCGGCCAGGTTTTTTCTCGACATACACAGCTTATTTGTACCATTTTCTCTATTACATTTGACATCAACACTTCCGCCATGTCTCTCAAGGTCATCCTCACCACCTCGGCCCTGCTCGCCGCGCAGCTCGTCTCCGGCCACGCCGCCATCATCAAGGCCGTCGGCGACGCGGGCGGCTCGGGCATGGCCATCGGCGTCGACCCCAACACGCCGCGCGACGGCACGCGCCGCCGCCCCTTCCAGGCCGACTCGACGCGCTTCCGCGGCGCGTCGGCCAACTCGGTCGGCGAGACCATCGGCGCGGGCACCAACGACGCCGAGTCGGGCACCGCAAAGGTCATGGACCTGGCGGGTGGTACCCTCCCCCAGATCACGCCCGGCGGCTCGCTCCAGATGACGGTCCACCAGGTCAACGCCGACGGTGCCGGCCCTTTCAAGTGCATGATCAACTCGGACGGCACGGCCCAGAGCTGGGAGAACATCCAGGTGACGACCAACGTGGCTGGTAACCAGCGTGGTCGCAACAACGCTGGCAGCGCTTCCGACCACCCGCTCGTCGCGGCTATTCCGGCCGACCAGACGTGTACCGGCCAAGTCGCTGGCCAGGACAACGTCTGCATGGTGCGCTGCCAGAACCCGGCTAATGCTGGTCCCTTTGGTGGTGTCGTCCCTGTTCAGATGGCCAATGCTGCCGGCGCTGGCAACGGTACCGCCCCTGCGACTGGAAACACTGGCAAGACTGGCAATGCTGGCAACACTGGCAACACCGGCAACACTGGCAACACCGGCAACACTGGCAACACTGGCAACACTCCCGTTGGAAACACCGGCAACACCGGCAACACCGGCAACACTGGCAACACTGGCAACACCGGAAACCGCGCCGGACGTGCTGGCCGCCAGGGTGGCCGCAACAACAACAACAACGCTGGCAACGACGCAGCTGCCGCCAACAACCGCGCCCGCGCGGTCGAGTTCACCGCCTAAGTTGAGGATACCTGGTCCGCGCTATGGACTGCCGGCACACCTGTCTACGGGGTTGCGACATGGAGCTTGTTGAGTTTACAAAACCGCCGAGTTTTGTGGAACCATGTCAACTTGTCGACGGCGATGCTCTGGCGTTTGATTAGACCGCGTGGGACATGGGATTGCGGGGGAGCTGGGCTCTGCTGAGAAAGTACATTTTGTCATAATAGTGCTGCTGCTACATTATTTCCTATGTCTGTTCAAAGATGGTATATTTTCGCATGAGTGTGTGTGCCGTTACCATCATTGTGTAGTTGTGCCCACATGGTGACTGGATTGCCTTGTGATACTCACAGACATGTCGCGCCGCTCTTGTCAAGTGCCTCTGAACACTCAAAACCGCACTTGCACTCGCATGTTTCGTGCCACCAACCCTTAATCCTTGACCTTGACCCTGACTCTCATCCTGGTCCCCAGCAGCCTTGGCACCGAGGCCGAGCATCCGGATCGTCTTGTCACACGACACTCCAGATATCCCCGCCTCCGCCTCCGCCTCCGCCTGCGACTGACGGCCGCGGCCAGACACCAAACGTCACTGCACCCGCATAAATGATTTGCCCGCGCGATGTGCGAGCTAGTCGAGCGGAAACGACAACCCTGCCCTCCAGGTTAAACGCCCGTTTCGAGAAATGCGATTGGACGGTGGTTCGCGGCGGTGATGCGACAGACGTGAGACGCAGAGCCGCCTAGCGGGCTGGCTGGCTGGCTGGCGGCCTGGCTGAGCGAACCGCCCAAAACCCATGGCTTACCCGTTTATAGCGGTTACGAGAGTAAAAGAGAAAGAGCAAATATTGCTAGTTTGAAGCATCGTGAGGGGCTGTGCGGTCTCAGGACACGGTCGATGTGGAATCAAGTGTCGCGATGCATGGGAAAGGCCTCCCGCCGGCGCAGACACTACAGCACATGACCCCTCCCAGTTTGCCATACAAGAGTTGCATTGCTGTGCTATATTGAGGGCAGGTAACCAGTCGACCCCAAGCATACCCAAACCTGACAGAAATAGAATTACATGCGCCTCGGGAGAAGCCGAGGGTTGACCAGCGCCAGCTCCGCCAAGTGCTCCTCCCAAATCTCGAGCGGGCTCTGCGTCTTATGCTCTGTCACCGTCATATCCCCATTCTTGACGCCGTACAGATACGGCTTCTCGTTCGCGTAGCAGGCCGTCTCCTGCTCGTCGGGCACGACGCCCTCGAGGATAAACTTCTTGGCAATGGAGTCGGTGCAGTTGGACGTGTCGCGCGACGAGTGGCCGTAGCCGTGGTGGGCAATGAGCCTAGCGTTCTTACCCATCTCATTGAGGAGCCTTCTTCCGTTGCGCAGCGGCGTCGCCGGATCGTACGTCTCGGCAATGAGGAGCACGGGGTGCTTGAGCGTGTGGTTCAGATCGCCTCGATACACTTCGGCAGGCTCTGGCCAGTACTTGGTAAAGTGACGACAGGGAAACACGTTGGAAAAGCGCGAGTTGCCCGCGATCCACGAACGCTCCGTCATGTTCTGCCACAGGCCCTCCCACCAGTCCATGCCGCCCTCCGGCTCCTTGGCGTCGTACGAGTCGGCGCAAATCACCAGCGTGCCGAGCTCCTCAGAGCTCGGACGCTTGTTCGGGGGTGACGGCAGCGTGGGGTCGTATCCCCATGCGACACGCTCGAGCATGGCGGCGGCGAGGGTTGCGTTGCCCGCCTCGAGCTCAAAGAGCATTTGCGCGAGCGCCGGCCAGCTCTTGGCGTTGTACATGGAGCCGTACAGGGCACCAACAAGACTCGAGTAGGTGATGAGCGACGGGCCACTAAAGTCGGTATATCCGGGAAGAGGGCGCGCGATGAGGGAGCTGATGAGGGAGTGCATGCGTTTCTCCAAGGACTTGAGCGTGACGGACTCTGCGCTGACTTGCTTCGCGAGAGCGCAGTGCTTGGGACCGGCGTTGAGGCACTCGCCGAGGAAGCCATCGTGCCAGGCATTGGTTCCGTTATCCAGCGCCGTCCATCCAAACCCGCCGACCAAGCGATGGTCTCTGACGTACTCGGTTCCGTCGAGAATCATCCTGCCGACACTATTGGGAAACATGCTGGCGTACGTCTGCCCGATGCCCGTCCCGTAGCTGACGAGGTAGCCTGTCAGCTCATCCTCGGCGAGAGCCTTGCGAATCTCTTCAAGGTCGCGCGCCACAATTGCGGTGGTCATGAAGCGTGGAATGTCCCCGTGCTGCTTATAGCAGGCGCTGAAGACGGAGTCGCTCATGGCATCTACAAACTCGAGCTGCGCTCGGGGAGAAGGCGAGGTCTCGCGGTACTGGTTGGAGCGCAGGGCCCAGTGATCGCGATCGGCGTCAAAGGGGAAACAGGAGATGGCCGGTAAAGAGGCGTTGACGCCGCGGGGGTCCCAGCCGAGAACGTCGTACTGGCCGTCACTCAGGCGCTTCGTGATTTCCTCGGACAATCGCCAGGCCATGGAGGTGCCGCTGCCGCCGGGGCCGCCGGGCTCAATGACCAAAGTTCGCTCGCTCTTCTTGCCACCCTTGTGGTGGCCGCCATGTCGGCCACGGCGGTGGCGCCCGTGAGGGACCAGCCCAGACACCTGGAACTTGGTGACGGCGAGACGGGCGATGCGTTCATCGGACTTGTTTGAGTAGTCAAGAGGGACGTCGAGATAGCCACAGAGGTAAATGCCGCGCCCGGAGAAGGGGGTATGGGGATGGTGGTGGCCCCCCTCGTGGTCGGCCGCGGAGGCATTGCCCCAGTTCCAGTTGGTGGGATCTGGGTCGAACAGCCTCACCCAGCTGCGAAGAGGGTCGGGGTCCTCAAGAGCCGGCGGCGTAGTCCTGTCGGTGCATGGAATGAAGTGGAAAGGGTCGTCGGGGCGGGGGAACCTGCCGAAGGGCGAGTCCTTTCCGTGGCGGCCTCGGCAGAGATGCGGTGCGAAGGGGAGCTTGGAGTTGACGGTGGCGAGCAGCACGACGGCGGCAACGCCCGCGCCGACGAGGAACTTGGAGATGCGACTCCGTGGGCGGGGCCGGCGCGCGGGCAGCTCGACCGGGTGGTCGACGAGAAGCTCCTTCTCCATCTTGTGGGGGGGAAGCCACGAGCACGAGGGTGAGTGCGGTGGCGATGAGCAAGGTTTCAAGGTGAAGGTTGACAGATGAGGATGGTTCGTGGCGTTGCGCGTCCTCGTTCGGCGGCGCGTGTCACTGCATCAGGACGGGACGGGAGCTGCCAGCGCTCGCTTCAGTGCGCACGTCACCAAGCGGGCCGCTGGATAGGCTACTGGCTGCAGTGGCCGGTGCCTGCTGCAGCGGCTCCACCGCCTGGACGGCCCCGCCTGCCGGGGGTGGCGTACCCGGATGCCCAGAGGGCATCATCGCGACTTTCCTCTTTGGGCAGTCCCAGGTACAAGTTACGGAACAATCAACTCAACGCCGCTGCTCGTCGGTGCCGGATGATACGGAAGCAGATGGACATGCGTATACGAAGCGTCGACTCCGGCTATATCAACGGCGTGGGACCCTGGAAGAACGTCTCACGGCGCCGCATAATACGAAGCAGCTCGACAAAAAGCCCCCCCGTCTCCGGGCCGCGGGTATCTACAGTACTTATCCCATCTCACCAGCCGCCACCACGCAACCCAGAGTTTCATCACCACGCAACCGGCAGCCCGCAGCCCGCTTGAGCCTGAAGGCGAACCACCCGTCCCCACTTGCAGTGCTGACGGACAGACGACCAAAGGCGGAAGCGCAGCCATTGGCATTGCGGGGGCGGGGGGACGTGGATCGTCCACGGCACAGCAGGGCCGACGTGCAGCAGCAAAAGCAACGTATAAGAAATGCCGGCAGACTTCTGTCAGAGACACGGAACGCCGAAGACCGCACCTCCACATCCTGAAGCTATCCAGAGGACTCCCAACTACTCAATTGCATCGGAGACATTGCAGCCATGACTGTCAAACAAGTCGCTCGTTACGGAGACTGGACGTCCCCCATCACAGTCGACTCCATCGTTTCCAAGTACAGGGCCATCTCCGCCCCCAGGGTAGCCGTATGTGCTCTACCCTAGATCAAACACGATGATACACGATAGCGAGCGCTGACGTCCGGAAGCCCAAATCCGGTCGGGCATTCTATAGAGAAACGACACCAGACGACCGCGGCACTCTAGTCGAAATTATCGGCGACGCCATCACAGAGGTCCTCCCCGCGCCATACAGCGTCACCAACCGCGTCTACGAGTACGGCGCTTCCCTATACGATGTGCTGCCCGACGACCGCATCATCTTCTCCCACAGCGACGACTCCGTGTGCGTCCTGGACCCGGACACAAGGGATGTCAAGGTCCTCATAAAAAGCCCCGTGCTGCGGTACGCCAGCTTCAGCGCCAATCCGCATCTCCCATGGGTGCTGGCCATCGAGGAAGACCACACTCATGACAGTCCCCTCGAGATCCAAAACTATGTCGTGGCCATCAACGTCGACAGCGGCGAGGTCAAGCGTGTTGTCACGGGCTCCGACTTTTACTACATGCCGCGCTTCAGCCTCGACGGGAAGCAGCTCGTCTGGATGCAGTGGGATCACCCGGACATGTGCTTCGACGCCGCCGAGCTTTACCTCGCGGACTGGGACGACGGCTCCGTGTCGGGTCGCAGACTCGTCGCCGGTAAGGGGTACGAGAGCGTGGGGGAGCCGCGTTGGGGCCGTGACGGCTCGCTATTCTTCGCAAAGGAGGCCGGTCCGTATAGGCAACTGTTCCGGCTCTCTCCCGGGGCCGAAGCGGCGGAGCATATCGCCCTCAAGTGTCTTGAGCACTCGGAGATTGGACAGATGGGACTGAGCGAGGGAAGGTACGTTCACCTGAGTGCATATACATTTCGAAACACTTCAGCGACTAAGTTCAGCCCGCGTCATCAGCTGCACCTACGTGCCCTTGTCGAACAACGCCCTCATCGCAAGTGTCGGCCATGACGGAGACCGGCGGCTCATCACCATCAACCTCAAGACGAAGGAGTGGCGCCAGATCGCGGACGACGACGACGTGTGCCAGGTCTCCGGCGACGCCATGGCCCGGCTCAGCGACACCTCGTTCCTGGTCGTCTCGAGCGGCACCACGACGCCCACCTCCATCCGCAAGTTTGACGTCGCGCGACCTCACGAGAACAAGGTCATCCGCAAAGCCACCGACGAGTCGTACCCGCCCACTCTCTACTCCAAGGGCGAGCACATCACCATCCAGTCCAAGGGCTCCCCGTCGAGACCCATCCACGCCTTCCTGTGGATGCCGCGCAACCCGGACTTCACAGCCCCAGAGGGCCACCTGCCGCCGCTCATCATCAACGCTCACGGCGGACCGACCGGCCGCACGGGCAGCGGCCTGGACCTGCGCACGCAGTACTTTACCTCTCGCGGCTATGCACTCCTGGCGCTCAACTATACGGGCTCGACGGGCTACGGGCGCGCCTACCGCAACGCACTGTTCCACGGCGGCTGGGGCGTGCTCGACGCCGACGACGCCGCTGAATTCGCGCAGCACCTCGCCTCGGCCGGGCGCGTCAAGGCCGACGGCATCGCCATCACGGGCATCTCCGCCGGCGGGTACAACACGCTGCAGGTGCTGACGCGGCACTCGTCGCTCTTTGCCGCGGGCTTGTGCGTCTCCGGCATCAGCGAGCTGGAGCGCTTCGACGGCAAGACGCACAAGCTTGAGTCTGACTACTCAGCCAAGTTGCTCCTCCCGCAGGGCGGCGTGGACGATGATGTCAAGAGGAAGCTGTATCGTGAGCGCAGTGCATTGTATCATGTGGAGAGCATCAAGTCGCCACTGGTGCTGCTCCATGGTAGGGACGACTCGGTGGTGCCTGTGGAGCAGGCGACGCTCATGGCGGACAAGTTGCGGGACATGGGTAGGGATGTTGGGATCGTGGTCGTGGACGGAGAGGGGCACATGATGGCCCAGCCGCCGAGTGTGAGGCTCTGGCTGGAGGAGGAGGAGAAGCTGTGGCGGAGGACGCTGCTGTAGGGCCAGGTCTAACCATACAAAGTTGCAATCGGCAGTCTCAGTGGCAGTCCCGGCAGGTAAGCGCTGGCTGCTGAGTGCCAGTCGGCTTGAATATACCAAGTTCTATTGCGGCCGTTGCGGAAATCATGAAGCTCATCCATCTCCCCTATTCTTGTCTTGTCGCCAAGCCCATGCCCTCCCTTCCATTTTACATGGCCTCCCGTCCCGGGTCCTGCATCCTCGCCAACTCCAACAGCAATCTGTACACGTATATAACTCTATCCTCCTCCCTCATCGTCTTGGCCGCCCACTCCCTCCCCTGATCCGCCACCCTCTTCGCCCTCCGCCTCCCCTCCTCCGTGCCCGTCAGCCACGCCACCATCTCCGGCAGCTCGCCCAATCCCTGGCTCACGGGGAAGAAGTGCACCCAGGGCACGAGCCGCTCGTCGTGCCACTCGCGCAGCAGCGTCTGCTTGAGCACCGCGGAGCGCGACGCGAGCAGCTTGTTGAAGCGCCCGCTGATGCCGTTGCCGTCGAGGTCGAACACGAGCTTCGACCCGAAGGGAGCGTTTTGGTCCGCCCGGCCGTGCATGTCGAAGTACTTCTCCTGGGCCTTGCAGATGTCGTCGTCGCATTGGATGGCGCTGGAGAAGACCACGTCGAAGAGGTCCTTGCGGAGAATGGGCGAGGCGAAGCGTCGGAAGATGCCGTCCCGCTTGCGGAGGTACCAGTACTTCTTTCCGTGATCTAGGCCTCGCGCGAGTGCGACGAATCTTTGTCGGTGGAATTTCTTCCAGTCGTCGTTGTGCCCGTATCCTCCCGTTGTAGACCCGGCCCAGTAGAGGTTGTCCTTCTTCTTGTCCCAATCCACGTCATCGCTGTCGTGGTAAGTGAACCCATCGCCCATATACGACGGGCTCGGGAATAGCACGTCTCCCATCGTCGATAACGTTCCCGGTGTCAGTACCGGCACTGCCCCCTCAATCAAGATGAACGACGTGGGACTTATCACCAGCCCATGCATGTCTCGATACTCGGGGTGTCGGCAGAGGTCCTTATCCACGCGCGTATCCGTCACAAACGGCAGTCCGTGTGGGAAGCCCTCGAAGCCTGCCAGGCCAGGGAGAGCGCGGGTAAGCTTTGGCGATTTAGGGCAGCTTCCCGTGATCTTGTCAAAGATCGGCCGCCTGCCAATGTTGCTCACCTCGACTTCGTCATCTTTTGCAGAGCCTGCGCCGTGCAGCATCACGCGCGGCTCATCAAGGTAATTGGCGAAAAACTCCAGATCCGGGAGTTCGGCCGTCGGGCCCTTAAGCCACCTCTCAAAGGCATCCTTGATGTAGGCGTCGTTCCGAAAGGGGTGGTTGCAGTTCACTTCCTTTATCTTGCCCTTCAGCTCGCACTTCCACAAGTCGACGCCATCAATGCCGTTGGCCTTTGCCATCACCTCCCTGACCTTGGGTCCCGTCATCCTCAAGAAGGGCGCAACGGCTTCGTGAATCATGTCGAAGTCGTCGATGATGGGCGACTCGTAGGCTCTCGAAAAATTGTACCAGCCTTCGAAGCCAGGTGGCGGCTCGATGCCATATCGTCGGCGGTACTCCGATTCGGCGGCGACGTAGGTGCGCGATTGTCGCGCTACGAGAGCATCGAAGCGAGTCTCGGCGGCCCGGGCGAGCGCTTCAATTGGGTACATCTCTCGGAGCTGGAGGATCGTGTCCATGCTGTATATATTGGCCAGCAGAAAGAGCAAGGGAACGACAGCGAGAGTCCATAGATTCGATCTTGGATTGGCGCCTTTTGGGCTCAGGCGGATCGTCTGACCGAGAGAGAATAGGGCGGCGACGATGTGAGATGCGGCATATAGGTAGGAAAGCTGACCTGCGAACAGGGTGTTGCGGGTGGAGGTGATGGCAAAGGTGCCTATCGTGCCGGCGACGCACCATGACGAAGATCGAGCCTATGGATGTGCGTCAGCATGCGCTTCAAGAACGAATTTAGCAGAAGGAGACGTCCATACCGCCCTGAAAGTAGAGAACCAGCTCAGTGCCTTGACGGCCCCGACGACAACCGCCCTGACGAGAGTCCCGCTCGGCCTGTGTAGGACTGACGACCTCACGCACGCGATGATCACCAAGAGCGGCAGAATGCAAAGTGCCAGCGGCAGAAGAAGAGCCTCATCGCCAGAATTGAAGCCCACAGCCGTATCGCCTGTCGGCTGCTTATCGTCTGCGCTCTCCGGATCGACGTCCGCTGCCAGTGCTGCAGACCTTGAAGCTGCGAGGTAGCCTCCGTACAATAGAGCGATTACGACGACGCAGACGGCAAGCGCTGGGAGACTAGGCTCGTTGGAAGTCACCAGGGCGAAGCAGGAAAATGTGGCGATGAGGACGGAGTTCCATTTCGTTGTCAACGGGGCCCAGACTATCCGTGAGTCGGTTACGATAGGAGGCGTTGGTCGTATGCCGAAGACGAGGAGAGGCGTCAGTACCGGCTGACATGGTGTATTAGTATTGCATACAGCATTCTCGTGCAGTGATTTGCTGTCCGCAGCGCGGAAGATGACTTACATAAAGGACAACAGTCCGTTCTTCCGCGCGATACCAGCACGCAGCCGCGATACCCAAGGCGAACAGCCACGCCCTCGTCGAGGCAACGGCGCTGGAAGCTATCTGGCGGATGTCACTGCTTATCGCTCCATTGCTTCCTCGGCGCCTCGACAGTTGGATAGCCGCAGCGAGGGCAAACCAACAGACAATCTCGGACGCGAGTTCGATGTCCGGCGTGGATATGTAGTAGCCCAGCGACGTGCTAAGCAAGGCCTCGCCGACTGGAATCATGGCTGCCGTTAGAGAGACGCTTCATTGACGGCATTGTTCGTGGGAAGAAAGAAGTTGTTGAGGGGGAGGCGGCGGCGGCGGCGGCGGCGGCTCGCCGAGCAGATTCCGTGCCGTTCAACATGTACGACGTCCCAACATGGTGATGAGGCGCTGTGCCACGACGGGGAGTTGCACAAGCGGCTGCTGACGGGGCTCTTATCTCAACGCAGCAGGGAGAAGAGGCAATATGGGGCACAAGCGACCCCTTTTGGGGTCCCGCCTTGGTGGCCTGACCCGGTCACCGACGTCAGCTCCCTCATCTGTACTTTTCTTGTCAAAGTTTCGACCGGGAGGAATGCGAATCCCAGTCGGGTCCCGGGGCAAGGTCAGGGCCAGAGTTTGCTGCGAAAATGTCCCATCAGTGCCACCCTGAACTCGGGCTCACGTAGCACAGCTTATTTCCTTACCCGCCTTTAAGCTTCGTGGTTGCTTGTGTGAGGCCCCGTCTGTGGTTGCACAACATCCCATGCAGGGCAAAATGCTTCCCGCGCGCCTGATTGCCGAATTTAGCATGTGGGACAGCGAATGAGAAGGATGCCAGGGAGCCACAGGCCTATGAGGAGCATTGATCACGGTGCGGAAGCGAGCCAACATGCCTCCTACGTCCCTGGTCGTATGAGCATATACATACATTGGACACCGGTGAGGCTGCAGGTTTCAGGCCGAGTAGTGCGTAGCGCTCGTACCACTTCAAATGTACTTTGTATGGCTAGCTGGACGTCCTGGCAAGTGCGACGCTGGTAGCAGGATGTGCAGCTGTGATCCGTGCTGGGTAACACAATTCACGCTCATGTTCTCAGCTCAAAATTCATCCTTATTGACCAACACTTGAAGATGGTCACCTCAATTTTTCTTCTCAATTTTCTTGCTCGTCTGTCAAGGTTTCACATTTTCGTTGCCTCAGCATGAATGCACTTTAACTCGAGACCCCATGTCCTTGAACGAGGGACGAGTAATTCACCATTCGAGTCAATGGCCATGCTTCCAAACTATGCCGCCACCAACACGCTCCCTCTCGTTGTCCTCGCCCTTGCATCCGGCGCCGTTGCCGATGCTAACCCCAAAGCGGCAACCTGGCATGACACGCCCATCGGTCCCGATGGTCCCTGGAACGCCGTTGAGGTCAAGCTCGGTACGTTGGGCCAAACCGTTGCGCTCTTCCCCGGCCGCAATTATCAGAGCTATGTCATCACCTCCGACTACTGCGCGTACAATGCGTCCATCAGCCACTGCGGGGCTGGGACGTACTCGAAAGACGAGGCCATCCAGAAGAACCTCGCCGGGATCCAGTACAAGCCAGACGCGCAGGACTTTCTTGCCGGCGCGGAGGTCAAGGGGAACAAGACTAGCATGTTCATTGACACGATTGACCTGGGCTGCGAGGACTGTGTCATTGCAAATACGACGCTGAGCTTGCTGGAGTCGCAAATGATTGCGTACCCCGGCGGTGTCTGGTACCCCATCTTTGCCGGCTGTCTGAGCGTTGGAGCAGAGGCCGTCAACCAGACTTATACCCAAGATGATGCACCTGCCATAAACGCCAGCGTCATCCCGTGGTACCTGTCAAGACATCGCAGCACGCCGTCCAGTTCCTTTGGCATGCACGTTGGCTCAGCTGTCTCGAGCTCGGCCATGACTGGCTCGTTGCTGTACGGCGGATACGATCGAAATCGCGTGGTGGGAGACGTTCTCGGCATGGACGGTGTCTTTACGGATGCGATCCTCCTCAAGGACGTTGGCATTCGCGTCGTTAGAGGCGTTTCGCCATTTGCCTTCGAATCGAAAGACGGCCTCTTGGCTGGCGGCAATATCTCGCTCTCGTCGGGCGTTTCTGTCCGTATGGATGCTTGCAGTCCCTACTTGACACTCCCAAGGTCGACCTGCGATAGCATCGCCGCCAACCTCCCTGTCCACTACAACGCGTCCCTAGGGCTCTACATTTGGAACACCGAGGACCCCAAGTACGACCAGATTGTGCGCTCCGCATCGGCTTTGACCTTTACCTTGAGCAGCGCCAACAAGGAGCTGACCGTCAATGTCCCGTTCCATCATCTGAACCTGACGTTGGTCTCCCCGCTGTCCCATAAACCGACCCCTTACTTTCCCTGCAGCACAGGGGGGACGGGCTCTTATGTGCTTGGACGAGCCTTCTTCCAGGATGTCTTCATGGGTGCCAACTGGGAACGGAAGAGGTGGTGGTTGGCTCAGGCCCCGGGGCCGAAATTCCAAGCCGGCTCCAACGTCGTCAGCATCCTCAAGGGCGACACCAACATTTACAGCGGCGGCAGCGATTGGGCATCATCCTGGGACGGTGTTTGGACGGAATTAAAAGCGCCGGGGCCCAACAACAGCACGGGTTCCAACGGCACAGTGTCCAACGGCCCGGGCGCTGCGCCTCCGAGCTCCGGGCTTTCAACGGGTGCGAAGGTCGGCATCGGCGCTGGAGCCGGAGTTGGTGTGATAATTTGTGCTTGCGCTGCTGTTTTCCTCTGGAGGCGCAAATCCCAACGCGCACGACAGACTGAGGTGGCACAGGGCCAGAACGCGCAAAATGGGCCATATCCCAATGACGATGTAAAGGTCGCGGGCATGCTTCAACCCCACGCACCTGCGGAGGTCGTAGGCACTACAGCAAAGGGCCCTTGGGACGGCTTCGACTTCGAGTTGGCTGGCGATGAGCGGCATCCCGGTTCACGCACCAACAGAAAGCCTTCGCCGTACAGCGGCGAACTGCAAGAATTACCATAGCGATGCGGTTCTGTATTTTCTGCTTGGGGTTGGAGTTGGGAGAAGCACGTAGGCTTAGTGGTTGGCGTTTGGAATTGAGCTTGTGAAATACTTTGTACGCTGTTAACATTAAAGTTCAAGAAGGTTGAGAAAGGCTCACGACGATGCTTGTAATACAGTGTTTAGGATGTATTGCCTATACTTGCGCTCAATTTTGGTTATCGAAGACGCACACATGGGACAAGCCGGCGCTTCGTTTAGATGTCAATTGACAAGCTGAACCTTGCACTCATCCATCGCGATCGACACGCTCAGCAATGACAAGCAATAGCAAGGCATATTTGCGGCCGCTCATCCCCAATGCAAGGACGATCTTGATTGAGCCGGATTTGTTCACAGCTCAATCCCTTGCAGAGCGTCATTCAACTTGAAGATTTATAATTATAGATCTGCAGGACTAAGGCACGCCGCACCTCGTTCGCAGTGTGTATTACTCCATCCAGTCCCTGCCGACTCAGTGGAAGATGCGGATTTAGCTCCGGTGGGGTCGCGCGAGCTACCTGAGCAAAGCATGGATGACTGGGGCGAGCCGTCATGCGACCGAGACGATATATCTAGCAACCAATATCCGTATTTTAGCTACTAGGAAATATGTAATCTACTAGCATATCGTCGATAATAGTCGCGTCTACTCGTACACCATCATGATCTGGGAGGGGAGGAACCCTAGAGCCCTCGTCTTTAAGTCTTGGACCCATCTATCACAAGGCATACGGACATAGACATCGGCAAGCTGCTCTATAAACACCCTTTGGATAGGTCGATATAGATAACTATCCTACGTTGAGCAGATATAGCCCTCGCTAAAGTGCTAGCGAGTCGCGTCGGACCGTAAGCCTAAAGACTTGTATCTAGAATAGCAAGGAAATTAGGCGCTATAGCCATACCGTTAGCGATAATGCTTCCTATTGCCTCATTGTCCCGATGTGCCTTACTTAGCAGCGCAATATTTGGCATGAGGAGCAGATATGGCTGTGTCTTTTCCCGGCGTTCACTTTAGCATGCCAGGTGGCATGTAATTCTCACGGCCATCCAACCGTTAACGTCAGCGTACTGGGACACGTCCGCGAGGACACACGTCCGCTCGGTCGGCAGGGTCAGGCGTAACGCCGGACTATAGTTGACATACTAAAACATTATGTGAAACAGTGATGACCACCGTGTCAAACCGAAATGAGACATGCAACATGTCGCGACCGAATAAGCATGGAACGGGAGGGCTTGTCGTACTGGCAAATGTCGGTCAAGGTGCACTCATACATGAAACGCTACAAAGATGCAACACTTATGCAACTGAGTTTCTCGTCTCTTATCTCACCATAGTCTGAAGTCTAACGATTTTAAGGATTCGAACTGCCGCCAACCTTTCCTAAAGTTTTACGTTTGGGTCTGCTATTGCGACCACCACGCCTAGTTACCGCAAGATGTTCACAATGAAGAACTCATTTGGTGTCACTGATGATCAATGGATGTAGCCATTACCAGGTGGCTGATGATCCGAGGTTGGGACGCCAGAATCCAAACACATCCCGAAGCAGAAGTGCTCAACAAGTTAAAGTCTACACCCGAGTTCCTCAGCCAGGCACTCAGGTGAATTCGGAACGGGAAGCGCTACGCGCTTAGGAATATTTTTCTGACACCACGTCTTTTGCGGTATGTCGTTATGACTCATATGCGGGGAAGGCGAAACAAAGAAGGAGTGAGACTGATCTATATGACCTTAGCTCTCGCCCAGGAATCGCTTTACATCTGCTCAACTATCTTATTCACCCGTTGTGCCAGCTCGCGGAGCTTGGCCTTGTATTATTCATAAGCTGGAATTGTTACAGATATGGTACCAGGTAGGTGTCCTCACGAAAAAGGTCGTCCCGGCGATGACACAAACTAATCTTTTGCACCTAGCACTCAAGTACTCTGGTATTTTATACTTCACTCTTGCGGTTCCGGCGTGAATTTTGTGCTGCATGAAGAGACCATTCTTGGCTTTCTGCAGGGCCGCGTCCTGAACCTGATAATGATGGCTATCAGTATCTACTCGTATCTTACTTTAGGGGAGGTGGGAGCTCTCTCAACGTCCAAACCTAGATTCTGTTGGCTAATCAGGTTCCGCATCAGACTCGCTGGCTTACGCGAAATGTTGATGATGAATACTACCCTGACGCAGCACATCTGCCTTGGAAAATCCCACTTGGATCTATCAATTCGATAAGGACCAAGTTTACAGCCAATAGAGCGACAACGACGTGGCCACATGCTAATCTCTTGCCCTAGAGGTCGCCAGCTTGTCACCACATGCAAGATGATGAGAACATTATAACACGACGAAGGTCTGAGACTTCCATATGTCTTGCGTTTAGACAGTACATCCAGCGGCCTGGACGAGCCACTCCTATATTCTGTTCTATCAGATTCCACAGGGGTTGAGGGTAGTGGGAATGTACAAGCATGTCGTCCTAATGCTTGACCTTTCTCATTTGGGTCAAAAGGAAAGGGGGAAGGGTAGGCGCATCGCAACGGCGGCTTTGAGATGGCTACGCAAGTCGAATGTACATGGAAAGACAGCAGGAGGGGCATCTCGATATTTATGTTGTCAAGCTGTTGCGCTCGCGACGAGGGGTAGCCTGTGGTCACGTAGAAGAATCGCAGCCAAAGGGCGGCACGGGCGTCTTACCCGATTGGGGCGGGCGCCCATTCCGGAGGCGGAAGCAGCGTGTTCAAGATTATCCTTGAGAATACAGCACATGTAATTACCTACTGTAAAGCGCAGGAAAGCGGGCTATGGGCGACTCATATTATACCCCGCGCCGCCGCGCGTCTTGTAAGACCGAGCTATCTAACATCCGCTGCCTACGCCCTTTTCCATCTCCTTCTACATGCTGTCAGTATGAATAGGCACACTCGGCTTCATACGCTGGAGTCTCTTAATGCCGATGTTCTTATTGCAATTTTAGCCGCATGCGACTCTTTTAGCGACCTGGCCTCCTTTATCCGTGCCTCGCCGATCTTTTTTCATGCTTTTCTCTCCGCCAAGGCCACCGTGCTCCTGCACGTCGTCAGCAACATTCTCGGGCCTGCAATTCGAGACGCTGCCTTGCTCGCGCAAACCTCCGGGTTCGACGGCGAGGACCGCGAGCGCAAAGTCGACGCAGCTGTCCAAGACTATAGAGCTCGCTTGCATGTCACTAGCGCGCCATGGGTAACGACTCTAAATGCTGATATGGCACTTGCCCTGGTCCGCGTCACACGGCTCGCCCAATTCTACGTCGACCTCTTCAGCTACTTCCGCTTTCAATATTTCGCGCATAGGCTGGATCCAACTCCAGTGGAGCGTCCTCCCCCTCAGCCGCGTCTGAGTCGGACCGAACGTGGCCGGATTGCACAGGCTGTCCTGCGCTGCCAACTGCTCAAGCATATCCACGAGGGAAAGTACTGGGAACCCCGCGATTATCACCGATTCTCCAGAGACGTCCTTTCGCTCTTTCACCCATGGGAATTGCAACAGATCTCGGATATGGACGAGTTTCTAAGCCAGCTCGTCGTATCGCTGGCAGAGTACCAGGTGAAGAAGCAAGACCACAATAGCGGGCACACTCCCCCGCGCTGGTACTTCTGGTGGCAGCACTACGCCCCCGGCCTCGAGGAATTCGCCACGAAGATAAAGCGTGCTCTCGATTTAGACAGCTCTCTACTTGACAGTGTATGTCAGGAGGGAGAGGTTTATAGTGGCCGCCTATCCGCAAGCTATGGTTTCTTTAACATCTTCAAGGGAAGTCACCGCTTTGCAATACCAACTTCTTCACAGAGCAGCCAAGAGTTGGCTGGCAATATCGCCGCCACCGACTTTAGACAGGAAACCAGTACGAGCAGCAAACCCTGGGCTTGGGACGATGCGCTCCGAGGACACGAAACATCTCGATGGGGTCGTGACCTGGTGAAGGCATGTCCGCCAAGCAGCGCAAACCGACGAGAATACGAAAAGACTAAGAGTGCACTTGACTCTTGGAGGTGGTTTGGTATGGTCTTTTGGGACGGCGAGCGAGCCGAGCAGCTTACACAATCGAGCGCGCTCAAGTCATGCAAGTCTGGTTGGCTCGTACCGTGGCAGGATTGAGACAAAGCCCTACTCTACCAACTTACCAACCCCTATAGTAGCAATGGGAAAAGGCTCTAGACGTCGCAATTGGCGTGCGCGGCCCTCTCATAGGCATGCATGGCTTCATCGGGAACGCGCAGGAGTTCGGAGAGGCTTCCTGCGTCGAGTGTCAGCGTGTTGCCCGGGAAGCTAGCACCTGCGTCTTCACCAATCTGCAGTCAGACAGCCTCGTTTACGAACTTGATGCAGTGCATTCGGAACATATAGTCGGGCTGGATACTTGACAACGGAGTCACTTGGCCGTGGTGCAGCATTTGCATTATTGTTTGCGGCGGACAGTGGTTTGACATGACAGGAGAAGGTACTAGGTAGATGGATGAGACGACACACTTGGCATGGCCATTGCATGGATGATGGCCAAAATCTACGGGATCAGGCAAAGAGACATGTACCGATTGTCTCCGATGAAATCCAGCGACGATGGAAAATCTAATGGAATGGACAGGGTGGCTACCTGCGGGTTGTGTGGCGGCGCTGGCTATCGAGGAGGGCCTCCCGTGGAATGCCCTGGAGGGGGTTCTTGATCTCGCCATTGATGTTCTCGGAGAAGCTCGTCTTCAGGCGCTGGCCGTCGTGGTCGATACCCTCCTTGCTGGGAACGCTTGCATTATCAATCACCGGCGAGTCACAGCCCAGAATCCAATGGAAACCCGATCGGGTCTGGAATACACTTGCAGAGCTCAGCAGGGCCCGCCCATTTTGTCGTCCGTCAGTTTTGCCAACTGGCTAGATTGGCATGCGATACACAACCCTATATGAAGGCCCGTCAAGCACGATGCATGATGAAGCTTCTCTGCGCCTACGCTTCCGAACGATCTGTGTGGAAACGTTGTATGTCTTGTACGTTTATGATTGGAACGGCTGGGATACCGTGGATCTGGTTTCAATGGGAGACGCTGCCGGTCCCAATTTCCCGCATGGGCCGTACTTACATTTCCCATGTCCTGGGAGCCTGAGTTCGGGACGGACATGTTGAGTGGTCGCATTCGCCACCGTCTGGCCTAGTCCTTGCTGGAACAGTTCATGCACGAATATTCGGCCACCAAGGCCCGCGTGCTCTCCTGGCCTGGATGGGCTGCTCCAATCTTATCGCGGCCAAGGATGAGCTGTCATGTTGGAAGTTGCGTTTCCCCATGTCCAACCACTAGCAAATTGCTATGGCACGTTTGACGTGGCACTGTGACCATCAATGGCCGTCAAATACAGCCACATTTTGCAATTGTGTGTACACCCTCGAAGACGCACCGTCCTGAGCGGGCATGCTCCACTTGAATGAGTCCTTCCCAGCACCTCACAAAGGTGTCTTTCGGAGCGCAATTGCAGGTATGTCCTCTGGAAAATCTGAGAAAAAATCAGCAACCGTTTCCCTGGGGTGCCGGGGGGTCGTGGGCTTCGGGCCAGGCAGCAGCAGCTGATGACCTGACTCGCCTCCAAATCGGCTAGAGACACGATTTCAGCCCCATTTCGGCGCAAGATCATCGCGGTGGATGGTGAAGCAGCTGCAAAACCGCCACCAGTTACGCCTGATCAATCACTATCCCAGGCCATGACTCTGTCCTCGTTCCATGGCAGCCCTGCAACGCTGTTCCAGGAACACTACACGCTGCCCATCTGGCCGCTGCCGCCCAGACGGACGGCAAGGGACCAGGTGACGGGAAATTCCAGCGAATCAATTGTTGCGGAATGCTGCTGCCTGCAACTTGCCCCTCGGGTCATAGTGCGTAGCCAATACTTCGTAGTGTCCGCACCGCAATATGCACCGTGATTGGACTTTGTCAAAGGAGAGAACTGTCAACGACCTGGCGCATAATCTTGCAACGAGTTTGAAGGATCATATCATCTTGCCTTCTGTGGCCGGGGGGGCACTGAGCATGAGGCGCCTGCGCCAAAGCCCAGACAAATGAGATGGCTCGCATTGTCCTGGGGACTACCTGCCGGCAGCCGTCCAAGGGCGTTTGGGGCCGAGTCGTCGTTACTGGTCGGTTCAAGCTGGGGCGGTTGGAGCGCGTCCAGTGACGCACAGGCTTCACCAGTTCATGTGGTGTCATTCGGTGGCCTAGTCAACGTGCGTCTACTACTCGTAAAAGGATGTGGTGCCCAGACGGGCAAGGTGGAACCATTGTCCCGCTGCAGACGGGCCGGTGGACTGTTGATGTGGATTCGCTATGGCCATTACACTTCATTTTACTGGCTATTCTTAGGCAGAAGCAATAAAAAGAAAAGCTGGGGTAAGGCCAAGTCATGGATCGGACCGTGGCTTGTCTACGAGCGGACGGAGGGAGCTGCACTTCGCCTGCCGTGTAGTGGCAACGAGAATAATGGAAGTGGGGAGTGTGTTGGTTGGAGCTGTGGCGTTTGCGGAGTTGACGACTCTAATTCGGCGGGTAGCTGAACTCTACTTTTGTGGCGCAACTAAGAATCCTTCGTGCCACTGCGGTTGGATGGGGGGTCCCAGGCATCCAGGGACCGCATGTCTGTCCGTGTACCACGCTGTGGAAAGCCACAATTGCTCCCCAATCTCGGGTCGATATTGGCCCACCCGCCGCTAGAACCACAACTTCAGTCACTCGCAGGTTGATGCCTGATGCAATCAAAAGGGACCGCAAGCACTACACAATGGCTGCCATCTCATGAGCCCGTGATTCCTTGCAATGCAACAGCCAACGTCACTGTCGACTTAAATCTCACTAAGCCATCGACCGCCCAAACATTATGACTATCCACGCGCCATGGCTCCAACGGTATGGGCTCTCCACCAAGAACCAACAAGTTTTCCACACCACCGTCGTGATCGTCCTACTTTTGGAAACTGGCGAGATGTAGATGACAAAGAGGCATATATTCTGGAGGGATGGGGCGAAGGCTTCATGTTCGGCGCCTTGCTGATCATGGTAATCATCACCGTCGCGAATATGAGAAAAGGTGTCCTTCTGCACAAGGTCATTCTACTCGAAGTAAGTGACGAGTTGTCGAGACGACGTAGGTGCATCCCGCTAACGGAGTCAGTTGCTGCTTGCGATGAGCCATGGCACCTTCTGCTTCATGTCATTTCATGGCTATGGGTTTTATCTCTCGTCCACGGCAGCACTTCTTTATTGCTCCTATTTCACGCATAATGTTGCGGCGTGGATGAAGATAAAGCCATTCTTCACCGGACCCCGGCCGCTATTTGGGCCACGATATTGTGAATGGGTACGCTGGACGTATCTGACGACGCTTGCGATGACAATACCTGCACTCATCTTCGAGATATTCAACAACTTTCGCTACTTCAACAACTACAGTACATTATACCGGGCCGTTCGCCCATATGAGCCATTGATGAGAGACCCTTGGTGGATCTTCAGTTGTTTTACTCTATTCCAGGTGATTAATAAGAGTTACAGCTTGAAATTCGTCACGTTGATAGGGCGCTCTACAAGATTTGTGATCATGGTCGGCGCAATATTGCTGGCTATAAGTTTCACCATCATGGACATTTTATCGTCAGTCATCCGGGGATTGAGCGGTACAGATGGGTACGTACCAAATTGCTAGCTTCTCACCCACTTCACTAAACGCCACGACAGAATCAATCCCTACTGGAAATTGGCACTCGTCTTCAAGTGCCTCTCGGATAATATCTTGCTGGATGACTTTAAGAGCGTGCTGCAACGTCTGTGCGACCTGAACGCAGATCTAGTGGCCCCGGTGCTACTGAACTCGGTGCATACGAACCCAGGTCAGGACGGAGGTTCAGCTGATAACTGCGAAGAACCGCTTGTAGCTTCTTCATCACGAGAAGCCAGGGTTCAGCCTTCGGACGCGGTGCCGGACCACACCCAACGACAAAACGATTATAACGATTGGTACAAGGCACGGGATATGTCAGCAAACGTAGTCGGAAAGGTTGGGATAGTAGTCCACGAGTTGCCGAGGCTACCATCGTAGTCGTGGGGCTAATGGTGTCAACGAATCTGTCAGAGGATATACCGTCACAGTCGAGGAGGCTCCAGGCGGCCCGGCCCAATTCGACATCGCTGTTAAGATAACTGCGACCTTTCTTCCTCTTGACGAGCAATAAAGAATAGCCAAGTCGAGCCGTTCCGTTGCCGTCGCAAATTGGACTGCTGCACGCACGGGCTTCATGTCTGGTGTCTCGTATTCATGAGTGACTTCCATCCGGTCCGTTTCCACCTCTACCATCATCGAACGTTCCAGAGGGATCACAGTTGGAATCGCGTCAATTGATGAGAATTATCTTCAGGAGATAACATGTTACCAGATTCCTACGCCTTCAGCAGGTCGAGGTCCTCCGGACCGATCGCAAAGGAATGAACATCTGATCTTCTGGCCTTTGCATAAGTACACGTTACGTCGAAAAAATGCCAAACTCATGACCCTCTGCGAAGGCAGTCACATGGGGCCCGACAGGCACCCATCCCGACCGTTTTTTACTTGGCGGCACAGGGTGCTCGATATGGAACTATCCTCCGAGCCGAGCGGCCAACAAGGTATCTCAGTCGATTACGGAGAGTCCGAATGGTGGTGTCCTGGTCGACCTTTGCTTCGGAATTGAGGATCGCCACAACTTTGAATCCCGACCAGCCAGTTTCTAGCGACAGACAATGCCCAGCCGGCCCCTAGCCTCCAAGGTCGCAGTAAACCCTGCTGTATGGGAAAACTGGCAGAGTTTTACAAATAGAATGTCAGCATCTACTGAGGAGCTTTCGCAGATGCTTGGGTTATATCCTGTGCGGTTGAGTTCAAATATCGTGATGAACTGGGCGGTATGGTTGGAGTTAGATTCGCTCTCACGCAGTTTGTTTCAATTTGAGATATTGTTTTGGATTTATCCAGTCCGATATCCTTTGGTATGTTTGGCGAACAGGTTCGAGTTGGCGACCTATGGTCTAAAGCCTGCAGTTTACCGGCATTACCATTCGTCACATTTCACATCTGGAAAACTTCGTTCTCGTTCACCGAGGATACTGTTGCAGACCCATATTACGGTAAGGAGAGGCCCTTGTATCGCCGGCAGATTGTGATACAGGTGGCGTAGGTGGCGGAGTGTCCGCACCAGATCGGTGGAATTCGCCCCGCCTGGCAACTGGCAACCCTACGGCATTGACCACTATAGGTGCAGCAGACGGGCGAGGAACGTGACGGGTAATTCCGTCTATGGCCTCGGCTTCACCGAAATGACCATGGTTCAAGCCGCGCGCCCAACCCAATTGAGTCACGTCTGGGGTTGGCGGAGCGAGATTGACAATCCCGAAACGGTGTATCGCTTTGCAACGCCTAGATATAGCCCGACAACGACAGGTAGCGTCAAGCTGCAGCGATAGGAGAATCGGAATTCAGAACTCAAACCGGCATTCGGGGCTCTATCACCGGGTTGGGACGCACAACAGGTCAAATTTTTTGCACCATGCGAGGGAGTGATATATACCCAGAGTCGTCAAAGCAAACCGGCAGCTCCCTATTCAAAAACACAATTCTCCTCTCAGCACAAAATGGCTTCACCGTCGCAAATTCTTGTCCTTGTCACTGGCGGCTCAGGTTTTGTGGGCTCTTACTGCATCATCGATCTGCTTAATGCCGGCTACAACGTTCGAACCACTATACGGTCCATCTCCAAGTCCTCTGCCCTCAGGGATGTATTGAAGAAGAGCGGCCGTATTGAGGAGGCATCACTCGATCGACTGTCTTTTGCAGGGGCTGACCTGACCAAGGATGACGGCTGGGAGCAAGCGGTCTCCGGCTGCACATACGTCTTGCATGTCGCCTCCCCATTTCCTCCCGGAACCCCTAAGCATGAGGATGACCTTATCATTCCCGCCAGAGATGGTGCGCTCCGAGTTCTCCGAGCTGCCAAGGCTGCCGGCGTCAGGCGGGTCGTCATGACCTCCTCCTTCGCAGCAGTCAGCTACGGGCACCCGCAGCAGGCAGCTCCCTTTACAGAGGACTCTTGGACGAACACTGCTGGTTCAGACGTCTCGCCGTATGCGAAATCGAAGACACTTGCTGAGCGTGCTGCCTGGGACTTTATTGAGTCTCCGGAAGGCGAAGGGCTTGAGCTTAGCGTCATAAACCCTGCGGCTATCTTTGGTCCTATTCTAAGTGCAGACACCTCTGCCAGCATCCTCCTCATCCAACGACTTCTAAACGGCGAACTCCCGGGCTGCCCGAACTTGGTATTTGGCATTGTGGACGTCCGGGATGTTGCTTCGCTGCACTTGCTGGCCATGACAAACCCTGCTGCTGCTGGAGAGCGTTTCATCGCCATCTCTCCGAAGTCAATGACTGTGCAGGAGATCGCCATCACGCTGAAGGAGAGGTCACCGAACTTGGCGACGAAGACGCCAACGAGGGTCATTCCGAATCTTTTGCTTAAATTTACAGCACTCTTCGACAGAGAAGTGGCATCGGTGGCGCCGCAGCTGGGCAGGTGGAAGGAGGGCACAAATGAGAAGGCTGTCAAGCTGCTGGGATGGAAGCCAAGAAATAGGGAGGATGCTATTGTAGCAACTGCGGAGTCGTTGGCGAGGCTGGGCTTGCTGAGGACGTGAAATGCACTTGCGTCTCCCCGACGGCCATAACGTCTGTATCAGCACGGTGCTTGTCCAATCCATCTCTCGTTAGACAATCTAAACAATGACAGGAGGGTTAGTCGCAGGTAAATTGACGTGTCCGAATGTCATCGAACGATGTCATCAGCTCACCGAAGAGGGCTGCGTTTGTTTCCACTTCACTCTTGATTCAGCCAAAGGCTGACTTGAAGGGTTAGTTCATGCCCTGCGACGCAACCCCTTATCGCTGGTTGCGCGTCGGTTGGAACACCAGCTATTCTTTACGCCGCGTAATCCCGAAGCAGTATTCGTAGATGTCGAGTAGAGGCCTGCCACCGGCGATTGATAGGGCCGTCTGGTCGAACAGCTCATGGGCTCAGCGAGCCGATGGTGCTGGCTTGCTCTGGTTTGAGGTTGGAGCCGTCGGGACGGCGAGATTGACCGCACATCCATATATCCGGTCGAGGGCCTCGAGGCAGCTCTGTCCATGCGCGTGACGAGAACCAACATGAATGAAATGCAACCAACCCAGGCGCTGAGCCAGCCGCCCGTCCTCCTGCGCTTCAGAGGTGCCGAGCTCAGCCAGGTCGCGCGATCACACCTACATCGCTGACCTGCATGGCTCACCCGGCTCACCCAAGGTCGCGCGATTGGCCAGAGCGCCGGAGCTACTGGCGCATATGCCACAGAGTCCCCCAGATGCCGGCGAGCTAGCGGCTGTCAGCGACAAGGGTAGCCGGGCTATAAATAAAGGAGTCGCCGCCCACGTGTTTGCATCACTGGCTCTCAGTGCTCGACGATGTTGAGGCTCAGATGCCGTTTACCCCCATCCAGTATGCACTGCGCTGGAGATTTTGATGGAATGCGCTGACAGGACCGATGTTCTGGCAATGTTGCGAAAGATGTCGCTGTCCGTGTGAGGCAGCGCAGGACAGCACGAAGACGGCGGCACATGCGTGTCTAATCGGTGACACTTGAACACATGCATTGACGATGAGCCCAGACAGCCTGCTGCTCCTCGGCTTTAGGAAGAGCCGGGTATGCTACAGAAATTGTGAGAACAGTGCTGGAAATGCTTTAAGGCGATGGCGTCTCACTGGTCGCGTGTCCCTGGGCTTCATGCGGCTCAGCTGGCGTTTGGTCAACGCAGACACTGATGGCGGTAAGGCTCACGGAGTCCGGAAAGGGGCTCAACACCGATTCGCGCCGCCTTTCCTAAAGGAATAAGCTTATTCTGTACAGGGGATCCGGTCGCGTTCAAGCACCGCATTACCCGAATCGGACGCCGCTTGAACCCCGTGTCGCGCTCTGGCAGAGGCTGAGTACGATAAGCTCGGCCATATTCAACATCCGACCACAGGCATGGATCGTTATATAAGTTTACTGCCTTTGGCACGCAAGAAGACGGCACTCCCCTGACTGGTGCAACAACAGACCGTTTCTGGCAGACCAACTCAGCCATGGCAGTCACGTCGTTCAAGCACTGGCTCGGAGCCCTGCTCCTTGCCGTCCTCTCCTTCAACCTCGCGTCGGCCAAGGTCGTCGATCCCGCCAAGGACACGGCGCAGTACCACAAGGCCTTCCCGCTTTTCCGCAGCTCCAACATGGCCGGCGCCGACAAGCTGGCCAGCGGCATCGGCTTCCACTCGTTCCGCATCCCCAGCGTCGTCACCACCAGCACGGGCCGCATCCTCGCTTTCGCCGAGGGCCGCCGCCACGACAACCGCGACTTCGGCGACATCAACCTCGTGTACAAGCGCACCAAGACGGCGACGAACAATGGTGTCAACCCCTCCGACTGGGAGGGTCTCAAGGAGGTCGTCGGCTCCGGCGACGGCACCTGGGGCAACCCGACGGCCGTGGTAGACGGCACTACCATCTACCTATTCTTGAGCTGGAACGGCGGCGAGTACAGCCAGAACGGCGGTGACGTTCTCCCCAACGGCAAGCGCACCAAGGGAATCAACAAGAGCTGGGAGGGCCGCCGCCACATCTTCCTCACGGAGAGCCGCGACGACGGCGCGACGTGGTCCAAGCCCGTCGACATGACCAAGCAGCTGACGCCCGAAGGCAAGGCCTGGGACGCCGTCGGCCCGGGCAACGGCATCGTGCTCAAGTCGGGCGAGATCGTCATCCCCGCCGACGGCCGCAACATCATCGGCCGCGGCACGCCCGGCAAGCGGACGTGGACATACCAGAGCCTTGCGGGCGCTGGCTCCGAGGGCACCATCGCGCAGACCCCCGACGGGAAGCTGTACCGCAACGACCGCTCCCCCAAGGAACATGGCTACCGCAAGGTGGCGCGCGGGTCGCTGACGTCCCTCTCCGCCTTCTCGCTCGACAAGGGCCTGCCCGACCCCGGATGCGAGGGCTCTACGCTCTTCTATAACTTCAAGGAGCCCAAGGCGCCCTCGCGTGTCGTCTTCCTCAACTCGGCCCACAAGACGAGCCGCCGCCACATGCGCGTGCGCATCAGCTACGACGGCGACGCCGCCAAGTGGACGTACGGCCGGTCCATGAGCGACGTACCCGTCGCCGGCGTCGGCAACGAGGGCGGCTACTCGAGCATGACCAAGACCAAGGACTGGAAGATCGGCGCCCTTGTTGAGACCGACTTTTGCCAGACCAAGTGTGACAAGGATGATCACCGCGCCATCATCTGGCGCCGTTTTAATCTGTCATGGATCGTTCACGGCCCGAACAACTAAGCCATCGCATGTCACAACCACATGCACAAAGTAGCATTGGCGGCAGTCAGGGGGCTCAGCCTCTACCACTCCTCAGCAGGGATTCTTCCGTACCTTTCATACCATATTGTAAATAGTACATGTATATAATCATTTCAAGCATATCAGAAAGGTGTTTAACTTACAGCGACAAGCGCTCAGTTGTGCCACGCTCCATGTCCGCTCTTACTTAGAGCCTGGACAAAAGCTCATCGGCAGATGGACTGATGGCGCGGACTACCTCATCTGCCACTCGTGAGCCGGCCGCAAGCGCCCCCTCCGCGTGCCCTCTCCACACGAAGCCTGTCTCGCCGCCAGCGAAGAAGACATTGCCTTCCGGTCGCCACTGGTCCTCCTCCAGAGCCCGCAGGCCGGCGGCAGGCACAGCAAGGCTGGGCGCCTGCTGCTCAAGCTCGACGATGGAGAACGGCGCGGGCACGTCGCATCCGAAAATGCTCTCCACATGCTTGACGACGCATGCCTGTCTGTCGGCAACCTCCCACCGCCAGAGCTCCCTTCCCGGTTCGCCCGCGACAATGCATGTCAGCGAGTATCCTTCCTCCTCGTCGCGCGACGTGTCCTTGACCAGGCAGACCGGGCCGTCGACACCAATGCCCCAGCCCGAGAGCCCGCGCTCCTGCCACCACGGCTGCTCGTACGACAGACGCACCGCGGCGAGGAACCCAGATGGCGCGCTCGCCAGCCACTGCTTGCCCTCGCTCAGCAACGGCGCCAGCTCGACGTCTCGGCACTGTGCCGCCGCGCTCGCGAGCACGACCTTGGCGCACTGAAATACACCGCCTGACTTCGTTGACACGATACACCGGCTCTCGGAAGTCTGGTCGACACGCTCCACGGCCTCTCCCAGGCGGACAGTTCCGGGGCGGAGCTGAGCCGCGAGCGCCTCGCGCAGCTGTTGCTCTGCTCCCGCGCTGCCCGCTATACGCCATCTACTGCTGCCACTGCCGAGACCCTCAAGAGCCCGAACGAGGCCGCCCGAGCACTTGCAGTGCAGCAAGAAGGACAGGGCGCCAACTTCTCGCGCCGAGAGGCCGAAAAGGGCGTAAGTCCAGGCGCTGGCAAGCTTCTGGACGGAGGGCGTCGCGCCGTGCGAAACGACGAGCTCGTGGGCCGACATGGCGCCGTAGTTGGGGAGCATCTGCGCAGGGTGGTTGACGTCGACGCGCTGGCTGAGCTCCTCGATGTTGTCGACAATGCGCGTGTACGAACGCAGATCGTCCTCGCTCAACTACAGAATGGTCAGCGCGAACCCTCGATACCGCATGCACCCACCAGGAAGACGTACGCTGGGTGTGCCGTCTGCGTGGGAGGCTCCCAGCCCTTCCACTGCGTCACGCCCACTGACGAGATGACGCTGGATATCCAGGCCCAGGCTGCGAGCGAGCTCCAAGACGCGGACGTGGGCGTCGCTGAAGCTGTCCTCGGTGGACCAGCCGCCAATGCGCTCTCGGCGTTCGAGAAGCAGGCATGACGCGCCGGCCTGCTGGAGCTCGTAGGCGGCTGCCAGACCGCTGAGACCACCGCCGACAACGATGACCTCTGCCGAGGTCGCTGCGTGGCGAGAGGGAACACCTCGCGGTCGGTACGCCATTTCTTGAACCGCGGCCATGGTGTGGAAGGTGAGCTGTCGGAGGTTATTCGGTGTTTCGGACCACAGCTGTCTTTTTTTCTCAACCAGGGACCCGTATTACTGAACGGCAGGGGGGAAAACAGTCAGCGCTCCTTTTCGCTTGGAAAACACAACGCTCTCAAGCAAGGTAGACGCTGGGCAGAGTGACAACTAAAAGACCAGCCAGCTTGGAGTCGAAGTTTGAAATCACCAGCGGGGTAGGATCCATTGCGTGAAGGAAGGAAGGGATGGGTCCCGCGGCACGGTCATTATCGATAAATCGCCAACATAAACGGCTGTCGGGGGACTCCGCGGCACCCGCCCCCATCGTGACGGCCGGTGGGGCGGCGAATGGCGACGGCAGGCTCGGTGGATCGGCGCGCCCTCCGAGTCTCGCCCGACCCTGGCCGGCCCCACTCGTGCCGGCACGCCGGATTGGCCCGGCAGCCGTCCCGATGCATGTCCCGATGCACATTCCGATGCATGACCGGTGCACGGCCGGACGCACGGGGCCCGGAGTGAGCTGTGAGCACTGGGAACGGAGGACTCGGGACTCGTACGGTGAGAAGCACCTTTGTGGTGTCATTCACTGGGCGCTCATACCGCGCCCGTTTGCTATTTCGTATCGCATGTGTCTCGTACCAACATGAACATAGAACAAGGATAAACAGTCCGTCATCGCCAAATACATACACGGTCGCCCCGCGGCTAGACATCCATCGTCTTCTCCTTGACCAGCTCCATCTTGTCGTCGCCGCGGTGGTGCAGCGCCATCTCCAGCGTCGGGTACAAGACGTCCGCCTCGCCCGTGCGCTCCTCGCCCGCCTTGGCCAGCTCCCACTGCGAGCGCGCGAAGCGCTCCCTCACCGGCTCCGACATGTTGACGAACCGGAACTGCAGGTCCTTGCCCACGTAGCGCCGCAGCTCCATCTTGAGCTCGATGAGCGTCAGCACGCCCGTGATGTCGATGAAGGACACCATGCCAAAGTCCAGCACCACGTGCCGCAGCGGGCACACGTCGCCGTGCAGCGGCGTGATGCCCTTGCGCTTGCGCACCCGCCCGACCGTCTTGCTGGCGTACGAGTTCCACCGCCGCTCCGGCGCCGCCCCCGAAACGTCCAGCGCCGCGTCTGAAGCTGGCTCGTAGTGCACCTTGACTGACTCGACGACGGCCGACTTGACGCGCTCTGCGTTGGCGAAGAGCACGTCCTCGGTGAAGCGCACCATGTATGCGTCCGCGGGGACGTCGACGCTGGATGCCGCCTCGTGGTTTGGTACCGTCCAGTGCGTGTTCTCCGTGTCCATGTGGGACAGCCCGACCCAGCGCGGGAACGCGAGCCGAAGGAGCGTGTACACGATGCTAAAGCCCACAGACGCGGCAAGACCGATTTCCGTCGACGTGAAGAGCGTCACCCAGAAACCGACCTGCGAGGCGACAAAGTCGATGAAGCTCATGCGCCAGTAGCGGTAGAAGAGGCGTGGTGGAGAGATCAAATGCACAACCGCCATGATCTATAATTCTCGGGTTAAAACATGTGCTATAAGAGGCATAGAGAATTATTACTCACAATGATAGCTGATAGTGTCGCCTTGGGAATCCAGTAAAGGACGCCGCTCAGCTCGTAGAGTGTAAGCAGGATCCAGCCCGCGGTGAAGAGAAAGTTGACCGGCGAGTGCACGCCGCACGAGTTATTGACTGCCGTCCGCGACATGGCGGCGCCAGTCGTCATGGACCCAAAGAAGCTGTTGACAATGTTCTCCACGCCCAGGTAGAAGAGCTCCTGGCTCTGGTCGATCTTGTAGTTGCTGCGCAGGCCAAACGCCTTGCCAACGCCGAGATGCTCCACGCTCATGGCGATGAGGGGCGCAAAGGAGCGCGCAAACACCTTGGACAACAGCTCATTGTCGTGTGCGCGTGGTGCCAGGATGCCGTTCGTGTGAGGCTGCGCCAAGTCCCACTTGTAGGAATCTTTATCCAGATTGCGGTTCACCAACCACGAGATGAGCGTGTAGACGAAGAGCACAATCACGGCACGGCTGGTGCTGATGAACTTGATCCACTTGTTCTTCTTGCCCCACGTTGTGCCCATCTTCTCGAGCGCATAGAGAACCGCGAGGCCCGTGAAGCCAATGGCAAGTGTCAGGGGCTTGATGCGGCCGAGGTGGCCCAACACGTCGCGAATGATCTGCGCAGTGCCGGAGCCCGTCTTGAGCCCGACAAGCGAGCCAACCTGCCCGAGGCCGATGACCAAGGCCACTGCCGAGATCCAGCCTGACAGTACGGGGCCGGAGACGAAGTCGAACAGAAAGCCGAGCTTGAGAAGGCCGATGCACAGGGCGTAAACGCCTACCATGAACGAGATGCCGGAAGCAATATCGGCCGGCGCATAGCCTTCCTTGGAAATGTCCGCCACGGCCTCTGCCGTCAGGAGGCCGAGAATACTTGTCGGGCCGACGGACAGTTCTGAGCCATGTCAGCCACCCATCACTCACAAACGGTTCACATCGAATTTACGCACCCTTAGACGTCCCCAGGAAAAAGTACAATGCCGAGGGGATCCAACTTGAGTACAGGCCATGCTCGACAGGAATGGTCGCAATCTTAGCGTAGGCCAGCCCCTGCGGGATGAGCATCACGCCCACCGTGATACCGGCAATGACATCCCGCAACAACCACTTGTAGTCATAGTGCGGCAGCCAGCTCGCGACGGGCAGCTTCTCGACGAGGTACTCCGCCGTGGCCGAGGGCAGGCGACGCGCGATGGGCCCGACCCAGCTACGCGCCCTGTTGAGGTTCGGGTCGGTCCGGTACGCCTCGACAAGGCCCGCCTTGAAGTTTTGGACCTTCTTCATGGCGGGTCGACTGCTGCGTGCCCGGGTAAGGTCGGAGACGGACTGGACGAAGGGGGCCCTGCCTGGAGATGGCTCGGGATGTTCGGCGTTGGTGGTGTTGGACCGCGGCGAGGAGGAAAGGGGGCCTGCGGCGGTCTCTCGGCGTTGAGAGGTCCGGACGGGAAGCTTTAAACAGCTCTCTCGTCGCCAGTTGTGCACATGGGTAGTAAGGGGAACGATATATCGCTGGATGGGACGACGGAAACGAGGTCACGGATGGGAGGAAGAGGGGGATTACGACGAAACACAATGCTGGAGAGTCAAGAGGGGAGCAGCAGTCCGAGTATATACTCGGGGCGCGGCTGCTTGGTTCTCTCGTTTCCCTGATCGCCCGGCTCGTCCATCAAATCATGCACGGGACCCAGCATCAACGGCCAACTTCCCAAAGAGCAATTCGCCCTTCAAAAGCCCCAGGTTTAGCCTCGACACGCGCACGCCCCCGCGCCATTCAGAACCGGGCACACACACACACGCACTTACTCCTCCCCTCTCACTCGCCGTACCATCGCTCCCGGCGCACGGGGAGCGGGATTGAGTTACACGACGCGGGGGCAGACCGTGAGGGGAGAGCAGGTCGTTCGGCCACCCACGAATGGGCGACGACACATCGGCCCAGGAACTACTTGCTAGGGGGGGCTTGCCACGAACGGGACGGGGGAGGAGAAAGAAGGTGTGGCCAGGTGTCTGCGTGTGTGTGTGTGTGTGTGCGCCGCAGCAGGCAAGCAGCCATTCGCATCAGCGCCATCCTTCGCGGCATTGCCAGATCTGGGAACTGCAGTCTGCGCTCCTTCTCGCGTCGTGCCGCCGCACTGCCTCGACGGATCCCGTCCCGTCGCCGAGACAATGCATACTTCATATGTAAGTCCCAGCGCCCGAGCGGGCCTTATCACGACTCCCGGTGAACGGCTCTGGGTCAGTAGTGTAATAGTGTCCCGTCCTTCGCTTTCTTTCTGGGGTGAAGGCGGGTCCCCATGTCAACCTCGTACTTTCGGTGCTGACGCTGCTGACGGGCTGGTCGGTAGTGCGATGCGTGATGTGGACACGGCCGAAAGCTGGGGCCGGATGCGCCAGTGGCTTTTTTCGGCTTCGACACCCGGAACCAAGTAGACAGGATTGCCTGGCCACTCACGCTTGAGATGCGCCAAGGGAGAGGGCGTGTCACGACGAGCCATTGGGCCCTCGGTGCTGTGTTCTGGAGCCCGTTCAGAGGCGACGATCGCCCAGCCCTGCCGTTGAGAGAAACGCCACGAGGAACAACCATGCACGCGGACAAAGGCCCGTGCAAGCAAGCGACGGGAGGAGAGTTTCGCTGCTGTGTGGCTGGCTGGCCCCTGCCTTCCCGGCCGAGACACAGGCCGTCGTCGCTCCCCGGGCTGTCCCTGTTTCGACGAAACGCGGCAGTACTGGATCATCGTCGCCGTCATCACCACGAAGGCAGAGAAAAAGAAGGTAGTATCAAGGCGGGTCCCTCGATTGTCTCGATTTCGCAACTGCCGCGGATGGGTCCTCTGACTGCAGTACCTGGGCTGCTCTAGCTCGCTGGGGGGGGAGGACACCGAGCACGACTTGGACGCAACGCAACGCACGACTGTGGTGAGAGCGGCTCGAATGGACGGACAGGCCCACAACGCAGTCAGTCATCACGGACGGAGGGCTGAGACGATGCAACGCAACTCAGAAACGTGCCGTCTTTTCCGGGCGCAACGCTGGGCAGGGACCTGCCAAGAGAGGCGCGTCCAAGAGTACCCTTCTCTGGCTTTCGCCAAGGCAAGCCGTGGGTGAGCCTCCCGCTTCGTGGCTGTTGCCTTGGAGAGACGGTGGTGGTGGTGCGTCCAACGCCGACACATCTCCGTAAACAAGTGCAGTACTGTGTATGCAAGCTCAAGTAGCCATGGATGAGGTGTAGATGTCGGCTGCGGCGTCAGCTCGGTCAAGGGATCAGAAGCCTGGATACCTGAGGGATGCTTCGGTCGGTCTCGCCCTCTCCCGGGGGATGTTGGCGGCGCTCACTGCTGTGCTGACGGGCTGCTGCCCATGGATTCATTCATGGCGGTCATGCGTCAACCCTCAGATTGAATTCATAGATGCTCCCTCTAGCGCCGCATGCCAGCAGCCAACCCCACGACCTGAACGGCAAATCTGTGCTGAATGATTTGAAGCGAGGTGAGTGAGGGAGAGGAGGGAGACTCATTTGTGGAGTTTTTGGTGCCCAGGGTCGCCGCGGCCACCCGCCAACAGCGACGGAAGAGCCCCGCCGCCGCCGCTACAGGGCCCAGGTGCCCCAGTGAACCCCCTGTACCCCGCAGAGGCGCTCTCGCTAGGGCGCCACGGGGGCTGCAGGGCCTCGATTCGATGCCCGCAGTGGAGGGCCTGCAGTTTCCTACCGGGTGGGCTCCAGCGCTCAAGGTTTACGGTAAACGTCCCGGGCCATGGAATCCAGTCCTGGTGTCGACTCGGCCCTCGGGGCATTTTCCAAGTGGCGAGACCGCCGTCCTGGCACCCAATGCTGCTTCACGACGGACAAGCAACTCCGTACCACATCACGTACTATCCTTCATCGCTTCACTAGCAGCCACCCCTCCGTCGCTACACCGGCTAAAGTGTCAACCACATGGCACTCTGATCGTCGCCTCGCAAGCGGCCAAAAGCAACAACAGCCTGTTTATTGCCGTTCAAGCTCTCGAACGTATAGTTGTAGGAGCAGTGCCATCGGAGCGAGGCAAGCGAGGCTATCGGGGTGGACACGATGTGAGAGCGGGGAAGCTGTACGATGCGGCGGGGCCGTGATGCGGTGGCCCGGTCACTTACACCCTTGCTGGCGCCAGCCTGGTCCGGCTGGGGACGTCAGACGGTAACCTTATGCAAGCTGACTACGAAGTACCATTCCCTCATATTAGCTTGTTTGCGAATGCTCAGCGTAATAGCGATGGGATGCTGATCGCCTCGACGTCGCCTGTGCTGTGCTTCATCGCCGTGAATATGGTACTGGCCCCTGACCACCATGGCCAGGACGCTTTACGCCCTTGGCAACCCAGGTGCAAGGATGATAAACATCTCGAGCTAACGAGGTTCTTACTGTAGTGGCGCACAGTCGAGGCCTTCTAATCAAAGTGCTACCTGCATGTCACGATGCAACATATTGAGTGTTTGAAGACAGGACACAACACACCGAGCATCACCGCCATGGCACATCAAAAGCTCTCTGCTTCCCCTCGCTCAGGGACATTGCAGCTGTTGATCCATCCCTTGACCCTGACCGTGATCCCCTGGCAGGCAGTCACACAGCGCGCACATCCCAACCCATGTCACACCCCTTCCATTCGTCCATCCTTCGCCGCCTCACCTTAGCCGGCCACATCCAGCCCCCCTCACCACATCACACTGCAGCCAGCATCCCCCTCTCCGTGCTAACCTCCGCCGACATGGACACGGCTGCCATCTTCGGCCTGGTCTCGGTCACGGTCGGCAACGACATCGACACCGACATTCGTCCGAGCTGAACTCATCCCCTGAAGCTCCCATGACGATCACACAGCACGCGAAGGACAATCAATATCATCCGCGACGCGGACTTACGCGCTGCGGCACGGAGCAACTGTCGAGCCCTTTGGTCTGGTGCTAGGATTCATGCAGGAATGCGTAGCTTCGCCCGACTATCGAATACGCCGTCCCCGCTTGAACCACCACGGCTGTCAAGTGGTCGAGGCCATGCCAAGCTCCGAGCCGCGATGCTCAACCCGCTGCACGTCTATCTGTGACGGACTTCGCTTCTCGCTCGGGGAATTTAGACAGCGGGATCCATGGGGGCGGCGAAGCTCCTGCCACTGACCTTCCCGACCAGCTTTAGAGACTCACGGGCATCTGTGCCGCATCAGAACCTTGATCAGAGCCCCTATCCTGCAATCCTCATGCCGGGACCTGCTCCATGCCGTGTGCACCCGCCATGCCCAGTTGGGGTTGTCACCGAGCGTGGCAAACCGGCCACTTCCCTCACGGGCACCAAGTCCCGTATACAGACGGAAAGCTGTGGATTTGGTCCCACTGGGGCTGCCGTCAGCAGGAATTGTCCGACGACAGCCGAACGGCGGCGTACGGTGATAAAGTTGAAGTCTCGAAGCCGAGGCGAGAGAACATCCATTGCAGGCACACTGGCTGAGGAACTCAAAGGTACTTTCATATTGCATAGTGTTTAGTATCCTTGATACCAAGAAAGAAATGAGTATCAGCTCGAGACAAGTTTGAATTGTGAAGAAAGAGGACACAGTACGGGAGTGGTAATTATAGACACCAGACTAGGTTCATGTCTGTATGGTGTTGGATAACTCAATGACTAAACGAACCCACGACATTCCCGCACCGTATCTAGCTCTTTACAGAAGCCAACTTCAGTGTTGTCAAGCACTGACGACATGGTGAGATAAATGTTACCGTAGTGCTGAGAAACCGCACCGGGGAAGGACGAGCTTCGGTGCAACTTAATCTCTGGTTTCCTGGCTGCGGAGGCAATAGGCCAGATATGGACGCGTCCGTCGTAACGAAGCCACTAATACTCTCATTTCTGAGCTTTATATCGATGTTTTACTTGGAAAGCTCCGTGAGTTTGCCACCGTACTCACTGGAGATAAATCAAGCAACCATCGCCATTATTCGCGATGCATGTGCTCGTGCACATGCAAACGTCCAGTCTTCCAGGCTTCGATGTACGTACATATGCTCCTCGTAGCACGAGGTCCGCGGTGTGAGGATCAAGGCATTTTTTATGAGAATCTCCAGTTCAAAAGCATTACTGATTCGTCGCCAGTGCTTTTGATCAACGTCTCGAAACATAGAATTCCGAGGTACATGTAATCCTCTATATGGACGCAAACCGTGCTCATAGCCAACATGGCGGCGAGGTGTGGTGATACTAAGGAGGCCCAAAACATGAAAATGCGATGGGCCAGCTTCAGGGCTTTCAAGTTGGAGGGGAAAAGCTTTGAAGTTTTGGCCTGCAGGCAAAAACTTGTACAGCCAGGCGCCATGCGTGCCGGGTAGGATGCTCTCGCGAGAAGAGGCCGCCCTTGGGCAGGGTTACATGCGCCGTAACTAACCACCATGATTACTTTTTTAAAGTAGCAAAGTAATTCAGAACGTGTAGACGGCCTCAGAGGGAGCAGGTTGCGAGGGCTTCGATTCGGATTCGTGAAGGTCGAGGGGACAAGGCTGATGCATGTTGTACTTTGCCATATTGCACCGCAGCACAGGACGTACGGCGGAATCGGCAGATACATTGGGGCCGGCCACCAACGCCGACCAGCAACAAATGTCTGGGCAAATGTCCAATTCTCGGCAATCCCAACCGCGCAAAGAATGTCTCGGCCCATGATCCGCGCTGGATCAACATCATGCGCCCGCGCACTGTCAGCACCACGGACCCACCGCCAATTGCATTCGCGCACGGCGGCCGTCAACAGTGACGCGCTTCTGGCCGCGCCGCCGCGCCTTCGCCATCGCCGCTGGCCAGCACAGCAGGACAGCAGCCGGCGTCCCCGGTTCATGTCATCCGGTCAAGCATTGCACTTGAAGAAGAAGGAGTTCATCGCAGACAAAAATATGCCGCCTAACTGGAGGGAGGAAGTCGAGGAGAGCCTCGCCAAGGTGGATAGGGCTGCGGCGGAGGAAGGTCTGAAAGCGAACAAGTCTCATCTCGAGGATCTCGAAGAGACGCTCAGCAGGAAAACCCTCAAGCCCGACTCGCCATGGGGACTCGCCGTCTACCGCACGTGCTACAATGACGAGGCCGCGTGGCAGGAGATGAAGGAGGACTTGGAGGCGAGACCACGTGAAAGCATGGAATTCTACGTCGACGACGGCCTGTTTGACCGCCATCAATTCGTATTCATGGACGACAAGGCGCGGTTCGACGGCGCAACGCCCTACGAGATTCGAGGTCATTTCGCGAAATGGGCCAGGGAGGAACTGGCGAGGTATTGGGCCGTGCAACCCGTGACGGAGGAGATGCTGCAACGCGACATCGACCAGCTCATAGACACCGCCGGGACGCGATACAACGTCTGCATGGTGGTTGACGACGTGAGCCTGCTGTCGCTGAGCAAGGAGGCGCTCATGGGGCCCCTGACGATGCTGGTCAATAGGAGACTCGGACCCCCGGTTGTTGAATCCCTGGAGGATGAAGATGACCAGCATCCCGACTACGCAGATGGGTGGATGCATGATCGCAACGAGGGCTATGGCGGGTGGGTCTACTCCAGCACGTTGGAGTACGTCGACACGTACGACAAGTTGAGCGACTGCAACAATTGGGAGGAGGATTGGATGTTTGCGTATCCGTCTGTAGTGTACGACAACATGGGCCTCGAGAGGTCGCCGGCGTTTTGGAGGGATGATATTGCCGCGGAAAGGGCAAAAGCTGCCGCCGCGAAGAAGCAATAGGTTGAAGACTTTTCTGGACCGTAGGGCGCGACTCAAGCGTCATGGACCTGGCGCCTCCCCTGTGTGCTGGGAGGGGCGTTGCGAGTCTGCACGGACATGGACTCTGAGACACCGGACGGCCTCGGCCGAGACATGGCGGGCCGTTGGCGCCGTGCCGTGCTGCACGTAAGTTGCAGTAATGGGAAGGCGCGGGCATCAAAACGCAAGCCGTTTACATGCAAGGAAAAATATAGATTGACGACCGATATAGTCCGTAGTCTGGTGTATAATTACAATTTTTTTTGGTTTCGTCTTTGACACGACATCCAAAGACATTGATCCAACGACTCGCCAGTAGCAGTTGGTCTTTACTGTCCCGTTCAGGGCTTGGTGATCTCGTCCTTCTTTGCGTCCTGAACCTCCTTCCAAAACTTCTCGCCCGCCTCCTTGTCGTCGGCAAACAGGTGGTCGAGGACCATGCGCTGGGGCGTCTCACCCATCCACTGGAAGAGCGAAAAGTCGCGGAACTGGTCGGAGCGGAAGATCTCGAGCATCTCGACGGGCTCGTCGCCAATGTTCTCGACAAAGTGGCCCATGTTCTTGGGGACGATGCCGACGTCGCCGGGCATGTAGTCGAAGGTGCGGGCGTTGCCCTCGGCGGCGAAGATGGTGACGCGGGCGCGGCCGCGGATGAAGAAGGACCACTCGTCGGCCATGGGGTGCCAGTGCATCTCGCGCAGGGCGCCCGGCTCGATGATGGCGTGCGCGGCGGCGACCGTCTTGGAGAGGGGGAAGTTGGTCGAGTCGGCGATGCGCACCTCGCCGCCGCTCGTCTTCTTGGGCTCCTGGTCCAGCATGCGGTGCGTGAAGTTGTACTTGCTCTTCTTGACGTGCTTGCCCGTGGGGCGCTCCTCGTCAATGGAGCCGGGCTTGGAGCCCTGGAAGATGTACTTTTCGCCCGCGGGCAGGTGCTTGAAGACCTCGGGGTCGAGGTGGAAGTTTTCGGCGATGACCGACTTGGGGGTGTGGGCTGGGTAAGGGTCCCGTCAGTATATACGGTGCCGTCTAAACACAGATCCATCCCCTCCACACTCATCATGAGCGTGGATGATCTCGGAGGGGGGTGCGAGAACTCACCCAGCCAGTCCGTCAGGATAAAGGTCGACTCCTCGGAAAAGTGGCCGTCGTCAAAGATGAGCAGGAACTCGGTGCCGTTCTCGCCCAGGCCCTGCAGGGAGTGGGGGACGCCGCTGGGGAAGTACCACAGGTCGCCCTTCTTGAGGTCGTCGATGAAGTTGCCGCCCTCGTAGTCGAGGGCCGTGACGCGGACCTCGCCGTCGAGGACGTAGGCCCACTCGGCCTCCTTGTGCCAGTGCAGCTCGCGGATGACGCCGCTGTCGAGGCGCATGTTGACGCCGGCCAGCTCGACGCTGGTGGGCAGCTCGCGCACCGTCGTCTGGCGGGTCCAGCCGCCTTCCTGCACGGCAGTCAGCATTTAAGATGTCAAAAAGTCTAGCTGGCGAGGAAGTACCTCGATGCGCGTGTGCGAGTCGGTAAAGCTCCAGCGCATGTTGGCGACGTTGCCGTGGTCGGTGCTCGGCGGGCGGATCATGTCCGGGCTCTGGCGCGAGCGGTCGCGGTTGTACGGCCCCAGGACGGAGGCGCCGAGGCCGTTGCGCCAGGGCCGCGGGTCGAGGTCCTCGCCGATGGGGTCGACCTTGGAGTCGTAGGGGTCGCGGTGGCCCGGCGTGTATGGCCGCCCGTTAGTGTTCGCCGCCTTGCTGGCCTTGCCGAGGAACTTGTCGGGGATGTCGAGGCCGTTGAGGAGGCGCTGGCGCGGGCTGTCGTAGTGCGGCAGCGCGGCGCACATGCCCGCCAGGAGCAATTGGCTCGTCGAGAGCTTCATCTTGTGTGGTTGGGTGAGGCACGGGATGGAGGAGCACGCCCTGGCTATGCTACGGACGAGAGGAGGGGAGGAGGACGGAGGAGGGCAACGGTGGTCGGTCGGTCGCGGGTGGGAGGACGAGGGCCGGAAACGGGGCAGGCCGGGTTATAAGGCAGAGCTCACTTTCTGCTGCTGCTATTGAGGTGTGCCGGGGAGCTCCCAACCATGTCATCCAATCCGTCAGATGTCTGTACTCTGTACCGCAGTACGTATGTACAAGAGAGCGACTACCTTCCAGCTTCCCAATTCCACCTATTCCCGATGCGTGGCCGGCCGCAAAGTCAATCCGGCGATTGGTGGGCGCGGCCTTTAGCTCACGGCTACAGTCATCCATCATCCCGCGGCCGGCGGTCCCCCCGGTGATGAATCCATGATGCGCGACGAGCTCTGTGGAGCTCCTCGAGCGGAGCGCGTGGGCGGGCAAGGTGGAGCATTGCGCACGAGGGAAAGGGAACGCTGGGATTGCTTGGCTGGCTGGGCCGGGGCTTGGCTTGGCTCGGCCGGGAGACCGGGGAGGCATATTGGCATCACGGGCGTGTTTGGGGCAGGCAATGGATGACGGACGACAAAACAGGCACTTCGGCGAACGCCAGAACCAGCAGAGGGAGGGAAAAACAGGCTGATGCGAGACCGACTTGCCGAGCAAAGTCCGCCCGTGACCCTGTCACGGAGGGCGTCTGCAGGGGGGGGGGCTGTGTCGTGTGTGCGCCGCTGAACCTGATGAGATGGGCAAGGCTCGGCATGAGATGGATTCAGATGGGATGGGGGGTTTGCGGCGGGCGGGCAGCTTCCCGGCGAGGAGCGAAACCGTACTTGTAGCGCCCGCGCCGGCTGTTCTTCTGGGGCCCGAGACACCACCTCCAGCGCACCCCGGCCCCCCCAAGCGCCCCCCCGAACCGCCCCCCCGAACCGCATGGCGCCCATGCGATTGATTCGGAGGCATGTGTGTCGCATGCTTGCAGCAGGTTCCGTCTGTCTGCACTCTGCAGCACCATGCATCAAACCTCCAGCCACTTGCAGCGCTGCAGAAACAAGAACGCCTATCCGCCCGACGTCAGGGCGGCCGACCGTGCTCCTTTTGAAGGCTTGGCCGACGTCCCTTCCATCCCCTTTTGTCCAACACCGAAGCAACAGCACCGTCAGCTCCATGCAGCACTCCGAGATGCCGAAGCGAGCGCGCTGCTGCTGCTGTCTGGATTCCCAATGGCTCGTCCCCAGCCCATGTCGGCGCTAGACCTGGGCGAAAAATGTCGCCATTTTTTTGCAAAAGACGGGAGCGATAGAGCAGACCCGTCCACCGACACCGGGACGGGGTGACGCAGGGGACGACGTCCCACAGGTACTGCACCGGGCCGTCGCAACAGCGGGCCTCGGCGCTACCTAACAGTCACCACCTCTCCACAGGGCAAGTGCTCGGTGGACCACGGGCCCTGGAGGTACCTGATGCGCGCTGAGGCACGGTTGACGACCTGCCTGCCTGTGGTGCAGAAAGGCTCAATGGATTGATCGTCGGGCCCCACGCCGTCCTGCGGCAAAAGGACCACCACCACCGCCACCACCAGCCCGAGCAGTCTCCGATCGCCGCCGTCCGCCGCGGCTCCCAAACGTCTCACACCGGCCCCAGCGTCGCAGAGCTCCCGCCCGCCTTCACACATCCGCCCTCCGACACAGCACAGCTCGCGCGCCGGGTATTCCGCCCACTCCTCGCCCTCCCCCCCTCCTCCTCGCCCGCGATCGCGCAGCAAGCAGCCGAGCAGCAATACTTCAGACATCCGTCCTGCTGCTGCTGCCGTCGCCGTCCCTCCCTTCCTCCGACCCCGTTCCCCGACCCGGCGTGCGACAGACTCTCGGCGCCGCCGCCGAGTAAAGAAACACCATGACGTCCAGCTACGGCACCGCGACCGCGCCGCCCGCTGCCGGCAACGGCAACGGCAACGGCGTCCTGCCCGGCGACGAGGAGGAGCCGCTCCTCGGCGGGCGCCACGGCCGCAAGCCCGTCTCCAAGTCGCTCCTCGTCCGCTGGCGCAAGCAGCTGCGCGCCGAGGTCTCGCGCTCCTGGGCCGACCTCGTCCTGCTGCTGTGCTACGTCGTCACCGGCCTGCTCGACAGCTCCTCGACCCAGGTCTGGGGCGCCTTTGTCTCCATGCAGACGGGTACGTTCCTGGCCCTCCCCATGATCCCCATCCATTGGCAATGCAATGCAACCTCCTATGCGCGCGCGGTCGCCGTCGAGTCGTGCTTCCGCCGACGTGTGTGGTGATGCGACGAAATCACTGACTTGGCTTGAATCCGTGCAGGAAACACCGTCTACGTCGGCCTCGGCCTCGCGTCCCTCATCTACCCGCCCACGAGCCCCCGCCTCTACAAGTCGGGCATCTCCCTGCTCTCCTTCTGCATCGGCTCCTTCTTCTTCGCGCGCTTCCACCGCTTCTTCTCGCCCAAGCGCCGCTGGGTCCTGTGCGTCTCCTTCGGCGCCCAGGCCCTGCTGACCATCGCCGCCGCCTGCATCGTCACCTTTGCGCGCAGCGGCTCCTCGGACGACAAGGACGCCGTCGACTGGACCGTCCTGGTGCCCCTCGCGCTCGTCGCCTTCCAGAGCTGCGGCCAGGCCGTCACCAGCCGCGCCCTCAAGTACAACGCCCTCACCAGCGTCGTCCTCACCAGCATCTACTGCGACCTCTTCTCCGACCAGGACCTCTTTGCCCTGCACAACGTCGAGCGCAATCGCAGGGCCGCTGCGCCGATTCTGCTGCTGCTGGGTGCCGTTGCTGGCGGAGTCTTTTCGCACAGCGCCGTGGGCATTGGCGGCGCGCTGTGGACTGCCGCCGCCATTAAGCTGTCCATGGTGGTCATGTGGTTCTTCTGGCCTGCCGAGCCGGAGGAGGATGAATCCTGAGGGAGTTGTCAAGCGGGGAAGTCTCACGGCGTAATGCTAAGAGGTACTTGTATAGAGGCTCCAGACGTAGTGCACGTTTACGTAGCCATTAGTCGCAGCGGCGTGCCCCATTGCGCCCATCGCCGTCTTCGACAGACTTGGATAGTCCATGAAAAATTACACATCAAAACACTAGCGATGCCACGCGCGGAGTGTCTAATTCACTCTAGACCAGTAAACATGGACTAAGCTCGCTGTTTACTTGCCGACTTGCGTTGTCGTATTAATTTTCGGCCGTCCTCGTCCCGAGTTCTGCGGATCCGCGAGGCATCCGTATCTAGGGTAGTCGAATATGTCGCAGTTGATCGCACCACGAGACGACGTTTCTTTCAGCATTCGGAAACCGGATGGAGGTACAAGAGGCGCAATTCTTGTATACGCAGATGCAGCGGCCTCGCTCGCGCACCGTAGCAGAGGAATTGGAACTCCCTAAGCATTGGTCCTATATCCACAACAGGACATGAAAATACGCGCTCTCCTTCGACCATCTCCGATTGCAATGTCCAGTCCGGTGTAAGCCAAGTGAATATGACCTGAAGGAGATATACAGCACAACAGCGTTGTTACTGTCGCTTAGATCGTGGCTCAAGGGGCCGCATATAACTCGGTGGGAAGACCCCTTGGTGTCTGAGCAGCACAGCGGGCCACGCAAGTCGGCACGAGATTTGCTCGGTCTTGGATTCAGTATATCAAGCTCTGAGGGCCGAGGTCGCCACCGCATAACCATCTCAATAACTTTCATCCATCGTCGTTACAAATACAACGTGCCTGTGACTTGCAGAGTAGTCTCGGCCAGCAGCCCTCGTCGCTCACAGCGCTTGCGCTTAAACAGTTTCCCCTAGATGGTAGCCTCAACTACGACACAGGCTCGACCTTGATGCGCTGCTGGCACTCGACCGGGGTCTCGAGAAAGTCGAACATTTCCTGAAGCTTCCGTACACCGTCCTCGTTGCACATCGACCGGTCCTGCCCGTGAATCAGCGCGCACTTGCCGCTCACGAGATGGTGGCACTGCACGAGGTCCAAGCCCGTTAGCACGCCCCTTGTAGACGCAGTATATACGGAGTATGCTCTGCAGATGATGAAGAGGGTTTAGTCGGGGCGACTCACCGGAAAGTCTGCCCGGCACGGCACCACCTTGGCCGCCTTGCCGCCCATGATGGGCTCCGATACCAGGCACCCGTCGGTGTAGCAGGTCTGTTGCGTCACGTTGAGATAACATTCCATGCGTCTGGGAACTTCTTTGTTGCGCTTGACTCACCCCACGGAGAAGTTGCAAGGCGGCATGTGCCGTCGCACCATAAGCGACAACCAAGACGAAGAGCGTCTGCTTCATTGTCGGGACGCGGCGATGCCTGCTGCTATTCTTTCACAATCCAAGAGCTTGCGGGGCGGCAATAGATAGCGGGAACAATATTACACCCACTTGCCCTTGGGGAGGGCGTCCTGATAAGATATATACGTTCACTTACTTTATGTGTGTGTGGAACGGTGACGTTTGTTAAGACGAACTGGTTTACCAATATATGATATCTCGCACCCGACGCTAAACCCCCACGACGCGGCAGGGCGACGAAGGGCACGCAATGAAATACGCAATGGAAAATAAGGCCGTATGTATTGGGTTGGGTGAAACTGGTCAACGAGGCACTGGCTGGTCCTTGCCTGACGATTCGCGCGCGATCTTTCGTTGCTCGGTGCTGTCTGAGCGCTAGATGAAGAGAAGCCCGGACCAGCTTCGTAGCCCTGCGGCCAGGCACGTCCTATGGGGGTTACGCAGGGTTTCAGGGCCCTGCTAGGGTTTATAAAAGAGTTTTGTCCGGCATTGCCTACCAGCTGTCCGTATTGGACACTCTTGATGCCCTCCTGCGCGACGAATCGTGACACAACTGCTTTGGCAACGTACTAGACCGGGGCGAAAGAAAATGGCGTGTTTGCTCTGTTCCGTTATTTTACCTACTGGTACCGTGATTTGCATTGTCATATTCGGGGATGAGTTTGGCAGGTCCAGCATGTATTCAACTCAACGCTGTTTGATGGTGTGTCTCACAGACCTACCATCATGGATGCTTCGGCGTTTTTGGGTACACGACTGTGGGCAGGGGCAGACCGCCGCATCTGTACTATGCAAGTGACTACGGAATCATGAATTCCCCGCATTGTTGCATCTTGCCGTCACATCTTCTGGGCTGGTCGTGCATACTGACGTTCAAGTTTGTCAAGGGTGACTGACGAGTCGCGATACGTTGCGGCGAAGTACCAAATTGGGGCTGCTGAACACCAAGCCCAGAAACTTCAGGTACTTGTGGAGGGTGGCGAGCCACCGGAACTACAGAGCAGATACCTAGAGTCTAGGTGATTGTCGTGTGCTATAGTTGTTGAATGGATATCGCCGTCAGGCCGTACGTGGGTCATGTAACGTGCGATTTGGTCAGAACATTTACGCCGCGGCAGGCACATCTAAGCCGGTGGCAAGCAATACAGACAGAGAGTGGGATAATGCCTCTATTCGCGTCTCCTGGCGGCGCGAACGGGCGGTGGCGGGACAGGACTGCATGCGACGGATCGATCACCGAGGACTTGTGTCATGTGGCTGGCAAGATGCCTTGCGTCGAGCACCAGGACGCCCCGGGGGGGACGCCAGAATGTCGATGCGCCTTAGCAGGCAACGACTGCCGATCAGCGCAGTTCCGTGGGTGAACTGACCGTGGCCGTGTCAGCGCGAGTCCTTGCCCAGTTTAACCAAGGCAGGTCCGAGGCCGAGCCACCATGAACTCCCGGGCAGACCTCACAGACGTCATCATAACGCAGCACCGCGTTCACCACGCGCGCATCGAGCTTCCCTGATTGCCTGACACGTACAGAGGCATACGCACGACCGTGCCAAAGTACATGGTATTGTCTTCGCCGTTTTTTTTTTAAATAGTGTCAGTTTCGCGATGCAGTGAGTGGCGCCGATTCCTGATGCCATCCGGAGCAACCCCTCCGACGACGGCGCCCCGACCCGGTGCCGGATGGGCCTGCAGGGCGAGCGATGCAAGCGGACGACATCCGGACCAGAACCAACACACGCTGCGGTAGTGGCCGCGGCAGCGCGGCAGAGAGACAGCAAGCAAGGTGGCGCACGTGGGTGTCATGCGGACGATGGGCTTATGACATCACGTGGTAGGAGTCAGGAACGAGCCGTTCGCCACAGACGTTGACGGTTTGACGTCTCAGCTCAGGGCGGCAGGGCAGCGGGCTAGTAAACGCGGCGTCGCGGGCATCGAGATTACCTGCCGTGTTTCACAGAGATGATATGGGCCACGGTGACGACGGGAAGTAGCAGGGCCAGGCATCCAGGCATGGCATGGTTCGCCAGCCGCTTACGGAGCGGAGGTGAGAGGGGGAGCTTGGGAGGTGAGCTGATGGCAGGGCATGCGCAGTGACGGGGCCCGGAACGCGCGCCGATCGGGCTGCCGAAACAGTGGGGGGGAAGCCCGAGAAGGGAGCGTACGCATCCCACTGCGCCAGAGCCTCACACTCCCCTGGGACGCTGCGCGCTGCAGAAGCCTAATCAAGCAGGCACGCGGAAGCTATGAGATTGAATTGTCCGGGCTGGGATAAATTGAAATCCATCAGAACTCGTCCGGCCCGGCGACGCCGTGTGTCCTTTGCGCCTGTGACTGGCGGACCTCTGAAATGCCGTCGTCGTCGTGCCTCTGGGGAGCTCCGTCCCGGTTCCAAGGCGTGGTGGAACAGATGGAACGGTTTCCAGGGCCTGGATCGGTCGACGGCAGGGGTCAGGTCCGCTCCGTAGCGCCGGGCCACGCCAGCCCACAGCGCGCGTAGCGACGTAGCCCTGGGACGTCGCGGGGAGTTGGCTGGGCCCTCGCCACGCGCATCGTTTGCCGAGCGGACCAAGAACCCACCCCAGGCGATAGGCGACATTCACACTTTGTCGGTGCCCGGCCACATGCTCCATCGTGAGATACTTGCCCTGCGTTTGGCGAAGAGAGGCTCGCTCAGCGCCGGACAGACCGGACATTGGAAAGCGTGCCCGTTGGTCGTCGGTCCAGGTTGGGTTCGACTAGCTCCATGCAGAAAGGGTCTCGAACCTCAGCTGCCGCCGCTGCGTGACGCCCGCCGTGGCCGTGGATGGACCGCTGCCGGCGGCGGCGGACGCGGCGGCGATGACGGCGACGACGGGCTGGTCGCAGAAATGTCCGGCGATGGGGGAAACGCACGTGCGATGACAGGTGTGTCGCGGGAAATGGCCCTATCGACGACGTCTGGGTGTCGCATCCGGCCTGTCTGCCGCCTCGCTTCGCTGGGTCGACAGAGTGGTTCAAAGGCAATCATGCAATATCGTGTCGCGGTGCAGGCAGCATTCAGGTGACAGACAGCCCAGGAACCGAACCAGGCAGCCCGCCCCCGCCATCACGTCGTCGCGCAGCTCGTGCGCCGCAGCGGGTATCCGCCTGGAGAGAGGCGCCAGGCAAGTGATTGGCCGGCGGTGTAGTGGGCAGCGCAGGGCTAGCGGGGGGATGCCCTGGGCGACCTGCCTGCCATGACGTAGCCAGGCGCGTCATACTTGGCACCTACGCTTGGGTCGGGATGGACGCTGCTGCAAAAATTCCGCCAACGCGAGGAGCCCCGCGACGACGACGCATCCGTCCGCGAGAATGAGACGGCGAGAGGAGGCGGCGTGTTCATTGCCAATGCGATGCCAGGTACCCCAGTAGGCGTGTCTTTGGCTGCAAGGGATGGCATCGAGAGAGAGAGCAAGGCAAGAGACGAACCTTAATCCGTCGCCCCCAGACGCCGCTGCCGTGCTGGAGGGAGGGCAGCGGGGACCCTCTGTGTGAAGGTGTGGGTGCTGGGGAGCGGACGCGCGGGCTGAGGAATCTCGACGGCCAGGGCTCGACCTTGATAATGATGATGATGCACTTGCAAGTGAATGATGATGATGCCCGATTACCCTGTCGGCAGCCTATCCTCCCCCTACCACCCACGCGAGAACTGATCATCGCCTCCCGCCTGCCCGCCGACCCAGACCCAGACAACCTCGCCGCCCCATGACTGACTTCATCGCAGCGCAACCCCCCCACCACCCACCTACCCAGTCCAGTTCCTGTGGGTGAGGCCCGCCCCAGTTGCCTCCGTCATAGGGCCCTCTTCCACCTCGCCCCCCCGCGACCAGCAGCAGCCCAGCCAGCCTGGTTTCTAAGCACCCGCCCGGAAGCTGTAATACTGCCCGCCCGTATATTCCATCTCGCCCAGAGCAGTTGACCTAGTGACAGCAGCCTGCCTGCCTGCCTGCCTGCCCGCCAGCCAGCCGCCCAATTTCCAATTTCTCTGAGCCCGCCGCCCGTCACCACCCGCCTAGCCAGCCGTCTTGCGTCACAAAATCCTCGCCGCGCCTCTCGCCCACCCCCAAAACCACCCGTCGTCCTCACCTTCAGCAAATCGGCAATTTTTCCTCTTCGCCCGACATCAGCGTCCCGCATCCTCCCCCGTCTCCAACCGTGCCCCCCGTCGGTCTGCAGCAAGAAACATTGGCCGTCCGTCCGATCGACCGCGAACATTGTGGAACGAAGCAAGCCCGCCGCCGCCGCCGCGCTCCATCAGCAGCACCATTAAACCCCGCATCCTGCTCCTCGCTCTCCGACCGGCCCTCCGTCATTCTATCCCACCCCTCCCTGCCTGCCTCGTTTTCCTTTCGCCTTTTTTTGCATTCTTCCGCGACGGTGCGTTTCGGCTAGACGACCACGGACACGACTGCTCGACTCGGCTCGGCTCGACTCCATCTCGAACTCGGTTCGCTTGCTCCGTGCACCGGCACGCACGCACCACACGCGGGCTACGCTTTCTGTCGGATTTCATTCGCCGCCTGGCCGTCGACCGTGTGCTGCGCCCTCGACTCCAATTCCGGCCGGACACTTTTCCAGCCTCGAGATCTCTCTTCTCTCCCCCCCCGATTTCCCAGAGCAGAAGAGCAGTCGCGAAGGCGCCGCCCCAGTAGCCCGCCATGTCGACCATACAGCAGCTCAAAAACTTTATCCGTCATGGTATGTTGTCTCGCCGAGTGCCTGCCTCCCTGATGGATCGCCCGCCCACCTGCCAGGTCCCCTGGCCTCTGACCTCATCCTTGCTTCTGAACCCCCAATGACGGCATGACCTCCGCGACCACGCCACCGTGTCTCGGACGATGCTAACATGCCCGCCTCTCTCTCGCCAGGAAAACAAGCCCGCGTCGCCAACATCAACGACGAGGCCCCGCGCAAGGAGGACGCCCCGCAAGCACCGCATCCTGTGCAGGACAGGAACATGCACGCCTCCGAGCCCGCCTATGGCCATATGCCGGCGCAGCAGGAGCCCCTCGACGCCTACTCGCAGGGCCCCGGTGACGCCCACAACCGCGCCGTGCAGGCCGGCTTCGCCGCCGCCCACCACGTCGAGCACGCCCAACCCGCCGCCGCCAAGGGCACCAAGACGAAGCGCGTCGACGAGGCCGAGCTGAAGCAGCTCGTTGCCGAGGAAAATGCGAGCAGGGCAAAGTTCCCCCGGTATCCCGGCCTCGAGCGCTGGGAGCTGATCGAGAAGATGGGCGATGGCGCCTTCAGCAACGTCTATCGCGCCCGCGATTTGCAAGGCGGAACCGGCGAAGTTGCCATCAAGGTCGTCCGCAAGTACGAGATGAACAGCATGCAGGTGAGTGTGTGCTGGGCTTCTTGTCGCCCTGTTTCTGTCTTGTCTGCCCTGCCTCGGTCTTTTTCTGTCCAATGCTTGCCTCGTCTCCGTTCTGCCTGCGTCTCCTTTCCAGCCGCTTAACCAAGGGGACTCATCTCATCCCTGAATTAGGGAAACAAGCATTTACATCCGGACTTCAAGAAGGTTCCGAAGGCAGCAGAGGTGCGAGCAAATACTTTCCTATCGTCACTATCTTCAAGCTCGCTTTTTGTTGATTTTCTGTTCTTTGTACTGCGCGGGCGACACCACTATGCTGCTACCGGCGACGCGAGACTAACGAACCACAGCGTTCCAACATCCTCAAAGAGGTTCAGATCATGCGACAGCTGGACCACCCCAACATTATTAAGCTCGTCGAATTTTCCGAGTCGAAGCAGTACTACTACATCGTGCTAGAGCTAGCTCCCGGTGGCGAGCTGTTCCACCAGATCGTCCGCCTGACATACTTTAGCGAGGAGCTGTCGCGACATGTCATCGTCAAGGTGGCCAAGGCCCTCGAGTACCTGCATGAGGAAAAGGGTGTCGTCCATCGGTGTGTTGCTGTTCCCGTGTATGATTGTCCCACGACTCAGTCTAACTGACCGCCACAGCGACATCAAACCGGAAAACATTCTCTTCAACCCGATACCATTTGTCCCGTCCAAGGTCCCAAAACCGAAGCAACCGGGCGACGAGGACAAGGTCGACGAGGGCGAGTTCATTCACGGCCAAGGTGCGGGCGGCATCGGCGAAATCAAGATTGCCGACTTTGGTCTCTCAAAGATTGTGTGGGAGACTCAGACCATGACCCCTTGCGGTACGGTCGGATACACGGCGCCCGAAATCGTCAAGGATGAGCGGTATTCCAAGTCCGTCGACATGTGGGCGCTGGGTTGTGTCTTGTACACGCTGTTGTGCGGCTTTCCCCCGTTCTATGACGAGAGTATCGAGGTCCTCACAGAAAAGGTGGCCAAGGGCCAGTACACCTTCTTGTCGCCCTGGTGGGATGACATTTCCAAGTCGGCCAAGGACCTCATCACGCATCTCTTGTGCGTTGATCCCGACAAGCGCTACACTATCAGGGAGTTCCTTGCCCACCCTTGGATCCGCGCGAGCGGGCCCACGCCCCGCGAGGAGAAGAAGAAGTCGGATGTTCTCCGGGCCTTCGACGCGAGCAAGTTCGAGGAAACCGGCAAACGCTACGACTTCCGTTCGCCAGCTGCCGTTAACCTGCGCGAGGTGTTCGACGTCAGCTACGCCGTGCACCGGCAAGAGGAGGAGGTCAAGAGGCGACAGCAGGTCGGCGCCCGGGCTGGCGGTGCCCAACCGCTTGCAGGCCTCGACGAAGAGGAGGAAGACGAGGATCGCATGCAGGTCGACCAGGAGGCCGCTCAGAAGCCCAATGCGGCGACTCAAGCGCTGGAGCAGAGCATGCGCAAGGCCAACCTGAAAGACCAGGAGCAGGCACGAGGTCGCGAGCCGCACCGCGCCAACGAGAAGGGCTATGGCCAGCACTCGGCCACTGTAACGGCCGCGGCGCGACAGCAGGTCAGGGACCGCAACCGCCAAAAGGGTCCCTTTGAGCTGAACCTCGACAACGCCACGCTTCTGGGCAAGCGCGGCAAGAAGGTCCCCGCCATGGGTGCTTAGGAGCCTACCCATTCCAGAGGCGGCGGAGCTGCCAATTCGACCACACAGGCTGGCGGTGGCGGTAGCTGTCTAACGACATTGCACGCTGCTGCACGCTCACATGGAACATGTTGTCGGTGTTCGACGTGGCCTTCCAGCGGATGATACCCATGCGAATAGGTGACGAGGGGGACTTGATGCGGCCAAGGAGCAGTGGGCTCTTGGCGGCGTGCGACGGACGGGATGAGGAGTCGAGGACGGGGCCTGGCGCTCGGAGTTTACTTGGCAACGCGGAATACTGCATTGACGTTTGAGAAACTGGCCTACTGGGTTGACGAGTTCAACTCCTGGTTACTACCACCAAGGGAGAGACGGACGGTTCGAGTCTTGTGTAGCGGTTGTGCATGCCAGCACCGGGCACATATACTATACGGAGTTTGGGCACCTCATGTCGGCACGTTTTCTGCCAGCGACAGCTACATGAATTTAAACGTTATAACGAAGTCTTGATCCTTTTGTGATGTGATTTTTATTACGAGTCTGCTAGTAAAGAAAGAGTGACGAAACCTGCGAAACGCCTCAGAAGTGTATGCTCCGGTGTAAATGCGTGTCAAACGACTGAGAGTGCTTCCCCAAACGCCCCGGCAGATGATGCGACAAACGCTAATGAACAACCTCTACGCATGAACTGACCGTGGATACACGCTACTTTCCTCCATCCGTCGCCCTCGAATCACAGCTACTCGCCTCCCCGCTACTACTACTCATCGTCGCCGAGTCACTTCCACTCGTCGTCGTCGTCGTGCCGCCGCTCGCGGCCGTGTCGTCCGATGACACCGGCGGGGACCTCTTCCGCGCGATGATCTCCCGCTTGACGCTGGGCCATGCACGGCTGCGACGGATGGACCCGAGCTGGGACAGCGGCAAGCCGCCCGTGGGGCGCGCCGGGGTGATGGCGGCTGCGCCCCCTCTCGTGCGGCTGGATGGCTGCGTCGTCAGCGCCGTCGATTTCGCCCGGTGGTGCGTCGGGCGGAGGTGTGATGATGCGGGTTTGGTGTAGCAGCTGCGGCGGCGGGGGAGGATAGGCTTGGAGAGGGTGAGGGCGTCGAAGTGGATGTGTCGTTTGGTGCTGCTGGTGGTGCTGGGGGAGGACGATGGGGGGTTGTTTGTGGTGGGCGGGTGTTGGTGATGCGGTTGCGAAGGGATGGGTTGGGATAGGGGTGGTGGAGTTTTGGTGATGGGCCGATGTTCGACGGCTGGGTCAGCAGTGTCAACGTCTTCTCGTCGAGGCGTCGTGGGTGAGAAAGGTGACCGCAACCCGTGAAGAGCCTCCAGGGCGAGCACCTGTCTCTTGAGGCTGTGGATCTCGCCCATGAGGTGAAAGCGGGCTACCGCGCAGAGGAAGTGGCCAACATGGCTGAGTCGTAGGTTCGCACGAGGTGCGCGCGCCTCGTCCTGTCCGAGGGCACTTCCGTAACGGGGGCCTGCGCCGATGCCGTCACGGTCATGAAGCGGGTCCGGGCATGGTGCTTCCGGCTGTTGCGGGCTGTGCCGTGGAATAGTCTGTGATGCCGCCTCGCGGACCGGGATGGGCTGCTTTGTCGGAAAGGCCGGGGGCAGGCCGCGCTGCTGGTGGTGCAGCTGGTGGCCTGCGGCGAGGTCAGCGGACGCGACTCGAGCGGGAGGTGCTCGCCTTCCCCGGCCGCGGCGCTGGCGGCGGCGACGGCGGCGTTGCTGAAGTCGTGAGGATAGTATCCGTACCTTGTTACCGCTTCCCCCTTCCGGTTCAGACGGACGTCCCGTCCCAGCGCCACACACGCGGTGATCACCACACCCCGACGGCAGCGCCAGGCCCGGCACCTTCGAAAGATCCAGCCCAGCCCTGTGCAACAAGTCCACCGAGTACACATGCGACGCCGTAAACGGCTGCAGGAACCTCGCACTCGCAAACACCGGCGCCCTCTCCGGCGTCAACGCCTGCCGCTCGTCTCCGCCCTTCAGCGCCGCCATCTTGCGCAGCAGCCAAAACACATCCCCGGCACGCAGCACGATCGCGCGGTAGTCCCCGCCGCCCAACGCCCGGACGTAGTCCGTCGCCACCGCGTCCGCCAAGCACGGCAACGTCAGGATACACGCGCCGAACGCGTCCTTCGCGGGGAGGGCCCGCAGCGTGGTGAAGAAGCCGTCGTAGGGGCGGACGCGGACGGGGCGCGGGATGCCGTCTGCGGCGGTGGGCACGCAGAAGCCTACGCCTTCGCCGCCGCCTGTGCCACCGTTGCAGTTGTCGTTGCCGTTGGACTCCCAGCGGTCGCACAGCGGGAGGCCCTTGGCGACGGCCCAGCGGAGCAGCGGCGCGAGCGAGTCGGGCGGGCACACGAGGGATACGTGCGCGGGGCGTTTGAGGGGGGTGTCGCCGTACCACATCATGGCGGAGTGGCCGCACACGGCGTAGGGAATGTGCGGGAAGAGCTGGCCGATGGTGGCGATGACTTCGCGGACCTGCGTGCGCGTCATGGGCGTGGAGGAGCCGGCGATGCGGCGGAGGAGCGGCGACGGGACGAGACCACGGCGGGAGGAGCGGGGTGAGACGGAAGACGTGGTGGAGGATGTACGGACGACATTGTTGTTGTTGGGCTGCCTGGAGTTGGGGTTGCCGTGCTGGACGGAAGGGGCTGGTCCTGTCGTAGGGGGCGGGTTGGTGAGCGTGTTGACGTTGACGGGCCACAGGCAGGAGCTTGCCATCACGGACTGCTGTGTGCCTATCGGGGCCTGCGTGCCTGTCATGGGCTCGGCGTGCTGAGTGTTCGACGGGTGTCGGGCCTGCGAGTCGTCCATTATGGCCGAGCACTGCCCCGTCGGCCGCCTCTCATGTATCCGTACAGGCATCTGAGCCCGTGGACCATCCGAGGCCGATCCGTATGCCGTCGCCCTTCTTCCTTCACCGTGCTGCGGCGAGGACGAGTTTACGAGCTCTCGCTGCCTTTGCTTCGGATGCGAACGATGCTTGCCAGCCTCGTCAGCATCCGCATCAAACCGTATCGAGAGCCGAACCGGAGGGCTATCCGGCTCAGCAGCCCTCCCTCCCCTCCGCCGCCGCCCGCCCCTCGTCTCGGCATCATCGCCGGCGCCGAGCCGGTGCCCATGAGCGCCATCAGTGCGATAGCAAGACCGGAGAATAGATCGCAACCCCATGGTACAATTATCTCAGCCAGGCGAAACTCCTCGTCTCCTTGAGTGCTCTAAAAGTGGTTTACGGAATCTGTGCCTAAATCAGCCAAAAGCTCTGACGCAGTCAACGAAAACCATGCTACCTAGCCAAAAGGGTCTTGGTTATGGTGTAGATATCAGCGATGAAAGCGAGTATGAGAGTGTCAAGAGTGCACGGTGTGAAGAGAAGAGAGAAAACGGCCAATAGTTGGGGATGAATCCTGACTCTTTAAATAGCAACGACGGCGGCTCGATCGAACACAAATGCCGTGATTGCGATCGTTGAGTGCCGCAAGGGTTCGGTCCGGTCTTTGTTGCGAACCCGTCGATAACAAAGGAGCACACAGCCGGCCTGATCTGGAACATGTTTGGCCTCACACGCGACCGCTCAGTGAATGACCCAACGCAGCTTGATGCCTCGTCTAATCGTCTTGTCCCGCCCGCCTCTAACGCCTAGTAGTCGTACAATGCAAGTGCAAGGCTCGAAACCCGGGGGAATAACGCGCTCGTCGTCCCTACAGATCCTCTTCGACGTCCATCCGCTCGCCATTAGCGTGCCCGGCGTCCTTCTTCGGCATCGTCGCCTCCTTGTCAATCATCTGCCGCGACACCGAGACGATGTTGTCCTCGATCAGCTCCTGGCCGACGTCCTCCAAGTGCTTCTTCGGGTCCAGCTTGCCGACGTATCGCGTCTTCAACTGCTCCTTTGTGAGCTCCGTCTCTTCTTTGACGCGCTTCTCGTAGCCGTCTGCCAGGGTCACCAGTCTCTGCAGCCGCTCCTTGTTCTTCTCGCCCTCTGTCCGGAAGTCGTCCATCTGCAGGGCCTCGGTCCACACGTGCTTGTGCAGGTTCATCAGCATGTTCTCCTCGAGCGCCGTCTTGCGATAGTTGATGCCGATTGAGTAGTAGTGGCGGTTCAGGCCGTGAATGAGCGCCTGGATGGAGGGCTTGTTCAGGTGTCCCAGGTTGCTTGTGCTCTGTCGAGGCTCCTGCCCCATCATGAGGAGTTGAGGATTGATAAGGCGGAATGCGTCGATGACAACTTTACCCTTGACGGACTGGATGGGGTCGACCACGACGGCCACGGCGCGGGGGTTCAGCTGCTCAAAGGACTGTTGGGTGTTGATATCGACCGAAGAGAGCCAGCAGCCAAAGCCAGGATGCGAGTGGTACCAACCCACGACGGACTCGGGCCTGCAGTCGGTTAGCTCTATGGTCGCCGCGGCGAGGGTGCTGCTTCTGCTTACCTCCCCGTTTGCCGCAGCATGTCCATCATCTTGGTCTGGAAGACGGGGTCGACGGCCTCTACACTGACACCCGTGCCGCTCTGGGGCATGGCAAAGACATCCATGACCTTGACGGTGAAGTCGTCCACGAATTCGCCCAGCATCAAGCCCATGACCTCCATGGGCACGCCGGCGCGGCCGTGCCGAAGCATCTTGAGCAGAGCCAGGGACGAGATGTAGACGGTCTCTGAGTTATCGATGAGGTTTGTGTTGTCCTGCGGGGCGAGTCAGCACATCTGCGTCGTGGCATCACGGCGGTTCCAGATGGGAGCAGCTTACCGTGCCGGGCGCAGCTCCCCCAAGGCCCATGCCGCCGCCGCCCAGCAAGTTCCTGAAGCGCTCCATTGCGGCGTGACTGTGAGATGTAGCGGTCGATGTGGTGTTGCGGAATTAAGGTAGTGGTGTGACAGCTGGATCCGCGACGTGTTGTGGAAGGGTCGAGGTTGTGCGGTAATGGAATCGGTGACGGATGGAGCTTGCGGCGAGGCGAGTTGACTTGACTGACGCCAGTCCCGGCAGCCTGCTGGTGGTGCTTGAGTCGCCCGAGCTACTGGGCCTGCAGAGCTGCGCTGAGTAATGTCACGTGTGGGTCTCCCTGCAGCTCACAGAGGTGAGGTGTGGCGCGCGCGCCCTGGACGCGAACCTGCCAGCGCAGCCTCGCCAGCAGCAGCGCCACCGCTGTGCTGGGCGCCTCAATGAGGGCGGTGGGCCGGGCGAACAATGGCGCCAATAGGCGCACCGCACCGTTCTATACTCGCGCGCACTCAGTTTCCTGCCAGCCTCGCCGCCCCAACTTTATTCCGCCGCCATTCCCAGCGAGCCGCGTCGTGCCGTCTTCTCGCCCTTCTTCATCACCTTCTCGCGCCGAGGCCGCACTCTCCCCCTGCGACGACATCAGCACGCTATGCGACGCGCTCTTTGAGCATTCGTCTTGAGAATCTTTCGACAAGCATCGCAACGTCCCTCGCGCCCCTGCCACGCTTTGCGCCGAAGCTGACACCGACCCCCGATCTGCGCTCCTCGAAATCGCAGCCGAAGCCATGGGCGAAGGCGATTCCAACATGGCCGCGCTCGGCTCCGTGGCCCTCAACGGCTCCTCGCCCAAGAAGGTCGCATACTTCTACGATTCCGACATTGGCAATTATGCCTACGTTACGGGCCATCCCATGAAGCCTCACCGAATTCGCCTGGCGCACAGCCTGATCATGCAGTACAATCTCTACCAGAAGATGGAGATTTACGTGAGCACTCCTCGCGACTGTGCCTCGCCTCCCTGCCATTGACTAACCCATCCAGCGCGCGAAACCTGCCACTCGCGGCGAGATGACGCAGTTCCACACGGACGACTACATCGATTTCCTCCAAAAGGTCACCCCCGACAACATGGATAGCTACATGCGCGAGCAGGGCAAGTACAACGTGGGCGACGACTGTCCCGTATTCGACGGACTCTTTGAGTTTTGCGGTATCAGTGCTGGTGGCAGCATGGAGGGCGCCGCGCGCCTGAACCGCCAAAAGTGCGACATTGCCGTCAACTGGGCTGGTGGACTTCATCACGCCAAGAAGTGCGAGGCTAGCGGTTTCTGCTACGTCAATGGTGAGTCGCTTCCAACTGCGCCCGTGAGAAGAAGTTCGTAAAGACTAACTCTGTCGCAGACATTGTCCTCGGTATCCTCGAGCTGCTTCGCTTCATGAAGCGCGTTCTCTACATCGACATTGATGTCCACCACGGCGATGGCGTCGAAGAAGCCTTTTACACCACCGACCGCGTCATGACCGTCTCGTTTCACAAGTACGGCGAGTATTTCCCTGGAACTGGCGAGCTTAGAGACATTGGCATTGGCCAGGGTAAGCACTACGCGGTCAACTTTCCTCTCCGTGACGGCATCACGGACGAATCGTACAAGTCGATTTTCGAGCCCGTCATTGAGAACGTCATGAAGTATTATCAGCCCGAGGCCGTTGTTCTCCAGTGCGGAGGCGACAGTCTGTCGGGCGACCGACTTGGCTGCTTCAACTTGAGCATGGATGGCCACGCCAACTGCGTCAACTATGTCAAGAGTTTCAACCTGCCCACTTTGGTCCTCGGCGGCGGTGGCTATACCATGAGGAACGTCGCTCGCACTTGGGCCTACGAGACTGGCGTCCTCGTTGGTCAAGACATGGAGCGTACTCTGCCATATAACGAATACTACGAGGTATGACCCTTGCTTACAGGTCCTCCAACCACGACTAACCATGCTCCAGTACTACGCCCCCGACTTCGAGCTGAATGTCAGGTCGTCAAACATGGAAAACTCGAACAGCAGGGAGTACCTCGAAAAGATCACCGCGGCCGTCATCGACAACCTTCGCCAGACGGGCCCGGCACCCTCGGTGCAGATGCAGGATGTCCCTCGCAAGCCATTTGGTGGCATGACTGACGAAGAGGAAGCCGAGCTTGACGACCTCGATGAGGACGAGAACAAGGACGTTCGTATGACGGAACACCGCTGGGACAAGCACGTCACGAATGATGCCGATTTTGAGGCGAGCGACGACGAGGACATGGCCAGCGCCAATGGCGCGACGCGTCGGAATGGCAATAAGCGTACCTTTACCGACTTCCGTAAGGGAGAAGCCGATGTGGAGGCTGAGACCACCACTCCGCGAAGCCGCAAGGAAGGCGACGCCGACAAGGAACCTGCGGAGGAAGAGACTCACGACATCAACGATGACACGATCGAGGATGTCGGCGCCACCGAGGAAGCCGACAAGAGTGAGGCCGTTCAGGAAGAGGCGCCTAAAGAGCCAGAGGAACAAAAGGTCGACAACGACGGCGATGTGGGCATGACAGACTCTGCTCCAGCTGACGAGACAACCGTCAAAACGGAAGAAGTCGAGCCCGAGCAGGCACCAGAGGCCGAGGCGGCCGATAAGCCCACCGAGGAGAAGCAAGATGAGCCAGAAGCTCCCAAGGAAGAGGCCCAGGCTGAGCCTGAGCCGGCCGCCACAGAGGAGGAGAAGCCCGCAGAGCCGGCCAAGGAGGCTGAGACCGAGAAAGCTGCTGACTCTGACAAGACCAAGGAGGATGAGGCTCCGGCGGGTGAGGCCATGGAGGTTGACCAGGACAAGGAGGAGCCCAAGAAGGACGTTGAGGGTGCTCCTGACGGCCCGGCCAGCTAGCCGGCGCCCACAAACCTTGACCTGGCAAGGTCTCCTTCGACTGGCCTTGGCAGCCTCTATTCAGGCTCGCCATGCCCTTCCTGTACTCTAGAAGCTGGGGTATGGCCAAAGCGGCGTTCAGGCGTATGGCATAGCGATTGATATCAGGGGCGGATACCGTCGCGGTCTGGAGAGGGCTGGTGTATTTCTGGCTCACGATTTCTCTTTTAGCTACACAAATCACGGTGCACGTCTATTTCATGCCTCGGGTACACGGGTCCTGATCTGTATGCTCGTCTCCTCGAAGAGTTGCAAATGTTTGGCAATTGAATAACGACTATTCGTCGTCGAGGTGGGCGACCCTGCGAGGCTGGCTGGGACCCCGTCTACAGGACCCGGCTGTGGTGCTAGCGCCACCTGCAAGGCTGTAAACTCCAAAGTTTGGGGGCAGGCAGCGGGGGCCAAAATTTATCGATGAGCAACACTCGTCACCAACCTCGACAACGACCGGTCCAGCCATCCATTCTTCCCAGTCCTAATTCCGGCGGCGTTTTCTCAATTCTTTCCATGTAGCATCTTCTTGAACCTCTCACCCCCGCGACTCGTCACCGGACCCCGCGCGCATCCTACCTCCGCCGCTCGCACCCTCTAGCAACCGCTACGATATTCCTCCCCCCGTCGAGTCACCCCCCGCGACGCCCTCTCTCTGCAAGCAGCAGCAACGACGAACCCGCGTCCCTCCCCCCGCGCCCGCGATGCCGACGCCAGTCCCGGCCGCGGCGGGCACGCCCGGCGGCGGTGACGCCGAGTCGGCGAAGCTGGCCGTCTGGAAGGAGGCGCTGTACGACCGGTGCAGGGAGTCCGGGACGGACCTCTTCTCGCAGGACGACCTGCTGCGGCTCGATGTCATCCCCAACCGCGACCTGATGCTGCTCGCGCGCGTGGTGCAGTCCCTCAGCGATGACAAGCTCTTCATCACCATGCGCGAGGCCTCGGGCCAGGTGCTCTGGAAGTGGCGCGACGCGCAAGAAGCACACAAGTGCGTTTTCTTCTGTCCTCTTCTTCTTTGTACCATGTCCTCATTGCTCCGGGGACGCAAACCACCTTTGAGCAATTGGGAGATCTCTCTTACGCCCCGATGATGGCAAGACTCATTTGGGGGACTGTTGGGCTAATTATTGCGGTCGTCGTCGCACAGGTACAAGCAATGCTCGACGGACGAACAGGTCATGGTGTACTCGCTCATCGACGACTCAGGCGGCGACGGCATCTGGTCGCAGACGCTACAGAAGCGCCTCAACATGCACGACTCGGTGCTCAAGAACGCGCTCAAGCAGCTGCAGACCAAGGGCCTCATCGCACCCTTCAAGAACGTCGAGCACCCCAACAAGAAGATGTTCATCAAGGCCTCCATCCGGCCCTCGGACCGCGCCACCGGCGGGCCTTGGTACACGGACCAGAACCTCGACGAGGCCTTTATCGAGGAGCTGCAGCGCGTCGTCTTCGACTTTGTTAAGCGCCAGAGCGGCTACCTGAGCACCCATCATCATAATTCCTCCTCCGCCGCCGCCGGCGCTGGGGCCGGTGCCAGGACACAGGTGCCGAAAAAAGGCGTGCTGAAAGGCAGCGCCTCTGCCGCTGCAGATAGGGGCAAGAAGCGCGGCGCGCAGGAAATGAGCGGCAGCACGTCCGCCACCCCGACGCCCAAGACGGCCCGCATCTCGTCGACCAGTCGGCGCGAGCCCGCCTTGCTGCCCCTCCCGGCGGGCTACATGGGCTACCCGACAGTGCGGGACATCGCCCGCCTCCTCTCCAGCAGCGGCATCACCAACAACACCATCTTGTCCGAGGACGACGTCAAGAAGCTCGTCGACGTGCTCGTCTGGGACAACCTCGTCGAGCCCGTCAAGATCGCCGGCAAGGTCGGCTACCGCGTCGCCCGCGTCGCCAAGCAGTCCACCGAGAGCTGGGCCGGCCGGGAGGACCCCACGGGCCGCGACGGCGGGCCGCAGCCCTACCTCAGCCCCTTCACCGAGGCGCCGTGCGGGCGGTGTCCCGTGTTCGAGCTGTGCGAGGAGGGTGGCCCCGTAAGCGCGAGCAACTGCGAGTACTTTAAACGCTGGCTGGGGGTAGATTAATGGCGGACCCCTTCGCGGAAAATAGTTTCAAGGCGCATTGACGACGCCTTGGCACGAGTATGGGGCGGCACACTGCCGGGACAAACCTTGCATGGTCGGAGTTGGGCGGCATGGAATTTGCGGATTTACAAGGCATTGGCGTGGATTTAGACAAAGCCCCGGCATTGTAGTACAGTAATGGCATCACTCGGGGCTTGCCAAGAACACACTGTTACGAGACAACGATCAAAACATCATTGAACAGAACAGGAATTGGCTTCAGAAGTCAACTTTTATTGTGGCGTCAGCTAAGCTAGGTGACCATCAGGCCGTCTTCCGAGAGCTCTGTCTGCTGCCGTTTTTCGCGTGCCTCCATTGACCAAAGGTCCCCGATACACAGATGCTACACAGCTTACAGCTCACCAGACTTGACAATGGTGGGGCGCTTGTTGTACTTGACGCTGCCGCTGGCGGAGCCGGTAGCCTCGAGGGCCTTGACGACGTCCAGGGAGTCATTGTCAGCGACCTCGCCGAAGACGACGTGGCGGCCGTCGAGCCACGAGGTCACGACGGTGGTGATGAAGAACTGGGAGCCGTTGCTGTTGCCAGAGGGGTTAGCAAAGACGTCTTGTGATGCAACATTCAGAGGCTTACGTGTTGGGGCCAGCGTTGGCCATGGACAGCAGACCGGGGCGGGTGTGCTTCTTGGTGAAGTTCTCGTCGGCGAACTTCTCGCCGTAGATGGACTTGCCGCCAGTGCCCTGCATGGGGGGTCAGCATGTGTGCCCTCGGAGAGACGAAAAGACGACAGCAGAACGTACGTTGCCGCGAGTGAAGTCACCGCCCTGGAGCATGAACTCAGGGATGATGCGGTGGAAACCCGAGCCGGCGTAGCCGAAGCCCTTCTCGCCGGTGCAGAGAGCGCGGAAGTTCTCGGCGGTCTTGGGGACGACGTCGTCGTAGAGCTTGAAGTTGATGCGGCCAGACTGGGCTGCAGTCCCAATTGAGTCAGCTGAGTGTCATGACGTGTGGCGCAGGAGCTCGGCGGGTTGGGGCAGTGCAATTGAGAGAATTCGAAGTTGTGTCGCCGTCGACGGCTGGGCAGCTTCGATGCGCTCGCGGCAGCATGCCAAGTCTTGCCATGAAAGCTTCTCTCAATCTCGTGGTGATGGAATACAGGGAATGCCCGGTCGGCGGATGCGCACGGTACTCACCCTTGACGGTAGAGGTAGGCTTGCCGCCCTGCATGACGGGACCCTCCCACTCAATGTCGAAGTAACTTTTGACGTAGATTAGCTTTGTATGCTTGGCAGCAGAGAGCGGGACGACGATCAGTACTCACACCTTGTTGCCCATGATTGCGGTTGTGGCTGAGAAAAATCGAGATGCTCGGAAAGTGTTGGAAGAAGATGCGAGTTGTGGGAGAGAGAAGGACCTCGAGACGGGGGAGCAGAGGTTATAGCGGGGTAGGAGGGGTCGAAGAAGCGTTGATCTCATTTTGAAGGGCTGCTGGAGGGGTAACAGGTTAGTGGGAAGACACAGGCCAACCAGAGCGCGCGATCGCGAGAAACGGTGGGGTGGCGAGGGAGACAGCGGCCAGTCACGTGGAAGTGCGGCGCCGAGATGGGTCGCTTGGAGGCTCCAGGAGCTTCCAGGGCGCTTTGGCATGACCAGCCACCCGCAGGCAGAGCTGCCATTGCTGCAGCTCCCCCTGCAGCTCCAGCTGCACTGGAGGGGCGAGAGGCGAGGACAGCGTAGCCCGCGAGCCCATCTCAGCAGCGCGACAGCTCGACGACGGACCCGGAGCAGCTCGGCCATCCGCGAGGGGACCTCAATGGACTGGCGTTGGGCCGATGCCCGGCAGCAAGCTCTGACGCGAGCTGAGAGCCGAAGCCTCTGCTGGTTGCTGGGCCGCCCCGGAGCTGCAGGAGCAGAATAGTGGGGTCGCGGTTGGCTGTCAGGGAGACCCCGGTGGCCAACCAGCGAACCCGTCCGGCTGCCCGTGTGCAGAGTGCTGGCGTGGCCGGGTCCCCACGAAACTGATGACGCTCCTCATGCGGCCGGTCCAGGTTGACGCCGCCGACGTGTCGAGCGTCAGCTGGGCCAAGGCTCGAATGGGCCGGCAAACTGCGCGACTTTCCGGGCTGCTCGGGACTGTCGTCTGCTGCGAGGGACTGGGACCGGGTCTTGGTAGTCGCGCGTTCGTCCCATCCGAATCGACGTGTCTGTGAGGGAAGCGGCTCGCGCTGCTGCGCATGCAGCGAGAGGCATGTGACGACAGCAAAGGAAAGGCACCTACCTGGATATTACAATTGGTACAAGAGTGGCGAGGTTAAAATACAAGAGCCGGATGAATCGCAGTCACGAGTTGCTCGATGCTGTGCTGGAAGTCTTCGGAAGGGGAAAAGTTGGCCGTCGGTGCTCAGCAGTCAACACAGGGGCTAGTGCCGGGCAGCCTGGGAGTCGGCCTGAGACTTAAGGTACCAAGAAGCCGAAGCGAAGCCACCACTCCCGGCAATCCATCGCGTTGGCTCAATGGCCTCGACGTCGACCCAGGTTGTTGCAGCAGGGCTGCGGAATTGTTCATCATGCCGTTCGTCCCAAGAATTCAAAATCTCGCCAATTGGAACGAGTTCGATGCCGGCTTGCGCGGCGCTTTGTCTCTTAGCTGTCTGAGCACCTTCGTGGTAGCCCCAAGCTTGAGATTGGCATGGTCACGTGATGGGTCCCCTGACCCCCAGCGCCGGACCCAGTCGGGCAACTGACGCCGCTCGGCAGCCCGAAAGTCCAGCTGTCCATCGCGACGAGTGTCACCATCTCTCCCCAGGACACGCATCACTGCACCACGCATCCGCGGCCGTGGCCTGCATTCACTCTCTCGACCCTCGACCCCCGGTGTTTGCGCTTGATCTGCCAACATGGATTTGAACGATTTGAAGAACACGGTCTCGAACCTGACCTTGTACGACCTCAAGGCCGGGTTCCGGAAGGCCCAGAATGGTGCGTGAGCCATCGGGAGCCCCGGCGCCTCCAATGCTAACAGAGCGTCCAGCGGTGATGAACTATACCGAGATGGAGTCCAAGGCATGTCGGGTTGCGGTCGCGGCATGGGACACTGGCTAACGCGGTCACAGGTGCGGGAGGCGACCAACAATGAGCCCTGGGGAGCCTCGTCGACCCTGATGCAGGAGATTGCAAACGGCACATTCAACTAGTGCGACAAACCATCCTCGCTCTCGTCGCTACCAACGCTAACAGAGCCAGTCAAACACTCAACGAAATCATGCCCATGATCTACCGTCGATTCACAGAAAAGTCGGCCGAGGAATGGCGTCAGATCTACAAGGCCCTGCAGCTCCTCGAGTTCCTCATCAAGCACGGCTCCGAGCGTGTCATCGACGATGCAAGGGGGCACATTGCCCTGCTAAAGATGCTCAGGCAATTCCATTTTATCGACCAAAACGGCAAGGACCAGGGCATCAACGTTCGGAATCGAGCAAAGGAACTCGCGGAGCTCCTGAGCGACGTCGACCGGATCCGCTCTGAGCGCAAAAAGGCACGCGCGACGAAAAACAAATACACGGGTGTCGAGGGAGGCATGTCGTTCGGTGGGGGCTTCTCGGGCGGCAGCAGCAGCGGCCGCTACGGCGGCTTCGGTAGCGAGTCGGCCGGCTACGGCGGTGGCAACGCCAATTATGGCGGCTATTCCGGCGGCGTTTACGGCGATGGCGGCGGCTTCGGCGGCCAAGCCAGCGATTTCCGAGACACCAGCGGCAGGTCAGACAGGTTTGAGGAATACGACGAGTTTGACGAGGGCGAGAGACCCGCGGCCTCGTCGAGACCAAAGAGGACGACGGAGCGCGCGGGTGTCAAGAAGACGACTGGAGAGGTAGCCAAGAAGAAGGAGCCAGAGGTGGACCTGTTCTCCTTCGACGAAACCTCGCAAAGCTCCTCCGCGGCCGCTCCGACGCCTTCCAACGGCTCCGGCCTGGCAGACCTGGGCGGCCCGAGCGGCAGCGCTGCGAACGATGATGACGAGTTTGACGACTTTCAAGAAGCCACGCCGGTCACACAATCCGCGGCGCCGTCGGGCGGCTACGCCCAGCCGCTGTCGCCCCCCCTCACCTCGGCCGCGACCTCCTCTACCCAATTTGCCGCTCCGCAGCCGCTCTCCGCTCCTCAAAAGGCGGACCTCAGCCAGATGGTCAGCACGTCGTCCATTTCGCCGGCGCCGAGCGCCGGGGTCAACTACTCGGCCTTTGCGTCACCCCCCGCTCAGGCACAGGCTCCGAAGCCGTCCGGCTTCCAATCCACAGGTCCCAACTACTTCGGCACGGTCTCATCTCAGCCTACTCAGGCGAGCGCGGGCATGTCAGCCATGTCCCCAATGGCGACTTCCAGCGGCCCGACCACCATGGCCAGCATGAAGCCCGTCACCAGCCCAGGGGCCAAGCCTGCCGCGGCAGGCGGCGATGCGTTTGGTGCGCTCTGGGGCAAGGCCAGCGGCGGAGTCAAGAAGACGGGAACACCTACCGCCGGGGCGTCCATGGGCCAGCTGGCCAAGGAGAAGAGCGCGGCGGGCATCTGGGGAGCTCCGGCTTCCGCGTCCTCGCAGCCCGCAGCGGGTCGCCCTGCGCCAAGTGGTGGCTCGGCGTCTGACGACCTGCTCGGGTGAGGAACTTGAGACGGAGTTGGCATGGGGATGGGCCAGATGGCAGCACGCTGAACTGGGTGACGAGTGGTGCGCGACACGGAGCAACAAGGTGATGGTTGAGGAGCATGCGTCTTGATTGGGCCTTAGATAGGCGTAGGGGCGCACAAATTGAATTGGCATGTCATGTCCCTTGTTTGCGGATGACATTCGTCCTGGTGGTTACTAGCACCGAAGCTCCAGAAGAGCTTGTGAGCGAGCAAGCTTGGCCAGCACATGCAAGCCAAGCAGCGCGCATACTCTGAGACGGACGCGGCATGCGACGCCGGCTCCGCGAGCCTTTCATCTGGCCCATCTGGCGACCGCGGCTAACCAGGATCGCAGCCTCATCGCCACAAACCAGCGACATGCGTCCTGACCCAATCACGTGGAATTCGAGGCCAAAGTCTCTGGCCACGTCCACCGGATGTCTTCCCCGTGCGCGCGCGTCCCGGTACTGCGTGCATTTTACGCGCTTGCAGTGCCGGGCTTGTGTCAGTAAGCGCCCGACCCAATGGCGCCGCACCGCCGCATCGCGGCACCGCGACTTACACGGCGACGAGCGCCTGCGATTGGCTGCGCCCGGCGGCTGCCCACACCGGCGGCAGTGTCAGGTCGGCTGCGCTGCTACGTCGAGGGCGAACCGAGCAAGGCAGGGCAACCTTTTTCCTGCTCGTTTCTCTGCATGGCTTGTTCTTTTCGCAGGGCGGCCGGGTGGGCTGCCGGCCCTAGCTGCTGAGCGGCTTGCTGAAGGACGGAAGGGAAGGGAAGGGGACATGGATGCCGTCGTCGTCTGGGTTGCTGAGGTTCTGAAACAGGGACGGCGACGTGCCCATTGGATGGGCTTGCTTGCGGCTGTCTTTGACGCTGCGTGATGCTGTATTTGGAAACGAGTTGGACTTGCTGCGAGGTGGTGGCTGGTTGAGCTTTTGGGGTTGCGCGTGAGGGCCGTCTGTATAAAGAAGGGAGGGGATCACGCCGTTGATGGTTTGCCTTCTCAGCAAGCAACTGCCAAACAACCACTCGCATCTTCTTTCCCCATCTCTTCTTTGTCTCTTTCCTAGTGTCTGCACTTTTGGGTTCTGCTTTGGGTCTCGTCATTTCCATCTTTTCCAGTGTGCCATCACGCTGCTCTGTCTCTCTCCGTTCGTCTACTACACGACAAGACCGCTCTGCACCAGTCAACCCATCCCTTCTCTTCGCTACGCACAAGTTCCGGGCTAGATCGCCGGGTACTTTCAAACGCACACGTCCTTCTTTGGCAACTCTCGACCGCGCCGCGAGTCGGGCTCTCGTGTCAGGCAAAATTCCGACTCCCACTTCGCCGTCCTCGGCTATTCTGCCGTTCCACGCCAAGCACTTTCCGCTCCGCACGGCGCGCTGTTCCTCGCGGCCGCGTCTCTCACTCGTCACTCCGTCAGCGACCACTACGAGCACGTGTACCGCCAACATGGGTGCTCCTCCGGCTCTCGGCGCCCTGGGCCTCACCTTCACGGCCATGCGGGGCATGCAGGCCATCGCCCTCATCACCATCATTGGCCTGACGTCCAACTTCATCTCGGAAATGGTGGCGGCCAGCTACGAGGCGCCCTCTGCCCTCGTCGGCACGCTCGTTGTGGTAAGTCAGGGGGGATCTTTTCGAACCTCAAGGGGGGGGCTGGACTCCTGGAACCAGACAAGGGGCTGACAAATAGTGCGTTGCGTGGGTGGTGTGCAGTCCTGCCTGGCCGCCGTCTACACGGTCATTACCTACATTCTCTACTGGGATTCGATGCTCCCGCTGCTCATCTCGACCGGGGCCGACGGGCTGTGCCTCATCGCCGTCATCGTGGTGGCCTGCGTCGTGGGCAAGCCCGTCAGCTACCTCTCGTGCCCAGCCCTGCCGGACAAGGGCAACACGGCCAACTTCATCCACTCGCTCTTCCTCAACCTCTCGCGCAAGGACTACTTCGAGTGGGTCGACCCGGACAAGGCGTCGTGCTTCGAGATCAAGGCCGTGTGGGGGCTGAGCATCTGCCTCTGCATCCTGTACTTTGTTTCGGCCGTCACCTCGGCCTGCCTGTGGAAGCGCATCAAGGGCGGCGCCTCGCGGCCCGCGGCCCCCAAGGACTTTGAATGAGGGTGCGGCCGTGGGGAGCCCGCGGGGGCGTCGGGGCCGTCGGCGGCGCGTCGCGAGGAGGATTCAGGGGCGACGAAACCAGCGCGCCGTCCTCCCGCCGTGCTGAAGAAGGCCCGCAGCCTGGGTACCGTGGCGCTGGGACCGCGGTCGGAGAAGCAGCGAGTGCCACCCGCGTACGACAGCGACTCTGTGTCGTCCACGTCGGACGAGGTGACCATGAACATTGCCTATCCGGCCCCCAGCGACCCGTCGTACCCACGGTTCCCCCCGCCACCCACGGCGCCGCTGCGTGACAAGGCGAGTGAGCGTCCGCGCCCTCGTCCCCTCGAGAAGCTGCCTCCGGTCCCGGCAGTACTTCCCCTTGCGGTGCCGAGTCCCGGGCCGCAGAGCCCGCAGGGCAGGACCGCGAGTAAGTCGAAGCGGAAGACCATATTGGAGCGAATCGAGGGCTGGTGGGATCTCGGCCTGCTCGAGAAGAGACAGACGCTGTTCGGCGGTGGCAACAAGTTGCCGGGACCGCGATGAGACTGCACAACTGCTATTTTTGTTTGGGACATGGGTTTTTGGGTTTTTGGGTATAATGCATAGATTGGACTCGTCGAGTGTTTTTTGCTTGGTGCTAGTATTGGTTCGTGTGGTATAATGGTTTGGGTTACGGTCATGTCTGGGTCGGGTCACCTAAAAGCAGAAAACCTATCAATGGCATTCAATCGTTTTAGTTCATGCAGGTGCGGCCCCATATGCATAATGACTCTTGTCAGTTGAATTCAGGCTCAAATGCCGCTTGGCATTCCTGTTGGCTGCAGCGGCCTACTCATGTTCGTGTATCGATTTCTAAACACGGTCAGTCTGCCAGGGAAGGCAACGTTTATGTCTTCATTTACCCGTTCTGACCTCAGACCAAAGGGCGTGGTCTAGCCTGGACGCCGGGAACAGAGACCGATCAGGAAACCCGACATTGCCATTGTGTCCTTGATCATGAGAATGCCTGCCTATTAAAATGTTGATCATTCCAAATAAATGGCGGCTTTTGATGTAAGACGGCAAGGAGCTTTAAGTGCAGGGTAGTCTTGTGGGCTCAGCTTATTCCGAGGTTCTTTGTATGCGCCTCACAGAGGTTGCACAGCATTATTATCCCGCCACTTATCAAGCATCAGAGCAACTCAGCGGCAAAGATAAAGCCTCCTTGATTGCCCCTCGACGACAACTTCATCGCCTTTAGTTTCCGCGTCAGCTTCTTCCCTTCGGCTTTGGCGAGTCGCGGCCCCTCGAGCGGGATTCGACTGCTTACAAATCCGGTCCGGCACTTGAAAGGTACTTGAGGCTTTGTACCTCCACTCCCCATCTCATTCTCCACTCACGGACCTCGAGTCGCCCCCTGCGTCAACCAACAGCCCACAGCAGCTGGTCGCTGAGACGCATTCGCACTGCACCGCCATGTCGCTCTTTCGGCAGCTCATGTCCAACAGCAAGACCCGGTCCTCGGGCGGCTGCTGGACATGCAGGGTGAGGAGGAAGAAATGCACAGAGAACAAGCCCGAGTGCGACACGTGCAAGGCCCTCGAGATCACCTGCTACTTCCAGGACGAGAAGCCGGAATGGATGGACGGCGGGCCCAAGCAAAAGGACATGGCAGAGGCCATCAAGGCCCAGGTCAAGAAGCAGGCCAGCCAGCGCCGCGACCGCAAGTATCTCGAGATGCTCGAGGCCGGCACCCAGTCTGTCTCACTCAGCGATGACACTCTGACACCTTCAACCGTTCGCAAGGATCGCCACGACGGCATGTCGGGGACGTCAGACACGGATCCGTCCCCGCGGAGCAATGAGATGGACTCCACGCCCGCCTCCAGCAACACCAACGGCACCTCGCCGCCCGAGGCACCCTGGCACAGCCAGCTCTTTGTGCGCGAAGAGGACCCGGCTTCGGCACCGGACGTCGACATTCACTTCCTCATGATCTACCTCGACTACGTCTTCCCCTACCTCTTTCCGCACTACCGGCCGCCCGTCCTCGCCGGCGGCCGCGGCTGGATCCTGGACGTGCTGCAGAGCAACAAGTCCGTCTACCACACAGCCATTTCTCTCGCCAGCTCTTTCTTCGCCGTCGTGCTGGCCAATGGCGAGGAGGAGCACGAGGAGTGCACGCTGCGCATGGTGCACAAGCTCGAAAGCCAGCTAGAGCTGGGCCTCGCCGAGCTGCGCAAGGAGATGCGCCTCTTGACAAGCGGCAAGTCGGGATTTAACAACGAAAAGGCCCTCATTGTCATGCAGAGCATCATCCAGATGCTGTTTTTCGAGGTCTCTACGTCGAACAAGGACAACTGGAAGGTGCATCTAGATGCTGCCGTCTTTCTCTTTCATCAGATCCTCCCAAACCCGGAGCAGTGGTCCGAGACGCTGAACAACTTATACACGCCAAAGTGGCCACCACCCGCCATGGGCCTTCGGCGGCCTTGGAGCACAAACCAGGCAGCCTTGCGCTTCTTCACCGCGACGCTCGTGTACATTGACGTCCTCGCGAGCGTCACGCTCGGCAATGCGCCCCGACTGCACCAGTACCAAGCGAGCGTCATCCCCGGCTGCCCATCCGAGGACCGCACGCCCGATCCCGTGCCGGTGGGGCCTCTCATGTTGGAGGAGTTCTTTGGCCTACCCAACTGGGTCGTCCAGGTCCTGGGCGACGTCGCCGCCCTCGAGTCGTGGAAGCGAGTACAAAAACAGACCGGCTCACTGTCTGTCAGCGAGCTGGTCTCTCGCGGCCAGGTGCTGGCCGATGCCATCAAGGGCGGCCTCCAGATCCTCGAAGCCGGCTACGAGACGCGGCCACATACACAAGAGATTACGTTCCAACTGCTGGTCTCAGACCCCGTTGGTGGGGAAGAGGTTCGGCGGCCGTCGTTCCAAGTGATATGGCTGCTCGCGACCCTGAGCTACCTCAATGTCGTCGTCAACGGCTGGCAGCCGTCGAGCCCGGACGTCCGGTGGCCCGTGTCCAGGGCCACGGAGCTGCTGTCCAACGTGCCCAGGGGCTCGTGCCTGCGGGCCCTGGCGTGGCCTATGTGCGTCTGCGGATGCTTGTCACCAGAGGAAGACGAGCCGGCATACCGCGCAATGGGTGAGCGGCTCGGGCCCCTGAAGATCTTTGGGACGGTCAAGGAGGCTCTGGAAATTATGGAAAAGGTGTGGTCGATGCGCGGCCAGCTCGACGAGTCGTGGGATGTGTCCAAGTGTCTCAACATTCTGGGACATGGCGTTTTGCTTATTTGATACCCTGGGTAATTGGAAATTGCGAGTCAACTGGTCGGTACACGACGGGCTGGAGACGGGTCAATGGCAACTCGTTTCTTCTATTCAGCACCTATTAAAGCGACCCTTGATCGGCTAAGCGACGTGCGCACTGGGGTATAACGACCAAATCATCCTCTACGCGCGATGGCCCTCAGCAGTTCTCCTCCTGGCAAGTCGAGACGTCCTCCCGCTGTTCGTCAGCCACAGCAAACGGTGGCCTCCTGTGCAGCGCTGGTCTGTTGTCCACTGCGTCACGGTCAGCATCTTCTCGCGTCTCCGAGGGGCACAGACTTATACTCACACAAGAGGCAGCGTCTCCCACTGGAAGATGAAGGCCCCAAAGAAGGCGCCGAGGATGATGCTCACGATGATGTAAATGTTGAAGTACATGGCCAACTATGGTCCTGTCAGCAACCCAAGAGAGCCCTTTCCGGTCAGAAACCAGCAGACACCTACCAGCATGAGAAAGTACGCGACCGTGAACTGGAGAAAGTGCAAGAAGGCGCGGATCGCCTGTTGGAAGACGTTGGGCCGGAAGGGCGGCACGACGGCAGGACAGACACCGCCGGCGGGGGCGGCGATCGGCGCGGCAGCGTCCTTGCTACTGACGGAGCCGCGGTCGGCACCTGCGCCCTGGTGCTTGGCGATGTGCTGGCGGACGAGGAAGCGGTCGAACTCCTTGACGGAGCGGCGGATGAACTCGAGCGACATGGCGAGGAGGAAGACGCCGATGCAGGAACCGGCGAACATGCCGCGCGAGGTGACGTGCCACTGGCTCGAGAGGAAGCACGCGTCGACGGTGTAGAAGTTGAAGAGCATCTGCAGAGGCGGCTTCCCGTCAGCAAACGATCCGGTCATGTCTCTGACGATGGGTTCGGTCATCTTACGGAGATCTTGCAGCTGTTGCCGCCGCCCATGCCCATGCCGCCCATGTCGTGGCCCGCGTGGGCGCCCGAGGTGGTGGCGGGCATGTCCATGGACATGGTGGGGGACATGGAGCCCATGGTTCCCGTCATGGTCGCGTGGTCCATTGCTGCGCGCGCGCGTTTGGTATTGTCTCTCCTCACGAGGTGGTCGCCGCGCGGCTCGGTGCTTCAAAAGGAAGACGGGCGAGTTATTCTCGTTTGTGTACCTTGGGAAGGGCGGAGGTGAACTGCGACGGTGAGTGCGGGTGCGGTGGGAGGGAGGAGGAAGAGAAGGTGAATGTCGGAAACCGGCAACGAGAAAACGCACACGAATGTGTCCAAGAGAGGAGGAGACGGAGGACAACTGCGGGTTTTGTAAAGGGAAGTGCGGTCCCGATAAAGTTGGACAGGCGTGCAAACTTAATAAACGAAACCCTGACATGCGGCAAGCCTCTGCGCGACGGCGCGCGGAGCCGGCTGTCGAGCCGATGCAGCAGCACCTCGTCTTGGCCAGTTGCGCTGGTTTTTTTGTCCCTTTCTCTCTCTTTCTCTTTCTCATCTGCAGGCGCGCCATACGCGGCTACTACATAACTTGGTTACCCGAACGCGCGAGGGGAGCCCAAGCTTCTTCCTTCCCTGCGCGCGCGCGCGCGCAAACGCGCTCACAGGTCCACTCCCCTTCGGAGACTTATGCCGCTCGCAGGTCGCAGGTGTGCCTGTTGGCCCAGCGATTGCAGTGCCTGTAGTACATCGGACGAGACGGAGGGATAGCCACGGCCCGTTCGTTCGTTCGTTCGTTCGTTCGTTTGGCCTAAGCAGGCGCGGGCGAGTGACCCGTGAGGGCGTTTGCGCAAGTTTTCCTTTGCAGCAGGGACCGAAGGTGGGACGATTCTAAGAAAATCGATATTGTCCCCCATACACATCTAGATGTGTATCCCCCCCTTCTCGCACTCTATGCTCCTTCGTATTTGCAGTCACTGTATTTTTTGCAGTGGAGGGCGGGCGGCAAGCCAGTGTCCGGTATTCACTCCGTTGCACTCGCACAGTAACTGGTTACGGGCATGCATGCCGCCGCGACGGCTTGGCCATGGCCAGTGCGCGGCGAGTGGTACAGTAGTGGTGGTGATGCCCGAGTTTGAGACACTGGAGGGGGGGCCGGGGCGACGCGGGGAGTCGTGTGACGATGCCCTGCAGCTGGCGCATGAATGAATGAATTGGGGTTCGAAGAAACCACGGGCACTTGCGCCGGGCGTGACGAAGCCCACCAAATTCATGAAGTCGGCAACGATGCGTATCGAACCCGGGATCGAGACGGTACTTCTCTGTCGACTATTACGTGTGTTGTTGGCTGGCCTCCCCAGTGAGTCAGTCCCCAGGGTCTTGACGTCTGCACAAGGAGGAGGGAAAACCCACAGCGGGACATCATCATCAGGCAATCGTACAGATCCGAGGCGCGGTGCCGCAAGGGATGGGGGCCCCGACTGGTTGGTTACACCTCACTTCCTCGACCCGTGTTTTGGTGAGCACGAAAGAGCCCGTTGTGGTGCCACGGGCGCTCGATAGTCCCTGTCTGCTCGCGGGGACTGGCCCTCTTTACGAGCACATAGTCATACTCATGTGAGCGCAAGTTTTGGACCCCAGGCGAGGCGAACTTGATGACATGTGTTGTTTCCCTTTCGGTTACGTGAAGCAATCCACCGTGGTCAAAATCTTTCACGCGACAAGACACTTACGAAATCTGAGGCTTAAAGCCACTGTAAGTTAACGTGCGTAGACTCGATGTAAACCATTTTTGGAGAATTGCCTGAAGGTCTTAGCTAGGTGGACCAACGCGTCAAAGCAGCAACAGAGCGATGGGAAGATGAAGTACATAGTCAGGGACATAGAGGGGTCCCGTATCGAATTGATCAGACACTTTGGCCTTGTAAGGTAATCTCAGTATCACGTATAGTACGCACCGCATGAGTAGGCCAATCTACATCCTACAAGCCAGTCTATTACAGAGTCCTCCTAGCCAAGTCACGCCATGCATGCGCGTTTCATAGTTGGCCCGTTCAAATCCCGGGGCTTGCCATTACATTAATATCGCTGTATCCCATCCCGCATCGCCCGATGCCTGCCCGACTCGGAGTCTTCCCTTCCATCATCAAGCACTCCCTCGCGTCTATCCGTTCACGTCCCAATATCAAGGCTTGCTAAACGACAAAGGCCCGGAATCGAGCTCAATTGGTCCAATCTCAATCGAAGGTAACAGCTCCGGGAGCGGCAGCATCGTCGTCGACACCGCCGTGGCTGTCGTCGCCGCCGTCGTCGTCGAGGTCATCGTCATGGCGGGCTCCATCGACGCACCTTCTTGCGCCGCCGCCGCCACGGGCGCCGCCACCTCGTGGTCTTCTTTCGTGTCGATGAGCGGCTCCCCCGCCACAATGTCCGGGAGCTCCAGCTGCGGGGGCTCCGCCGACGAGAATCGTTTCCACTCGGGTAGCTCAGCCTTTGCTGTGTCAGTCGCGGACTCGCCCGCGGCACGGCTCGTGTCGTCTGCCTCACTCTGTGATGCCGTGTCCTCCGAGGGCGGGAGCTTCGCCGCGCCGCCCGTCAGGCTCGCGGGCTCTCCCGTCGCGAGCGCCGTGGCGGCGCTGAGGACGGCCGCGGCGCCGATGGTGTCGCCGTGATTATCGTGCTCGGGATTACTGCCGTCTCTAGGGTTTGGAGAGACTCGCCGTCAGCATCCAACGCAAATCACGCCTTTCGTTTCGGGATATCCTCACTTTTGGTCCGCTAGGGCTGGTCGAGGTGGGCCGTCGTCCGCCTCGAAGCCGTTGTGTGTGCTCATTCCGCAGCCCATCGTGGCGGTTGGTTGCTTTTCTCTGCTCGTAGTGCGGTCTCACAGTCGACAGTCATGCAAGTGCTGCGTATCGCGGAAGAGGTCGGCGTCGGTACAGCTCGATGGAGAAACTGCGCTGCTGCCAGGCAGTCGAAAAAAATATTCTTCCTACTGAGGCATGAACGGCACCCATGCAGCATGAAGACGGGTCTCGATGGAGCGACCAAGCGACAGGGCACGCCGGCCGGCGGTGAATCACTTCACTCACTGCTTCTTGGTTCGTTGGCACAGCCCGCAAGCTCAGAGGGGCGAAAGCAGTCGAAAAAGAAGCACCGTTTTACCACGACCCAAGCAAAATAGCTTGGACGGAAACGCCCCGTGCACGGCTTTGCGAGATTGCGTGGCCGACATCTCGTCCAGCTTTTGCGCGACTCCGCAAAAGGAGGCGCGTATCGCAAATGATGAATGTCTGGGATGCTCACGCTGCCGTTGGACGACTGCCGGCAGCGCTGCTTTTTGAAAGAGTCTCGGTGGCTCATTGTGCATCCTTGTCGCGGCCACCGCGCACCACCGCCCGCTTCATGTTATTGGCGTCGCTGCTGCGTTCGGGATTTGGGACACAACAGCCGGTGCGAAGTGCGGGCAGTCCGGTGTGCAATCTCGGTTGCACCAAGTCTCCACGGAGGCAAATCCCATGGCCCCGTCTTCCGTCTTGGCTTCTCATCCCCGTGACTCGTGAGTCGCGGCTCCGTTACGAGTACCGATGGAGCCCCCAGCTGGGTTGCGTGTCGGCATTGGCAGCCGCGTCGACTTTCCCCATCGAATAACCTGCGGCTCATGTCCGGCCCGAGCGGCTCGGGCAGCCGCGAGCCGTACGACAGCCGCGAGAGGCACGGGAGGCGCGAGGGGGCCTTTGCCATGAGACGGCTGCAATATTGACTCTGGAGACGCCCTTACACGTAGGTAGGACGCGAGTACCTTGGGGCGTCCATTTCTGAGGAGGATATCGTAGCGCTCCAGCGACCACGATGCTCGCCTCTCGTGCTTAGTTACAAGCCAGTCGGTTGAGGGACGCGATAGAACCACTTGATGGCGTCACAAAGATCCCACGAATGCCAACCAGGGTACGAATTAATCTTTACCTGCGCTGCTGTCCGTGCCGATGCGACAAGCGGTCCATGCCATGACTACTACTAGGTTCTCCCCATGGGGCAATGTGATCCGGTGCTCGGTCTCGATGGCTGCCATCGTACCCGTGCCCACTTCGGTGCCCACTTCGGTGTCCGCTCCGGTGTCCGCTCCGATGACCATCTCGGTGTCCGTGCTGGTGGCTGTAACGTAAGGAATCCGGCGGGTTAGCGTGTAGCCTCTACTTGAATGATGCACGAGAAACATATGCGGCCGGACGTCAGAGCCTACTTACCTACGACGGGGGCGATCGTACTCCGGATCGCGTTCGCCGGAGCCGAAACACATTATGATGTAGGCGCTATAGTCTGAATTGGAGCAGATTTCCAAGTTTTCCGGTTTTCTGCTGATGGGAGAGGCGGTGAGCTTGCTGGATAGGGCGACGCTTCAAAGGCACGGAACGAGAAGGACGAAGCTCTGTGGGTGTCTCAATATATATGTTATCTTCCAATGTCGTGACGAATGGCCACCATGAAGCACCGTCGGCAAAAAGTTCTCTCGTCAGAATGATGGGTCAAAGTGATGGACACACAGCTTCATTGCCAGGCTGCCGTGAGTCGCTGGTCAATCCAAAGGATTCAAGAGCCGCAAAAACGGAGTGTGATTCGGAGGATACCACGCAAACTTGCACAACAGCAGGGTAAGGTTTTAAACATTTCATTATTCCAGACAAAGCGAGCAGTGTGAACGACCATCCAGGTCCTTTACAAGAGCTACTGGTTGACGCCCAGCTGGATTACAAAGTTTCTAGTATAAACTAGCCCGCCGAACTCTATGGCGATGGTAGTTTGAGAAGTGCGATCCTCTACGGCGTGGTGGTGCAGCAGGGTCATGGACATGTACCGCAGCCGAGTTGAACGCCCAGTATGCCACTCTGGTTCTGAACTCTGCGTCATCCTCCGCGCTCGTGCGCCCGTAGCGAAGTCTCCTTTCGTCAACATAGCGAGGGCGATCCGTGTAGGGCCTTTTTAGGTAAGTACAGAATCGGGGCATAGTGAACTCGAACGCAAAGATCCTACTCACGGCAAACTATAGGTTGACTCGTCGTCGTAGTAGTCTGAATAGCCTGAAAAACAGCACATGATGGGCTAGTTTCGAACATATGTGATGCAAGCGAGTTTGCCGAGTGTTTCGAAGCGAGGTAATACGACCCGTGGCTTGAAAGCGACATGGATGCATGGAAACTTACAACATTCAGGCGACAACGATTGAAAAAGACAAACCCCCTGGCGAATTTATGTAGAAACTACGAGCCTGTCGCACGAGAGCCGCAGGGATTCAGTCGAGTGATACCCACTGCCCTTTGGAATGCGAATCTCGGATTCATGTCCTACTGTGCTCGTCACCCGCCTAATACGATTTCTGGACAGTGTATCACCGCTGCAGGCGTAAACATGTAGGTTGGGAAACAAGAAACAGAGTGTTACCATGATAGTGGCTATCTGTCCCCGAGATCGCGACCGATCTAGAGCATCTTTGTTGAGAAGTCGAATCTGGCGTCCGGTGCGGGAGAATGCCTTCAACGCTTTATTCCACGGATTTGAATGCGCTCAATCTCCAAACACCTCGTAAAGAACTTGATATATGGCAAGGGGCATATATGCTGGAGTCGCACTTAACCCACGGGATCGACGTGGGGATGTCGTCCACGCATGTGGACTAGCTCAGTGTTCGCCCGAGCTTCGGCGGAACAAGACGCGCGGGCATCGCGCAAGTTCGGCCGAACCAGCACTTCGGCCACACCTGAGACAGGGCCCGACACCGAACCCCCCAGGGTATAAGTAAAGCTCAACATCCGTCTAAATTCTGGGAGATGTATTGCAATGCCATCGTAAAGAAGACAATTCTCACATATTTGCGCGAACTCTTGCGATTCCATACCGTGTGGTACTTCCCATCCTCACTCAACCAGTTGATATCAGATAAACTCAGCCAACGCGACAAAACATCACGAACAAGAAAGATGGTCAAGATTGCCATCGCCGGCGGTTCTGGCAGTTTGTCTCCCTCGTAGCCCTCCGTTCACCGAAATCCAGTCCTGACCAAGCGCCGCAGATGTTGCCCAGGAGATAATTGACGTACTTGTTGCCACCAAGAAGCACGAAATTCTGCTTCTGTCCCGAAACGTGCAATGCCCGACACCATCCCTTTATATCATCTCGGGTACAAATAGCTGACTTGTCTAGGATGCGCCCGCTGGATGGTCCGTCTCCGGCGTACGCTGGGTCCGCACGACCTACGAGGACACTCAGGACCTGGCAGAAATCCTGCAAGGGGTACACACCGTGCTCTCGTTCATTGTTGTGCACTCGGACGTTGGAAACGTGTCTCAGCGAAACCTGATCGATGCAGCCGTCCAGGCGGGCGTGAAGCGCTTCGCGCCAAGCGAATGGGCATCGTAAGCCGCACCACCACATCGCGCAACCCGTTCCACCGTATGCCTCGCTCATCACTGCAGGTCCTCCTTCGAGTACATGGACTGGTACGCTGGCAAAGCTGAGATTCGTGAATATCTAAAGCAGTTGAACAAGCATAAAAAGGTAAGCACGATCGCTGCGAGATGGACAGCAGCGTAGCCAAGCAAAGACAGCTGAAGATGCAGCTCAGGTCATCGAGTATTCGCTATTTCAGCCCGGATTGTTTGTGAACTACTTCACCTACCCTTACCAGTCGGCCAACCACGTTGTGCCCATCGAAACGCCTATTGACTTCAACAACCGCCGAGCCCTGGCGATAGACGGCGCCGAGGATTCCCGCCTCACGCTTACGACGGCCCAGGATCTCGCTCAAGTCGTGGCGCGGGCAGTTGAGTATGGCGGAGAATGGCCGGTTATAGGTGGTGTGCAGGGCACGGAACTCACCGTCGGGCAACTCATCACCCTGGGCGGCAAGATCCGCGGTTTGTGGCCTCCCCGTCCGTGAGTCTTTGGAGGGAAACGGCTGGCACTGACCACAAACGCTCTAGGCAAAGACTTCAAGGTAGAAAGGCTTCAGGCTGCGGACCTCAAAGCTGGCGAGCTAAAGTCCTCGTGGAAGCCGACCGCTGGCCATCCGGCCTTTACCCCAGAGCAGTTTGAGGCCATCTCGACGAAGCTCATGGCAGGGATCCTGCTGGGAATATCTGCTGGAGCTTTGCGCGTCTCGGATGAGTGGAATCGCCTACTGCCTGATTACCGATTCACTCAGGCAGATGAATTTTTGACCGAGGCATGGTGCGATAAGCCGTAGCCGTTGTGCTGGTAACCCGAAAAGGCAGCCAGACGGGCATTACGCATCAGATGTATAGGGTTACAAATCGCCTTGAAAACGCCCAAGCATGGTTACTCTAGTGTTTTCGCCTCCGTCGTTGCCTTCAGATCTCTGATCCGTCCTGAGGTCCAGTTGAGACCGTCTCATCAGACTGCGCTAGGGCCGTCTGAGCCTTGGCTCTCTCCTGTTGCCTTTCCCAAGCGGGCATCGCAAACTTTACAAAGTACTCCGAAGCCATCATCTGCTCGGCAGTAAGTCTCTCTGCGGGATCAAAGGTCAGCATGCCCCTCAGCAGATCCTCCAACGCCCGCAACTCTCCTGCCTGGACATCCCACTCGCACGTCTCGAGAGTCTTGCCGCGTCCCATATTCCACATGCGATCGTGCAGCGGTCGGGCAAATCCATCATACACAGCATCTTGTTTCCAGGAGCCATCTTGCTCAAAGAACTCCCCGCGCTCTTCCCAAATGTTCCACCAACGTGAGGGTAGGGGGCCCAACGCGCCGATCATGTCCGCAAGCATCTTCTCCCGGGCATAGGGGAAGAAGAGCATCCCCGTGCCCATAATCTCGTACAAGTTGACGCCAAGTGTCCAAATATCTGCGGCGAGGGTGATTTGCTCCTTGAAGTAATGTTCCGGCGGGAGGAAGTACGGTGGTGTACAGAGCTTGGGGGATGGTTCGGTAGCGACATCGAAAGAAGTTCCAAAATCGGAGATTGTGACGATGGGATCAACAAGCTTGTCGGCTGATATTATGATTTGCATGGCTTCCAGACCGTATCGCGGCGCGTGCTCGTCGATCGGAGCACCATCAACCCTTTCGACGGGGATCTTGTACAGCCGAAAGCGCTTGTATAGCTCATGTGGCTCAAGATTGTCGAGGTTTGACCCTCGCAAGAGGATATTCATGAGATACAAGTCTGCGTGCTGTGTGAGCATTACAATGCTGGAGTAGGTTCGCTCAAAGCCAAGGTGAGTCTTGTAGTGACTTACCGCCATGGCAAATTCCTCGGGAGTGCAGAAAGGCAAGGCCCATGATCACTTGAGCCGCAATGGACCTTGCAGTCTCGGCGGGAAACAAGCGGTCCACAGAGCAATCCTTCGCACAAGCTATGTTGCAACCTTGGGGCTCGAGCACGACGCAGATGTGTCGCCCGTTGGGGCCTTCGAGGGTAAAATGGTCCAGCAAACGAGGTATGAATTCTTGTCCGATAATTGGGGCATCGGGGCTTTGTAGTCGTTGAAGAATATCTGCTTCTTTACTGGTCGCGAAGTCCCAGGCACCGAGGATCTTCAGCGCGACGTAGCGATCCGATTCTTGATCGTGTGCGAGCCATACGGTCGAGTAGCTACCATGCCCTAGCTTGTGAACCACCCTATATCGGTTATTCTGAAACGTGTCTCCAAGGATTATTGGGTGAAAACCACCCGTTGTGTAATTTTCAAAGTCCTCTAGATCGGGATCTCCGATGTAGACGTCCTCTGGCCGCCCGGACATGATGGTGGCCATGGGATGAAATCGGCGAGCAATTGGGTGGCGACAGCCGGTGCTAAAACGAGAGGTAAATGGGGGGCAGTGGGAGCTCGAAATTTTGGTGGCCAGTGGGGGAGACAGTATCGTTTAACGAATGGTGCTGATGGCAAGATATACGAACAGCGAGCTTGGGAAACATCAAAGGGGGACTTGTTCGCGGACCATCGCACGGGCGGACACAGCACGACACGAACGAGATAGTTTGCTCTGACAACATTGAACCTACACAAAAGCACTTCCCGCCAGGCCGGCACAAAGGAGATTAGGCGTTTATTACCGCCGACACGTTACAAAGAAACGTGACAAAGACGCAAACAGCATGTGCAACCGCAACCCCGACGACAAAGGATCTACAGAATACTCAGCTTAGGCATGAAGTTAACGGCTTTCGACGACAGCGGACAGATAGAACACCTGGCGTGAACATGAAGTCGACAGCGCCAACGACATGAGACGGACAAAACACATAGCTTGAGAAACTTAGCGGCTTTCAGCGACAGAGGACGGATAGAACACACAGCGCGAACATGAAGTTGACAGCGTCCACAACATGGGACGGGCAGAACACATAGCTTGAGAATGAACTCAACGACTGTACATCTTGTCATTGTATTTCGTTCTAGTCGCATATATATCATAAGTAGAGTTCCGTCAATAGTCCCGACTTCTTAGGATGCAGTCATCTTGCTACTTTCGTCTGGCTACTTTCGTCTGGCTACTTTCGTCTGGCTACTTTCGTCTGGCTACTTTCGTCTGGCTATTTTCGTCTGGCTACCTTCGTCTGGTTACGTTCGTCTCGTCGTGTAATCATGTCTCAGGAAATCGTCTACATCTGGAAGGTGGAACGACCCGCCGACGAGAAGGTTGCGAGAGCTCTGATGCGCGCGGCTTACCATACTGCTATGCAAACGGATCCCAAGACGACGCAAGTCTTGATTCGGTAGGGAGCCCCGTTCAGGTTACTTACAACGTACATTTGATGTTAGCGTGCGACTGACTATTACAATCCTAGGTCCTTCATTCATAGTACCACGATGGTGCATGGCGTGCCCGTAGAGGATGATCCTCATTTGACGGTGTCTGTTAAAACCCCAGCCACTGCAGCGCATAACAAGCACCAGACCAGCCATGGTTACACGGCACATCTGAAGTCTTACGATGTGCTGAGGGTCAAGCCTAATAAGTTCAAGAAGCCTGACTCTGAGCAAGATTGGCCGGCGCACATGGCGACGAAACCAAGAGACGTCGTCCGGGGGGAGCCACGTCCTTTGGCGCCGCAGGCTGGTCCCTCCACTCAGCCTTCGAAGTCTTCGAGGCCGGCGAAGAGGGGCGGCAGGTGAGAGACTCGAATGCCTGACAACCCGTTGGCATTGATGGCGGCTGCGGGCATTCTGTTTTCTGTTGATCGTTGTGAGCTGCAGTGGTTTTTCATGGGCTTCGCGTACTGCCTAAGTGGGCAATGTACGTATAAGCTTGGGAGGTCTCTATGGCGTGCTGTTGAGCGCTGTTTAGTGGGCTGTGCTTGACCCTTCGTTAATTGACCTTTCACTGATTTCCTACATCATCCACAGTGCCACACATGTGCATCCTTTTTGATACAAACGTCTCATTTGATCACCGTGAGTTGCACCTGCGAACATGACAGCGCACAACAATACCAGCGGTGACGCCGTCGAGCCACAGGCCAAGAGGCGGAAGGTCCGCAAAGGCACGCAGAGCTGCTGGCAGTGCAAGCACCGCAAGGTCCGGTGCTCATTCACCACCACCCCCTCGTCCGCACGCCTGGCTACCGACACCATCTGCGACGCTTGCAGGCGTCGCGGCACGAGCTGCATCAGCCAGGAGTTTCCGGACGAGGCTCCGAAGGCTGCGCAGGAGGTTGGGGATAGGCTGGGCCGCGTGGAGGCTCTGGTTGAGCGGCTGACGAGCAGCGCCGGGTTCACAGCTGGCGGCGCCCGTGAAGAGGCGGCTGCTTCAACTGTGGTGGTGAGCGATGGCAGCAACGGGTTGCGGAACGAGAGGCCTCAGCCAGCTCCGGCGGTCGCGACGAACAAGTTTCTGGCTGATGACGACTCGGCTGTAAAGCATCGCGATGTCTCTGATCGGCTTGCCGCAGCATGGCCCAGTCCGCGCGAGATGGACCTCATCCAGGCCATCCCCGCCACCATCCCAACCCTCACAAGCACCTCCTGCACACCCCCCAACCTCGAACCACACCCACCATCCTCCCGCGACGTCCTGCACCTCCCCTCTCCCGGCTCACATCCCGTACTCATCGCCCGAAAGTTACTCTTACTCGGCTGGTTCCTCCAAGGATGTCCTACCCAACATCTCACCCATCTGGGCATCGACCGTCGCGACGCCATCATGTCGCACGCAATGCGCACGGCTCACGACGCGGTGACGTCGCAAGACCATCTCGTCGGCTCAGTCGAGGGCGTGGAGTGTCTCTTGATTGAGAGCCTGTATCATAATCACGCGGGGGACCTTCGGCGCGCGTGGCTCGCTGTCCGGAGAGCGATACTCATCGCTCAGCTCTTGAGGCTGTCCAGCGGGGTGAAAGAGACGGCGCTCGACGAAGACGCCGACACACACAGCGTGATCGATCCGGTGTTTCTGTGGTTTCGTCTGATGCAGATGGATCGGTACCTCTCGCTCATGCTCGGTCTCCCACCAGGCTCTCTCGACAATAGCTTCGCAACGCCCACAGCCCTCGCGACATGCACGCCCCTAGAACGCATGCAGCGCATCCAATGCGTCGCCGCCGGACGCATCCTGCAGCGCGACCAGGCAGACACCCACACCGATGAACAAGAGCTCAAGGACACCAACGAGATCGACGCCCTCCTTCGTGAAGCTTCCGCCCTGATGCCCCCAGAGTGGTGGCTCCCTCCCAGCGCCGACACCGACAAAGACACGACCCGCATCATGGACCTCCTCACTCACCACCATTTAGTACTTCGCCTCCACCTCCCATTCCTGCTCCGGTCCCCAAACAACAGCAAATACGACTACAACAAGCTCACAGCCGTAAACGCCAGCCGCGAGGCGCCGCGAGGCGCTCTCGCGCTTCGTCTCGTTCCGGAAATCCAAGTCTCCGTTGCCGTACTGCCGGGGCATCGACTTCCTGGCCTTCATCGCCAGTGCAACGCTCTGCGTCGCACACATTGAAGCCCATCGACATTGCTACAACCCGCTCGGTGATCTTTCGCGCCGGAATGCAGCCCTCCAGTTTCTCGTGCACCAACGCCATGCCGACCGGGCGTTGATGGAGCTCACTCTTGAAATCATGGACTTCATGGCCTGCGGCGGGGCGGATGCCATCGCTCGCAAGATTGCCACCATATTGCGGCGCTTGCTTGGAATCGAGGCCGATGCCGCTTCCGGTGCCGCATACAGGGCCGACTCCTCGCGTGACGGCTTCTCCTGTGAAGAGAGAGAGTTTGACTACTACAGCGACCTTGCGGGAGGTGACGGCACAACTACGCTGCGTGTCCACATACCACATCTCGGCACAATCAAGATTGAACAGGTCGATGTGTGCAAATCGCCTGCGCTTGACCTAGTTCTTCCCGCGAATTCTGCTGAGGTCCAATCAGGGATCCAGGCTGCTCCTCTAGACTGGCCGACCGCCTTGTCCTTGACAAACGCTGCGGCAGACGATTCGCCCACCTTCACAAACGTGGATGGATCGCAAATGCTTCTCCCTGAAATGGGGTTTGATGATGTGGTGCTACCTGACGTCGCAGGAAGTTGGATTCTTCACGTGAGCGACAAGAACCCCGAGCTTGCCTATCAACTCCAAAGATCTGCCTAGCGATCGTACCTCAGCGCCGCCCGCGCGATCACCAAGAATAGCTCTTGGGCGCATTGCGCTGCTCTGTCATGGAGCTGCTGGGGCCTCTTCTGGGTTGGGGGCACCGGCGTCGCATTTTAAGCCAGTTCCCTGCCATTGTCCTTTCCGGCCGAGCGTGCCCGAGTGAGATCTCTGACAGCGCAATGGCGAATTAGTCTGCCGGAAACGTCGATTGCTGCCTGCAAGAGTTGTGCATTATGGACGTGTTTCAAGGTTAAAAAGAACATCGTATTCGTATTTCGTTTTTTCAAGTCGTTTCCATGGATTGATCCTCTGAACCGAGCTCCGATCCTGACTGGGAGTCTTCAGATGCGGAGTCATTGGTTTCTTCCAGGGACAATCGGTCGTATTTGCTGGCGAGGGCCTCCAAAGAAGACGCCTCTGGATCGCCATCGCGGCCGAGGATTGCCAACGGCCACTCTGACTGAATATGCTGGGCCACAAGAGGCTCGTTCTCATCAACCGGGTTCCATTGGGCATGGCCCCGAACCGCCGACAAGTCTTCGGGTGACAGCCTGCTGCGAAGAAGCCTATAGGTGGCTGCAGCCATGTGAATGTGCTGTCCCTGGTCACGCAAACCTTTGATGCTGAGTATAAGCGTGGACCGAACATCTCTCAATATTGCGGCATCCCCCTCCGCTTCGCGGAGACTCTCCAACGCTGCCATTCCCAGCGTGGAGAGGAAAAGGAGCAAAAAGGCATCGCAGAACTCGAAGCTATGTCGGACGAAGTACAGACGAGCGACCGTTTCGAGCCGGCGCAGGGCGCCTAATCCGCCGCCCTGCCATGTTTCGGCTGCGCCTTTCTCGTCGGAAGATGCAGGCGATACTGGAGATGGCAGGTGCTCCGCGGTCCGTATTTGCGTCACGGCAAACGCTAATGCTTGGTATTCCATGCTGCAAAATCCAATTAGCATCCCTTCGCGTTGCCTCCTGAAGACAATGCGGCAGGAAGATAGCATGCAAGATACTCACTGCAGCTTTAAATGCCATGGTAGTGCAATATTATCAGGGCCCAAGGACGGTGGCAGACTCGCATACCAAGATTCAAGCCTTGATTGTATTTGGCGCACGCTCTTGGCGGTCAAGCCCTGCACGTCTTGAGAGTTGGTGTTCCCAAATTGGAGGATGGCAAGGTCGTTGATAATGACCCTCAGCCTCGAAACCGCGTTGAATAAAAGTCCCAAAGGCGACAGAAACGGTGTCGGATTTAAGCTGTATCGGAGAACAAGGCCACCATACCAAGACGGGTGGCGGTCAGGGTCTGGAAGCGCTGATGCCGGCGGCGCCTTGATGATGGGGGCTCGGAAATAGTAGTAGCCCATCAAACTAATTCCAACGTCAGTGTTGTCGCCCGGTTGCACAGAGGGCTGCGGGCTTACGTCTGCCAGTTGAACAAGCACCACGCAGTGAAGTCGCGTGCGTGTCTTAACCGGGTACTGCGAATGTGTTTGTTACCATCTAGCAGGCGGAGCTGCTTCGCCATCGTCACAGCTCTGACGAGATAGGGGAAGCCGATTTTGTCCATGCCATGCATGCTGTACGTGATGTGCAAGATCAGGGTCGCCTGCAAAGTTGGAAGGTCGACTGTGGTATCCGCGTAGAGTTCCCATAGGCGTTTTGCTTCGGCAAGAAAGGAGTAACCCAGAGTTTTTGGGTTCCAAAACTGGTCACGGTGCGGGAGGCCAATAAAGCAGTGCTGCGTTTGTCAGTCCTTGCGCATGGCGGGTCACCGGGTCACTTACCGATGCTTCTGCCAAGAGAGCATTGACGAGCAGTGGAGAGCAGAAGCGCTTGTCGTTGTCGATGGCTGCCTGAAGGAATATGTCTTTGTGGAGAGCCGGGAAAGTCGGGTATTCGTGCAGTAAATAGGCGTGCAGCATCTTTCTCATGAGCCGATTGTCTGCCGTTACTGAGGTCCAGCGAGACAGTTCGACCTCGGAGAGACGATCATCGATGATTGTGGCAGAGTGATATGGCTGCACATACACCCCGCGACAGTGGCTGAGTCTGTCGTCGGGCTGGAGAGATGGGCTCGGTCCGGGGACAAACCGGTCGTCGATGGTGATACCGTAGACGGGAGAACGTAGATAGGGGTTGTCGGGGGTCTGCAGATAGGCGGGCATGGTGGAGGAGTAGGGAAACTCGTACCGCCTTCGCGACTCCGGGACCAGAGACAGTTGGAGGAGAAGGTCGCCCTCTTTGATTTGACGCAGGACAGTGCTGACATCAGCGCCCAGCCGTAGCTTGTCAAGCACGGCGCGGGAGTCCTGTTCGCTCATGGTCCGCAAAGCCGCATAGAGGCGCTCATGGTCTTCGATCCTCTGCTGCATCTCCGTGACCTTTCGCTTGAGGGCTTCGGAGTTTGTTTCGGACGCGGTGGCCGAGACGTATTGGCAATGCAGGCCGCGGTGGATGCATGAAGCGCATCTTGGCCGCTGTCCGTTACACTGTGCGTGGCCATCCGGTCAGCAAGATAGGAGCAGAGGCGGAGGAAGAGCAGGGGGGAGCAACAGAGCCCACGACGCGAATCAACGTACCCTCGACTTGCGCTTGCGGCAGGGCTCACAGGCGACGGTAATGCCTATGCGGGCGCGGCGCGGGGGCAGCGGACGAGATGGCGGATGCATGGCCTGGCCGGGACGAGGCGCTGCCATGGCCAAGGAGCGCAGGCTCGCGGGGACCTCCTCAGGCGTGTCGCTCGACATGTTTGCATCGTGGAGCGCGGTGGTCGACGGCTGCCAGCGTCTCTCGACGAAGGTCCCGTCGACGACCCCGGGCAGAGGAGGCGAGAGGTTTGCCGGGGGAGTGGGACAAGATGGGATTCTACTTTGCCATGTTGCCGTGGTCGAGGAAACGGTCTTGGGGGAGCGGCGTCTGGTGGCCCTTGGGTGGCTCTGGGTGGCCCAGCTGGGTCCGTGCCCCACTACGTCATTCCAAGGCAGGAACAGCCAAGGCGGATGCAGCGATCGCATTGGCCGACGAGGCCAGACGGGATCGGAAGGCACGGCCTGGCGGGGTGAACCCTTGGAAAGTTGGAAAGAGCGTTGAACCCTTTTCCTGCCTTGCTTGCCTTGCCTGCGTCGACTGCCTGAGCCTGCCTTGATTGGGTGACTGCCGCCGGCGCTGCTGACTGGGCGAACACCCAGGCAAGCCGGGCAAAGCACCCTGGTTTTGCTTTGGCCAGATGGATCTGTGGATCCACCCATGGATGCCTGGCCCGTGCGGCTTCCGCTGCCAATGTCTGCCCAGTAGCAGTGGACGGAAGCTGGTCCACGCGCCGTGTCTCGTCCACACTGGCAGCTCCCTCGCTGTTGTTCGTCGAGGACATCGCACTGTCAGGTACGATGCTGAAATATATACGATTGGCGTTCCACGAGTCGGACGCGTCCCGTCGCCGAACATCCGAGCCGGTCACACGGCATGCCTTTTCGGTACCTGCGAGGAGGTGCCACAGTCAGCAACCTGCCGTCCCGGCAATGAAGCTCATCATCGGCTTCAGCCCCTCACCCGCCCCAAAGCAACCCATCTAGACGACAACCTTGCGATGGCATTCCGCTCCCTTTCGATGAGCGCCTTCTTACTCAATGGATTCTCAGTGAAGAGCGCGGCCTGCCCAAGGTTTGAAAATTGGCACGCGCAAGCCAAGCCCCCGATTTACTTTGCACGTGAAGCGGTCACACCGCCGCGCTGCCAAGACGTGCTTCAGACTCGGCTGGTGACTCGGTGAGCTGTTGCCAACGCGGCCGGCCACTCTAGTCGAGCGCGTTTCCGTTGCTCGGGAGCCTGGACAATGGCTAGTGAGCACGGGAAAGATCTCGAGCGCATGGCCCGGATATACAGATACGAAGCACGTCGTACAGTCATCTCAAGGGCAAGGTGTTGGCCAACGGCGCGCATCAGCCCATGGAGCGAACGCACAGTCGACTGTGAAGGGTCCTGCGTCCTGGGGGGGGACGGAACCTGCAGCTTGCCGATGGACGCAACGCAGCGCCGGTTGACGAAGGCCCTCCTCATATCTTCGTCAACTAGGTGCGGATACAGAGGAGCATCTGGGGCGCAGTGGCCGCCGTGTAACCATGCCCGACATGACGATATCCCAGCCGGACGCCGATGGCAAGCGGTCACCCCCCAAATGCGAGCTTTTGGGCGTTGCGGGCGTTGCCAAACCTCGACCTGTGACAACGGTTGGACGCCACGCAAGCCCTGCCGCCGCCGATAATGCTGGGCGGCGAGCGATCGGCGGGCATGCCTCAGACCCGAACCAACACGCCACACTCTGTCAATTCAGGCTGTTGCACCCTGGCCCTCCATGACAGCCGATCCGTGCGGCCGTTGCTGCCCGCCACCGGGATCGTGCAGCGAAGGCACGGCATCCTTGCTGCCCGGGGGCTTTGCCGCCTTGAGCGCCGTGCACACGGCGTTGAGAGCTCCCATCACAGTCATCACAAGGTCAGTGCAGCTGCTCCGGCACACCCTCTCGGCGGTGGATGGGGGCCCTTGGCATTCGTGGCAAGACATCGATAGCTTCTCGCAGGAAGCGCCGCCTGCTTCCGCTTCTGGGCCCTATGGCCTCGTGCGGCTACCACCTCACTCAAGCAACTGCTACCCTTAAGCGTATGCGAGTTCAGAGCATATGCGCGCTGCTGTTGCTGTCACTCAGCCTCAAGGTCTCACCGCCCCGCCGCTTGCGCGATGGCACTGTCACATGGCAGCGTGGCAGGCAGGCCCAGTGCCCGCCTCCACACAGGCTAATGCACGGACGACGACGCCATGGGGAGATGCGCGAGTTGATTAACGTCGGACGACCCCCCTTGGCCATTGCGAATGACTATCTTGGCGGCCCGTAGGTATTGTTGGGGGATGACGAAGCTGCAAGGAGGCTTGCTCCAAGGTGTTGCGAGTAATTTAGCGGTGCCAGTGGGCCAACGGGCGGCTGACAGGCGGGGTCGGGCGACGCGCTGCTAGTGGCTGACTGCGCTGAGATGCGCGGGTCGTGGATTCGGACAGGCGACCTCCCGTCAGCAGCAGCTACCCGTGCGGCCAGGCGAGGTCAAGGGTGCCCGTCCGGTGGGGTGGTTGGTTTCGCAGGGTCCCTGGTAGTTGGGTGCCGCAGCTTGTTTTGCGTGAATTGGTGGTGTTAAGGTATGCGAGGTAGGGGGCTGTTGGCTGCTGTTCGCGTACAGGCGCCGCTGCTTGGCTGCTGCGCCCGGCGGCGTGGGGTGGTGGGGGAGCTTGTCGGGTTCCGACAAGCACGGTGGACAACGTGCAATAAATGGACCTGTTCATCCGCTGTGTATCCACGACCGCTCCCGTCGTCTTGTTCGATCGTCACCCATTACCGCTGCCTGCGCCCGCGCTCGCAAACCTCCTGTCCTCGTCAGCCTGGTCCTGACTGCCATTGCGAGACGACATCGTCGTCGACCGCGGCAGGACGTCGCTGTTTCCACAGCGTCCTAAGCCAGCAGCGCCCGTCGATCCCAGCCAGCTTCGGCATCGTCCCCACGGGGTTGTCTCACCATGTCCACCTCCATCACCTCGGCCGCCTTGTCCGTCGCGACAAAGACGCTGACCGTCACCGCGGCGGCGGCGACGACTGCCGCTGGCGATGCGAACCGCGCACCTCCTCAGGGCGGTGTCCTCGAAGGCGCCAACCCGTCCAAGTACGACCCGAGCAATCCCATCATCCTCTTCATCATCCAGACATGTCTCATCGTCATCGTCTGCCACGTCCTCCACTGGCCGCTCGCCAAGATTCGCCAGCCCCGCGTCATCGCAGAGGTCGTCGGTGGCATCATCCTGGGCCCCTCGGTCATGGGCCACGTCCCGGGCTTTCGCGAAGCCATCTTCCCCAAGGCGTCACTCCCGAACCTGAATCTCGTCGCCAATCTCGGTCTGGTGCTGTACCTTTTTCTTATAGGCCTTGAGACCGATGTGCGCTTCCTCGTCAGCAACTGGCGAGTTGCGACCTCTGTCGCCTTTGCCGGCCTCGCACTGCCATTTGGTCTGGGCTGTGCCCTGGCCTGGGGCGTCTACCATGCCTTCCGCGAGGATGCCGGTATCAAGCCCATCAACTTTGAAGTCTACATGCTGTTTATCGGTATCGCAATTGCCATTACAGTACGCTCTCTGCTGTCGGGCATGGCTCTGCGCTTTCGCTAACATTCACCAGGCGTTCCCCGTGCTTTGCCGTATCTTGACGGAGCTCAAGCTCCTCGACACCTCTGTCGGCGTCATTACTCTGTCGTCTGGCGTCGCCAACGACGTCGTCGGTACGTTCACGGGCTCGCTATACACATCTATACGTGCTGACAGGACCCGCAGGATGGATTCTCCTCGCCCTCTGCGTCGCACTCGTTAACGCGGGCAGCGGTCTCACGGCCCTGTGGATCCTGCTTTGCTGCTTGGGATTCATGCTCCTACTGCTGTACGGCGTCAAGCCAGCCCTGGTTTGGCTCCTCCGTCGCACCGGAAGCATCGAAAACGGCCCATCGCAGGGAATCATCTCGCTCATCCTCGTGATTTGCCTGGCGTCCGCCTTCTTCACTGGCATCATTGGCGTTCACGCCATTTTCGGTGGTTTCATGGCCGGCCTCATCATCCCGCGCGAGAACAGATTCAACATTCGCGTCACGGAGAAACTCGAAGATCTCATTGGCGCCATCTTCCTCCCGCTCTACTTCACCCTGTCTGGCCTCAACACGAACCTGGGCCTCCTCAACTCGGGCACCGCCTGGGGCTACGTCTTCGGTACCACCATTGTCGCTTTGCTCAGTAAGATTATTGGCGCGTCGCTTGCCGCCCGCTTTACCGGTATGGTGTGGCGAGAATCGTTTTCTATTGGTGTCTTGATGAGCTGCAAGGGTCTCGTCGAACTGATTGTGCTGGTATGTCCACTTACCAACAAACTGCTCTGACTTGCACTAACACGCGCAGAACATTGGCTTGAACGCAAACATCCTTAGCACTCGCACCTTTACCATCTTTGTGGTCATGGCCCTTCTTACCACCTTTGCAACGACTCCCATTGTCTCCGTCCTCTACCCCCCGTGGTACCAAGTCAAGATTGCCGCTTGGAGGCGCGGAGAGATTGACTGGGATACGGGGGCGCCAATTTCGCCTTCGGACACTGATGAATCAACCAAGAGGCAAGCTTCGATGAAGAGGGTCGGCCGGATGCTGGTATATCTCAGGCTGGATAGCATGCCTACGATTCTCAACCTTCTGTCCCTGTTCGGTAGCTCCTCGGCGGCACAGAACCCTACTCGCTCTACCCAGGACGGCGAAATCGAGCCCGTGACGGACAACTCAGTCTTGTCCGATGGCCCAGCCAGGGCAGTCTGGGCCCACGGATTGCGTCTTCTGCAGCTCACCGACCGAGACTCCTCTGTCATGACTGTATCCCAGGTCGCAGAGTACAGCAAGCACGACCCTGTTGTCAACACGTTCCGCACCGTCGGTCAACTTCACCACCTCGCCGCGTCAGGAGAGGTGGGTATCATGCCCGAGACGCGCTTCGCCGAGGCGCTCGCCACCAAGGCGACCAAGATGTCGTCAGACCTTGTGCTCGTTCCTTGGAGTGAAACTGGTGGCATTGGTGACTCGCCTATCTTGTCCTCGGCAACTGTGGACGACAAGATGGGTTCCTCATACGGAGCGTTTGTGAGGTCGGTCCTGGAGTCGCATGACCACAACATTGCCGTCTTCTTCCCTCGCAGCGACGATGCCGACAGCAAAGACAAGATGGCAGAGCGAGCCAAGCTCACACGACAGTATTCCATCAGCCACCTGAAAGAAGACATGCCGGCTGCCCCCCAGGCCAACAAGCCTTACCATATCTTCCTCCCGTACTTTGGAGAGGAGGACGACAAGCTAGCTCTCGTCATCGTCCTGCAGCTTTGCGAAAAGTCCAACGCCACGGCGACAATCTTGCACGTCACCACTCACGCACCTGGAACCGCATCGTCTGGCGCCGAGGACCTCTTCGAGCTGGCCGCAGAGAAGCTTCCCGCCGAGACGGCCGCGCGCGTCAAGTTTGAGCGCTCCAACGGACCGACAACCATGGAAGAGCTCCTTCAGCACAGCGCTGCCGACACCAACGCCGACGAGGCCAAGTCCCAGAGGCTCATTGTCGTTGGCCGTGGCAGCGGCGCCAAGATGGACGAGGGGAAGCTGAATCACAAGGCGAGAGAGGAGCTGAGAAGCTGTCTGGGCGCGGTGGCCGGCCACTTTATCGCGGGCGGCGCGCGGGCGGACATGATGGTTGTGCAGTCGAAGAAAGTTGCGGAGAGCTCTTGAGTCATGATACCACGAAGCTTGTTTGCATGCACGCATACTTGCGCGGCAAGTACGAATTTGTGATTAGAATTTGATGTTCATGTACACAGTACGAGGCGCATATAGCATGTACAACCAGTTTAGCACCCGGCCAATGGCCTGAATTGCCATGAAGATTCCCCCTTGCAAATACAGGTTTCTTGACTTAATCAGGCCAATATCGGAGCATCTGGGGCGATTTCCACGCACGCCTTTAATGCTCAAAGCCCTTCGTCCACCCAGTATCCCTCGCGAACCGCATGTGCCCGTTGCTACCATCGCTCTCCTTACTCACTTTGCCAGGCTTGTGTCTGCCACATCAAGCAGATACGCGCTGGAAACCTTGACAAAGTACATACTAGCTTAGAACCGCCTAGCTACTTCGCGAATTGCGAATAGCAGTATTCCCTACGAGTCAGGCTCGGTGCAATCGAATATATCGTTGTGCCCCCACAGACGTCAGGTCCGCCACCCCGCGGCGAGAAGCCGAATTATGTTCCTATTGAGCCCGCAGGACAATAGCTGTTCGCGTGGAGCTCACCCATGGCGCTCGGCCACTGAGACGGAGCGCACCACGTGGATCGCGCCGGCCACCTGAGTCCAGGTCCATCGTGGCCCGTGCATCACAATGAGCGGGCCGACCCGGCACGCTGGAAATAGTGTGGCTTGGCAAAGCTGCAAAGGGCATCAAACGGCGGTTGGCACTTTGCATGGTCGGAGTATTTTGGGCAAATCGTGTCACCATGTCGCTCAAGCCAACGGCCGGGCATCATTGGGTTGCGATCTTGATGGAGGTGTGGCTGAGATCACATACGTATCTTGACAGCGAGGGTATGTAACTAACTATATGTAACGTTATGATAAAACGACCTTGAACAGCCAGCCCCCTTTCAACCAACCGCCGAGACCGAGCATGGAACACCAACATCAAATCGTGAAGCGGGTCTTGATTACATGATTGATACGTTTTCTGATTTGTCTACAAGGAATGAAGGGGGGCGGTTGCCGAGTGCCGGTAGAAAGTGCCGCTCAGGCCGCCTTGACGGGTTCGTCCTCGTTGCTGTTGGCCCGGTCGTGGGCGCTGACGGAGCCCAGACGGCCGGTGACGGCAAAGTCGTCCTCGCCGCTGAGCTCTTCGAGGGTCTTGCGGGCCGTCTCGGGGATGAGCAGCGTGGTGAAGCACCCCAGAAGCATGAAGAGGGCGTAGATCTCCAGCACGTGGTCCATCCAGGGGGTGTCGCCCGACTTGACAGCGCCGTGCGTGCGGAGCGTGGAGATGGCGCCCTGGCCGATGATGGAGCCGATCTTGCCCGAGGCGGCGGAGATACCGTGCGAGGTGGAACGGTATCGCGTGGGGAAGACTTCACCGGGCACGATGAAGGTGGTCGTGTTGGGACCTGTTGATAGACGTATTAGCAAACTTGACACTTTCTGGCGCGGAGAGACGCATGCTACGTACCGAAGTTGAAGAAGAATTGCGCCAAGACATAGATGGCAAGCAGGCCGTTCTTGGAAATGTTGTGGTAGGCAAAGCCCATGACGATGAAGAGGATCGTGAGGATGATGAAGCCACCGAGCTGGATCTTCTTGCGACCGAGCGTGTCAATCGTCGCAACCGAGACCCAGTAGCCCGGCACAGCACCCGCCAGAACGATAATCAGGTTGCCAATGGCGGTGTTGTACAGGAACTCATAAACGTTGTGGACGTTGCTGGTGGAGAAGCCAATCGCCTCAAGGATAACACCGTTGTTGAGCGACAGGCCGTAGAAGGCGACGTCGAGGCAGAACCACGAGCCGGCAGTGCCGAAGAGGAGCAAAAAGTTCTTGGGCTTGCCGTAGTGGCGGCGGAAGTCGGCCCAGCTGGCCTTGGGCACCTCGAGGTTGTCCTTGGCCGCGCGGGAGGTGGCGACCTGGGCCATGGCATCGGGGTCGCCCTCGCGCTTGCCCGACATGTAGGCCTTGACGTCGTCCTGGGCCTTTTCGACATCGCGGGCGACATCGAAGGTGTAACGGGGCGTCTCGGGGATGGTCAGACGGACTGGGCGCTAGTGTTAGTGACTTTCAAGTGAAAGCGGTTTTGGACGAGGAAAAGGGAACGTACAGTACAGCGCGATGCAGGCGGGAACGGCACCGAAGCCGATCAGGGTACGCCACATCTTGTCGACGGCAACCTGGCAGTCGCCCGTGCACGACTTGACCGAGGCGGCGCCCTCCAGCGAGCCCTTGAAGCCGAGGGTGACGAAGAGCATGACGAAGGCGGCGCACAGCTGGCCCATGCCCTGCATGGCAAACACGGCAGCCATCATGGCGCCACGCCACTTGGTGGTCGCGAACCTGATCCGTGCGTTAGCACTTACACGGCCACCACTTTTCCGCCCGTGCGGTGCGGTGCGGTGCGACCAATCGACTTACTCGGAAGTGATAATGGACGAAAGCGGGTAGTCACCACCAATACCAACACCCATGATGACACGCCAGAAGATGATGAGCCCGATGATGTCGCACGAGGGCGAACCGCTGGTCAGGGCCTGGCCAATGGTGGCAAAGATGATGACAATGAGCTCCAGACCGTACATGCGCTTACGGCCGACCAAATCGGCGAGGAAACCGAAGCCCAGCTGGCCGACGACGGTGCCCGCCGAGGTGGCCAGCTTGATGGCGTTGTCGGAGCTCGTGGGCATCTTGCCGACGCCCGGGTAGTAGACGATGCCCAGCATGATGGTGAGCAGCGAGGCCGTGAAGATGTCGTACGAGTCGGTGAAGAAGCCCACACCGGCGACCACGCAGGCGCGGACGTGGTACCACCCGAACGGCGCCTTGTCGACCTCGGCGAGGGCCAGGCGCCGGCGCTCGTTGAGGTCGGCAATGTGCGTGAAGTCGTTGTGGAAGTTGTGGTAGGCCGAGTTGCCGCCGGCGGTCTTGGCGACGACCTGCCGCGGCGCCGCCGCCGTCGGCGACGGGATGTTGGTCCCGTTCTCTGCCATTATCGACTGTCCTGTTTCTGAAGGCGAGCTGTTAAGGTCGTGCACACAATGTTCACCGGCCTGGGGAAAGAGGTCGATGAAGCAAGAGGGCGACACTCAGCAAGTGAGAAAGAAGTGAAGCAGTGAGAAGAGGAAAGGAGAGGACGAGGCGCGCCAAGAGGGCGGGCCAAGACGGGAGGAGCAGCGCCCAGGATCTATATACGGGAATTTATTCCCGGACATGGGACATGGGGCTGCAGGACGTGGGAGCCTGGCAGGAGAGTCGCGACATGGAACTATGGATGCTACACCGGCTGGCCCCACGAGAGCCAAGCAGGACGACGGATGCCGGTGCCGAGTTTGACCAGGTTATGGCAGGCTGTCCCGCATCGTCAGCAGGGGGGGCGCCACGGGCAGACACGGGCATCCAGGGCTCGAGCTGATGGGCCCAACGAGCACAGCACCGGCGGGCCGAATACGGCAACAGGGCTCTTTGGTGACTGTCTCTCGACCGAAAGCCACGGCTAATGGATGGATGGATGGATGGATGCGCGGAGGGGCAATGGGGGCGTCTTCTTTCCCAGCCTCAGCGACACACTGCCCATCCACTTTGCCTTGAGCCAACCGTTCAAAGATCAGGACCATCGTCATTTATGCCTCACTATTGGCGCGGGACTCCGTGGACCTGCTGCGCCAAACGGGGGCAGTTAGGTTAGGTCAGAGTGTCGCGCGCCGTGCTGTGCTGGCACACTATACATGGCAACGTACGTGGTGCTGCTGCTGAAAATCGAATCGAAGCTGACACGCGTGGGCGGCACGGCGACGGCCACTGAGGATGTAGGAACAGGGGATAGTGGCCAGAGGCGCAGGGCGTGAAGCTCGCAGAAAGGGAAAACCTGCAACGGTCGACTTACACGGAGACCGGGCACGTTGGAAGTTGGAACAAACGGGCCAATCAGCGGCGCCGTGGCCGACACGTTGTCGAACCGGGCGCCGTGCTTGGCAAATCCGGGGGACCGGGGGGTTGGCCCGGCTAAGTGGGGCGCAGCCCAGTGTCCCCCTGCCGGCGCCGGAGCGGCGCTAGTATTCGAGACTCAGAGCAGGGGGAAAAAACCTCCAGTTGGGTGTGTGTGCTCGTCGCCGGAGGAGAGAGAAACGCCAACGGGGGCGCCCCCCTGGCGCCAACGACATACGAGCATGGCGCACTTCCCGCTTCGGGCGACCGAGATCTCTGGTTCCATGCGCGCGCCGAAGGAGCTGGCTGCCGAGGGCCCGGCTTGGCCTGCGTGGGTTTGGGGGCGCGCACGAGGCGGACGTTCGGTCGGTGTCTGCATCTGGGGAGTCGGCGGCGCCAAGAAGGCTGGGCGATCAGCTCCCGTCTCTTCGTGGCGTTGGCACGTCGAAGCATGACGCATTGTTGGTGTATGTTGTAGAGTAGTATGTATGGCTCTTCGGATCCCAGAATGGAGCAGCCTGTTGGCGAGTGCTGAAACGCAACTTGCAGGCTGCGGCGCAGCACAGCATTTGCTAGTAGATGACGGACGGGATGAGCAAAAGCACGGAGCAGAGATTACACAGCACGTTCTACGTTCATCCGTACTTGCGCGCAGGTGCCTCGGAGTTCATCATCTGAGTTTGTGCCACCCCTGGTGTTCCTCGACGGGGTGGCCACCGATGTGGCGCCCGCGAGACCGATTCGGGCAACGCGACCCTGTCCCTGGTTCGCCCGTGGCCCCAGGGTTCGACGTGTGTGTGGTGTGTGCCAGACCGACAGGCCCTTTCGAGTCGACCGAAGGACCAGGAAGACGGCGGCGGGCGTTGCAGAAACTGGACGCACGCCTCGCAGCAGCTGGTGACTCCGCCCGGCAACTTGGATGCCGAGAGGGCCCCAACTGTGGATGCTCCGTGGCGCGCGTGGCATGAACTAGGCGCTCAATTGAGAATTTGAGGCTCGTTCATGATGGGTGCTGTACCACCACCACCACATGCACCTTTACCCAGCATCTCCGGGCGGGTTGGGCAGATTCGGGGCGGATGGAGCAGACGAGCTGGCCCGTAGCACACACGCACACTCCCTCTCACTCACTAAGAAAGGGTACCATAATGCGCGGTCCTCGTACACAATCGAGTAAGCTTATCCACTTGCTCTGACACGGCTGCCCACGTGCGTCAACGCAGCATCGTAGCCCGTCCCGTCGGGCGGACACGCGATATAACAAGTCGACTATTCCCTGACGTGGGCCGACTGTTCCGGGCTGTAGCGCACGTGTGCCACGCGGATATTGTCTTTCTTTTTTTTTCCTATTCACTTGGGGCCTGTTTATCTCTCGGGTGGACAAAGTGCGAGGCTGCTTGTTTTGGGTGGCAGCTGAGGCTCGCATTTTCATTTGCCATTTTGGGAGCGGAGCTCCAAACTCACGTACCAGCTCACTCAACACCGTCGAGTGGGTTGCAGGCATGGCTTCGTCAACCTCAACCTCAAACACCACAACCACCTTGGTCGCGGCCATGGCGCGCACCACCCGCGGCGCAAAGTCGCCAGTCCAGCAGTCAATCTCACAAACATCATCCTCACCATCATCACAAATACAATCACAGTCAGAAGCGGAGCCGCCGCCACCGCTCACGTACGAGGTCCTCACCAGCGACGACGCCAAGCGCGACGCGCTGCAGCTCGTCGCCGACAGCATCGCGCAGCAGCGGCAGGTCGCGTCCCTGGCCGTCATCTTCCACCCGGCGTGCTTCGTCGCCGTCGTCGTCGCCTGCACGCTCGCCTGGCGGCACAATGCCGCGCGCGACGTCGGCACCGCCATGACGGCCTGCTCGGGCCTCGTCATCGCCTTCCTCGCCGCCGTGCGCCTCCTCACCTCGCGCTACGTCAATATCGCCGAGGCGTTTCGCTGGCGCGACTTCATCGCACCCCCAGCGCCGGGCCGGGCGGAGGACCTCGTGCTGGGCGCGCGCTTCGGCGAGGAGCTCATCGGCGCGCTGGTTCTGCGGCTGGTGCCTCCCGCTGACGGCGACGAGGGAGGTCGTCAGGCCGACCCGTCGTCGTCGTCTACTCCCTCGACGCGGAGCAAGAGGAAGAGTGCGAAGAACAAGAAGCTGCAGCAGGGGGAGAAGGGTGGCGCGCCGCAAGCTGGCGGCGGCGGCAGCGGCGGCTTGGTGCGCGCGTGGACGACCAAGCTGCGGTACCGCGGGCGCGGCATCGGCGGCGACCTGCTGCGCTTCGCCGTGGTGACGACGCGCAGCGCCTGCGACGACGACAGCGCGACCGTGTCCTTTGACCCCGCGCACGCCAACAGCGCGCTGCCGCTGCCCTCCATGTTCAACCGGCCGTTCCGCACCCGCGACGACAAGGCGCGCCGGGCGCTGGCGCACGCGCTCCGCGACTGCGACTCTGGCGACAGCAGCGCCTTTGCGTTTCGGTAGCAACAGGAGGTTGAGCGAGATGAGCGAGGGCCTTTTTTGTCGTGAGCGTGGAGGCAAACTACCGGCGGCAACGGCGGTGATGGCGGCGGAGGGGGGGCCCGGGACCGCGCGATCTGTCGTTTTTGGGTTCGATGGTTCTGCGCCGGAACAGGAAACCCTTCAATCATATATATATATAATATAATGAAGGCCCCCACGCACGCGACCATCTACCTGCACTGCTGCTGCCAAGGAACGTATGCCGGCGTTTCGTGACCCGGCTTGTCCAAGGAGGAAGCGCCGGGAGTGGGCGACAACGTCTGAGCGTCCGCCGAACATCCCGAGGATTCCGACGGTGATTCCAAAAGGTGAAGTCATGCCCAGCCCGCGATGATCAAGCAAAGAATATCCTGTTCTTGTTTTCCTGTCCGGTAGCAATTCACAATTTAATTTATATCGAGCGTTCTCTTATATGGTGTGTTGGGGCTCTCGGGCCGGGACGAGGCTTGGACAACAGAGTGACAGACGCAACGGCTTACAGCTATAATGTCTACTATCACGACGACGGCGCGGCGGGTCAAGACGGCCGTTGAATTCCCCCATTCATTTGTGCCTCTAGTTCCGGCTGTTATTACGACGGCGACGACAGAGGTATCGACCGCAACAGCACCATCGGCGGTAGCAGTACGGAAAGGCGGCGATATATGGGCGTGGCTGCGTCGCAAGCACTTTCTCTTTGAGATCACGCTGTGCATCAACCTCTACACGCCCGGCGAGAAGCTTGCATTCTGTACGTCACCTTCGGTCTCTGCTTTCTCCTCCTCCCCGTCTTGCCATGGCGTTTCACCGCGTGTCCCTTTGTAACCCAATGCTGGCCATGGGAGTGCGCGGGCTTCCGTCCCCTTGTCACCAACATGGTTTGGAGTGAAGCAAAGTATCGAAACCCAAACACTCAAATGTATGCACTCTAGGCATCATCGTGGACGTCGTCTGCTAACATGATTTCCTTTTGCGTGCATAGATTCGGTTCCCTGCTTCCTGTGCCTGGCGTTTGTTGCCGCGATATGCATCTTTTAGCAACGCCGGAGCTCCCGGAGGTGCACGGACCGGATCACGACCAAGCACGGTTGACACGGCATGAGAGGACCGACATGATAGACGATGGGATGAACATTTCATGCAGGGGCGATGATACCAATACTGAACGTGCCTCGCTAGCCTTGGGAGGTAAATGAGATTAATACAACATGCATCGAGCAAGACTGTGATGGAACTAATAGCTGACATGCACCTCAACACCAAAACACATACACACATCACTCCATAATCCATTTGCGCACCCGCTCACAGCTCCGTCTTGCCCTCCTGCTCCCTACGCCTCCTCTCCGCCGCCTTCCGCACCGCATGCAACTCCCTCGGCCTTCCCTTCGCATCGCAGCTCGCAAACCTCCACCACCCGCCGCGCACCGCCCCCGCACCATTGACCAGCCCCCAGCGCACCGGCTCCGGCATGGGCGGCCAGTTGGCCCAGCGGCCCTCGTCGTCGGCGACGGTGCGGTCCACGTTGAGCAGGAAGAAGGGCACCACGTCAAACGTCCCGCTGACGCTGTTCTTGCCCCAGTTCATGAGCGTCTCGCCCGCCACGGCGCCCGCGAAGCTGTCGCGGGCGGGCGCGGACGGGTGCGTCGCCAGGGACGCGAGCAGGGTGACTTCGTGGTGCAGGTGCTGCTCGAGGGGCGCGCGCAGGGCGGAGAGGTGCTGGAGGAGGGGGCCGGGGGAGTAGGCGGAGGCGTTGGCGGAGAGGTGGGCGAGGTGGGTGTCTAGGGCGCGGAGGTCCTCGAGGAAGGACTCTGTGTTGGTGTTAGCGACTTGGCAAAGCAGTGCGCGCGTGGCTTGTGAATGGCTGCTCCTCTTTCTCCTCGTACACTTCTTCACGGTGACAGAGAATAACACTGCAAGGAGAGAGAGGTGGAAACGCACCGTGCTCCTTCTTCATGTCTCCCCACAGCGTCTCGTCTTTCAGGATCGCCGCCAGCTCCGGGAACAGCACCTCCTCCTCGTCATCGTGATGGTTCTGCAGGAACTTGACCCACGTGCGCGCGTAGCCGACAAAGTGCGCCGCCTCGTTCTCGTCCTCTTCCGCGCTACCGCTGCCGCTGTCGCTGTTATCGTTGTTCGCCGCGGCGGCCTCGCCGGGGGCCAGCACGTGCGGCGCCTGCAGGAAGATGGAGTTGTAGCCGCGGATGAGCGCGTTGTGCAGCAGCGCCATGTGCTGCGCCGCCGTGATGAGCACGTCGCCCTAGTATTTCGACAATGTCTTCAGTCAGCGTGATGGCTCTCTCTGTGTCTGGGTGAAAGTATGCGCGCGCGTGGGTGTACGTGACGTGATATCCCACATGATTGGGAGCCAGGTATGGAACCAAAACATGACATCGTCGATGGGTTGGTTCGTGTGAATAGTTTTTGGGGAGTGAGTGTGCCAACCTTTACGCCCGGTTGCTGCAGCTCCGGCTGCGTCGCCGGCACGGGCACCAGCTTCATCGGGTGGTCCGCCCACTGCCTCACTGGCGGCGTCACCTCGTACGAGTACGGCGAGCGCTTCACCACGGCGGTGCCCCAGAACGCCGCCGTGGCGGCGAGCACCGAGAGCCAGACCCTCGACATGTCGTCTGCTGATACCTACTAGCTCGATAATCCTCCCCTCATTCAACGTTTCTTTCCCTTCGCGTGACGTGGTGGCGGACTGCGACGACGGCGATGACGACGAGCCTGTGCGTGTCAATTGAACGGGCGGCGAGCTGAGGGGTTGCGACTGGTGGAGCTGCGACAAATAACTGGGCAAAAGGACGGGGAAGACGCGGGAAAGAGATGGAAAGATGAACAACGTGTCGTGAGGGGAGGGAGAGAGGGACTGGGAAAGGTGCGCGCGTAGGTGGACAGTTGGGTGGTGAGTTTGACGCGAGCTCAGTTGGTTGCCCGTCTTGTCATGTGTGTTAATGGCAGCGGCCCGATTGGCGCCATCCCCAGACAAGGAGGTCGGACGACTTTGTTGGCAGGCTGGCACCACCACCACGACCAGGGGTTTGGGGAGTGAGAAGGGCGGGGG